CAGCTCCAGAAGTCATTTTGTGTGGATATTTGATCACTTTGCCAAATTGGAAGCCGACTATTAAACCCCGACAGCCTGAAGTTATTTAAATTAAGTAGATTTGATTTGAATTTAGTATGTGCAATCAATAAAAAACTAGGAATTTAATAAATTACCGGTGTGCTAATTAGGTGAGTCATGCATAATTTTGTTCAATAAGACTCTTGGTATGTGTTGAATTTACATTAACAATAAATAGTGTTAAACACACACTGTCAGTCAATATTACTAATATGTATTCAATGCTCCTTAGCTATATTAAGTTCCCAAATTTGAATATTTTTTCTATTTATTTGCATTTTTATTTCATTCTATTATAAATGTAGAGCTTAAAGGTTCAGTAAGGAATTTGTCTTCGGTCAGAGGCCTCTTACAGACCGCTGCAGAAGGTCTTTCCTGCTAATCGCCATCATGACCTTCAACTCTTTGAAGAATCTAAATTCTTTCATTTCCTTTTGGGATTAATAAAGTATTTTTGAGTTTGAATTACTATCCTAAACAATTTCCTGTCTTTTAAAGGGCAGCAGTACTTTGAATTAATTTTTCGGTTATGTTTTCCACATGCAGTTTGACGCCTTGTGTCTTTCCGCAGCACATTGTCTCAGTGTTGCCATGCAGTGGTGGCTTTGCTCTATCCCTTCACCTGGCAGCACACATACATTCCTGTTCTGCCACCGTCCATGTTGGACATAGTCTGCTCCCCAACTCCCTTCATAGTGGGCCTCCTCTCCAGCTCTCTACCTCGACTCAAAGAGCTGCCCATAGAAGAAGTAAGAGTCGACTTTGTTTTGGATGTTGTGGTGCCCTTGACTCTGAGAATTTCCTCTGTTGAACAATAGCTCAGGAAAATGACGTCACCCTCCCTCTGTTCAGGTCCTGGTGGTCGACCTCGGCAACAGCCGCTTCCTACGTCAGGTACCAACCGCAGAGGCAAAGAGAGCTCTGCAAAAATCTGCTTTGCTCCATGGAGGTGTTGAGAATGCAACGATATCTAGTGATCAAGTTAATGCAACTATAACTGTTTTGTTTCCCTACAGCTGGATGATGAGGACTTTATTCTTCCTCACAAGCTGCAGGCAGCTCTTGAGCACGTGTTGGAAAAGAGAAGAGAGTTGGCCTGTGAGAAAGGAGACTTACCTAATGGTGACTGAACAGACTTACATGACTGTATATAAAGGCAAAGCAAGCACAACGAGAAAAGGGAATGGTTATTTCCTTTTACGTACATGCATAATTTTTCTCTGCCAATGCAGATGCTTGGGAAAAGTTTATATACAGCTCTGTCACAATGGCAAATTTTGTCCCAGAACTTATTGCAATAAATAATAATATTGTTGTTTTGAGACCATTTTCAAGTAATACAATAGCAGTAATTGCATAACAATGCAAGAACACCTTCTCAAAGATCAATAAACTTTAAATACTAATAAGCATTTAAATACTGGAACTGAAAAATATTTGAAATATCCAAAACAAATGAAGAAAACAGAAATAACAAATAAAATGAATTATGAACTTTATGTAAACACAATTATCTATCAAAAAAAACACCAAATAGAAGAATTTTATCATTCACTGAGAAAGGACAAAAATCAAACAAATGAATATTATTGTTGCTTTTTTTTTCATTTATCATGCGATCAATTGATTTATTGTGACAGGTCTACATAAAAGCATAAAAGTCACATTAACTTTATTGATGCTTTTGGGTCAAACTCTTCTGCAACACCAGTACCTCAGACTTCATACTTCATTTATTGGTTCTATATATTCTGGTCATACATTTTGACTTCCTGTTCACGAATTGAGATTGTGTATTATTGCATAAAACCCATTAGGGTTCAAATCATCTCATATTTTCTGCTTTTCTGTTTTCCAAACGTGTCACCCCCTCCAGACTCCAGCTCTCTCGGTGCAGTGGTCTCAGAGGCCTTTGTGCGTTTCTTCGTGGAGATGGTGGGCCACTACTCCCTTTTCATGAGCGGATCGGACCGGGACGACGAGTCTCTTTCCTCGCCCACGTCGCCCATCCCGTCCTGTCCCTCCGCCTCGTCATTTCAGCGGGAGGCCTTTCGGAAGGCGGTCACTTCCAAGAGCTTGAGACGATTCCTGGAAGTGTTCATGGAGACCCAGATGTTCAGCGGCTTCATCCAGGAGAGGGAGCTGCGCAGACAGGGCCTCAAGGGTACAGATTTGCTCCTTTGTCGCGGTGGTAGCACGTCCTTGCAAAAGTATCTTCTCTTGTTTCATGACACAACCAACAAAACATCAGCGAGTTTTATTATATGTGAAAGCCCAATGGGATGCAGAATGCTTTTAGATGCTGCAAAACACTGAAGAGACGCTTCGAGAAGCAAAACAAGCCTGAACTATCAGCCAATGTTTACATGTTGAGGAAACCTTTGGAAATATGAATGTTTTTGCAATGCACTATATTTGAACTCACACTAATTTCTTCAAAACATCTGAGATGAATTAGTAGGCCAATATTTTGTGTCCAGGTCTGTTTGAGGTGAGAGCACAAGAGTATCTGGATTCACTACCTGGCAGCGAACAAAGAGGCGTAAACAAGTTTCTCAAGGGGCTAGGTGAGATTTATTTTTATTACCTTAGCAAGTCAGCATATGAAAGAGTATTAGGGTCATGCTAAGAACATTTTAAAATGTACAGTTTGAGAATAAAGTCATTATGAGAATAAAATAATAACTTTACAACTTTATTCAAAGTAGTATAAATATTACACTATTTTTACTTTATTCTCGTAATACTGCAACTATTCACGTAATATTATGGCTTTATCTTTTATTAGTTTATTCTTATGTTATGTCTTTATTCTAGTAATTTTGTGACTTTATTCTCCAGATATTATGACTTTGTAATACTATGACTATATTCTCATAGAATTATGGTTTTATTCTTTTCAGTCTTTTTTATTTATTTCTTCTTAGTTTGACTCTAATGCTCCGTCGTAGCATGATTTTGTTTTTTCCTGACAAAATGTTGTCTTTGTTGGACTTCTTGTCACGCATTTGTTGCTTATTTTTTTGTCAGGGAACAAAATGAAATTTCTGTCCAAAAAATGAGGGCCTGAGCAAAGCAGTCATCAGAGGAGGTACGACGGAGAAGACGTCCTCCGTTGGACACCCGTCTTTCAGTCGCGACCCTCTGAAATGAACTGGATTCATAATCTGTGAAGATGACGGAATCTGGAGGATAGCTGGGCTCAGTTCTCAGCTTCGACAGCTCATCCCATTGGTGTTGTGGAGACCGATATGTAGTCTTATAATCAATGGTAAACGATCAATGTTTTACAGGTTCAATTCTGTCTCTGCAGTGTATCACTGTACAGCACATTGCATTGTAAATGTTTTAGCAACAGTGTTCTCAGTGACTAATACCAGCCATAATCCTGTGAAGAGAAATGCCACTAAAGTCCAATGTTGTACAAGACCTTAATTTACATTCCTGCTATTTTTTTTTTAATAGAGGCTTTTTATGACTATAACAGTACAACTTCTTCATCAACAGGAGGCTTTCTAAATAATTTATGTCACTTCTAGACAGATCTAATCTTTTATTTTAACATTTGTATTCGCATAAGTGCAAATGAATCTCCTGTAGTTGGTTGTAAACTTCTAAAGAGTTGTAGTCCAGACATTTTGTAGACCACTGTGGGAATATGTTACTGTTTTAAGGTATTTCACCTTTTCTGGAATAATAACATCCACCAAGGTCGAAGATTGAGAGGGTAAACAATGTGAAATGTATTTTTTGGGGCGTTTTACTGGAGTTTATGTGCCAACAATTAAACAGTGATATATATATTGTAGATCAAACTGTTTGACTATTGTATAAAACAACTAGGGATGTCTTAAACTTTTAGTCATAAAGCAATGAAACTTAATAAATAAAGTGATTTTAAGTTTGACAAATGACTATTCATCTCTTAAAAACAGCAACACATTTATTTCATTTGTAGTGGTTAATCTTCTTGAGACATGAAGACTTTCATGAGGCTTCAGCAAGTTGTTTTTGTATTACAAGAAAAACTTGATTTACTTCTGAAGAAGAAACCTGAGTTTTAATCTGAGCTGAGATTCAATAGCAGGGATTTACAAAAAAAACACAGCATATTCTTTGTTCTGTCAGCATTGAAGACGAGTTTGAGTTGAAATGAGGGTTTGACGAATATAAAACAAAACTGGACGGTCAAAAACAAGGACAACTGAAGTTGCATGAGAGTAAACATGCTGTCCCTTCTAACAGAAATGAAAATGCGTTTATTGGTCTGTTGGATTATAAATTGTGGAGAAGCTCAGGAATACGTTTCTTCTACTGGACAAGCCTTCTGCAATAACTACAACATCCAGTAGGAGGCTCTGCAACACTTTTAGTGCACTTGTTGCTTCTCAAGGCACAAAGTTCAGACTGACATCTGAGACATTAATGCCTCCAGGTCTTTAATATATTGTGCAACACGCCTAAGTCCACCCTATTGTCAACTTTCTCTACTCTTATAATGGGAGCAGGCTTCACTTATTATATGAATAACATGATTTGTTGTTATTACTATTGTTATTACTGTCCTTTTTGGTAGGTTTACATTTTAAATCACATGTTTTGTGCTGTAATCTGTTGACTATTGACTTCAGTCACGTCTCAAAATTATTCTTTTGGGCTTTAATACACTAATTCACAAGATAGCTGTTCAAAATATTTTTTACAAAATACCTCCTGCTATAATCAGTGAGACAGCAATTAAAATCTGCAACATTCTTTTGCATTTTTTATGGACATCTGACTTTCTCCCTCATTCCAATTCATGCACTAGAGAAGGTGAAGAACGACCTTCTGTAATACCCGTGGTATCCGCTAGGGGGCTCTCCTGGTCATCTGGTATCACGTGTCACTTGTTGCTTCTCAGTTGTAGCTTCAGAATATTTAAATAAAAATAACAACAAAGACTAGAAAACTTAGCGTTTGTTATGAAAATGCAGTGTGAACGCTGGAAGTTTTTGGTGAAAATGGCTGAAGTCAACTGCAGAAGACCTGCAGAAAGGTAGGGGAAGAAATGCTTCTCCAAAAACTGCTTTCAAACAATGCAAAACTCCCACACAGAGTATTCGGAATTGGTGCAAAACAGTGCTGACAGAGCTAACCTGTACGGTCACAGCAGTTCATTAGGTAAAATGAAAAAAGCTAGCTAAAATACTAATGATAGCATCTAGGCTAGCACTAGCATGCTGACCTACAGTGACACACTCCACGCAAAGTGGGACAAAAAAACCCACGTCAAAGCTAAAACTAGCTAAGAAGCCAAAGGTTTCTAAGCTAAGCATGCTGACATTAAAATTCAGTCCTTTTATTTCAAGGTCAGTAAAAAGTGGGTTGTTTTCAGCTCTTCTATGACATGTTACTTCTGTGTTTGCTGCTGCAACCACAAACATTGATCAGAATTGTCAAATATAAAGTATTTAAAGAGTTGCCAGTTTAATTGAGAAAACTAAACAAACTTATTTCTATGTTCTTACTGTGTTACACCTGTGCTAAGCGTTTGCCCTGTTCCTAATTTCCTATTTCAGCGTGTTTGTTGCTCAGTCCATTTTAGATATTTGTCAAAGACAACAGAGGTAAGCACAGTTTCGAAGTGAAGATGTTCATCTGTAAGGGAGAAGAAACCCTCCATGGCCCTATTGAGGGCCCACCTGTGGTTTGTCACACCTGAGTTCACTGTCTCTAGCCACACCTGTTTCAATCAGGTCCTCACTTCAACAGAACCTGCCTCACAAAAGTGAAGTACGCCAAAAGATCCTCCAAAGCTGGATGTCATGCCAACCTGCTTTCCGACGCAATTCGGCTCGATTCTCATCTCACTCTGGTCTGGGTTTTCTCCCATTGAAATGGATTTCTCTGACAGAAATGGATTTCCATGTCTTCTAAATATCACAAAAAACACTTAAAAATAATGTAGCTATATTAATTGGTTTAGTATTTGCACATTTGAGTGTCGCACTGCGTGTGGATTCCAGTGTCTGCGATGCTACTTGCGTCCCAACGTCGTTCCGTTTTACAAATTAAGCACTGCTGCAGCTGTGACGCTCTTTGCTGCCCAGTGAACTTTAAGTAGTTCTGCAGTTATTTTTATTTTGCCACCAAAACCGAGAGCCGGTTCAAATGATGAAGACATCATTTCACCTTGTCTTCCTGAAATCAGTAATCAGGTAATCAAACATTTAATCAGAATCACTACTTAGAGACAGATGGTGAATCCAGCATGTGCAACCATGTTGTGCCTACAGCTCAAGAGCGTGAATGTCTTGCAGCTTAAGAATAAAACCAAAACTCATTAAAAGTGAATTTGGACTCTTTTAATGGGCTTTGGGTTAATTGCTTGTAGTAGGTTATGACACTGATCAGTTTGAAAACACACACAGTAATTTGTATTTTACAGAATACAACAAGAAAAAGATATTAATCTAACATCTGTCAAGCTCTGTTTTTGTTGTTAACATGACGTCACGTCATTAACAATATCAATTTATTAGAAATTATCTTTGCAATAATCTCCATCCCTTGTCGTGACGTCACGCGCAGTAACCCGGGGACATGTAATGTCATTACTCATGATGTGATTGCCTTTCATTTTGCTTTAGTTACTTTTCTTCTTCTTCAGAAACCCTCCTCCTCCTCTTCCTTCTCCTCCTCCTCGTCGTCATTACGTGCTGACCGGTCAGACCTTTCTCCCCTCCTCTTCTCTCCTCCCCTCCTTTCCTCCCTTGGTCTTTTTCCCTGGCTTTTTCCAGGCTTCATGTCATACCACGGCTAATTCCTGAAATTCCTGCCCTCCTCGCGCTTCAAACGAGCGGGCTCCAGGAAGGAGACGAGGCAGCACAAAACAAACAAAAGGAGAGGAAAAGAAGAAAACAACAACAACAACAACAGAGAAGCAAACGAGAAACGGCTAATTCAGCTTCTTTTTTTAATTAAGACAGAGATAATAATTGCTCCACCTGCCTCCCTGAATGCGCCTGTCGGACTTGTCAGAGTTTCAGCAGGTAAGCTTTTTCAGTGTTTTGCTGTTTCTTGTGTCCAGGGTTTTTTTTGTGTGCTTCTTTTTCTTCTTCTTGTTCTTCTTCTTCTTGTGTCGGAGCGTGAACTTTTCTGCTTCACTATTTCTACACAAAATAATTCCCATTCACAGGCGGACATAACATACCTCAAATGTCTCACATTTCTCAGGAAGAATCCCTGCATTTCCCCCCCCTCCTTCCTTTAATTACAGCTGTGGAGTGAGCCGCGGCCGGGAAACAGACTCCCAGCCGCGCGGTCAAACATTAGCGCCTGGCCGGGTAAAGTTTGACTCCAGAGCCAGTTAAACCGCCTACTTATTAACTCCCTAAATTATAGATATATATATCTTCCCATCATTTCCGGTTGCAGCAGCAAGTGTTAGTGGACGGGAGTGGGTCTGACAGAGCGGTGGTCGTCTGAGTATTCGGGTTGACTTCATGTTGGGACACAATTTGTTCAAAGTTGTTCCAGTCGCTTGTTGTCGCATAACATCTCAAATTAATGCAAAAGACAAATTCTGTAATGTGTAAAAATTACACTTTTGTTGAGTTTAATGAAGTTTTACTGCAGTTATTATGATAATGAAGCAATTATGCTTTCTTTTTTTACTTTTAATTTTACTGCTTTGTATTTTAATTTTACTTCTGTTATTGAGAATAATATAGCAGAAGTCCTTTCCATTATATATATATAATGTGTTTAAATTTCATTCTGATAAATCATTAGTATTTATGCGTCAGGTTTTATGGAACATTTTCTTTCTGTAAAACGTGATTCAGGTTCATAAACACAGTCGGCCATGAACAGACGTGAGGTAAACGGTGGCTAAGGACACCCAGCCATCACCAGCTCATAAACTATGCATTTTCTTACATCCTTTATGTTTCCATGTACTTTAATCATGAAGTGTTAGTTTGTTTTTCACTGTAGTTAAGGACTTTCATGAATTAATAGTATAATAAAATGTTAAATTCTTATTTACAGTTTCGTCTTAACATGTTTGTTATATTCCACATATATATATATATATATCATGTCTTAGTTCTTTATGGTGCCAGGATAGGCTTGTCCATCAAATTAATTATTGCTTATTATAGCCCCCTTATCAGAGAAAAATCACTCAGTTACATCTTTTGTTTAGTTATTAATTACTGGAGTCACGTAATCACATTTCTTTAAAGTGTAGGCTATGAGAGATTGCTTTAAAGCTATAATTTCGGGCTCTTCTGTCCTTAAATAATCCATTCTTCTTTTATCTTGTACAAACACTTCATCCCAAGTGTCTTCCATCCATTTCTTTATTCTCTTCATCAGGCAAACAATGTCAAATTATCAATATAGGGAGTGTTGGGAGTATAAGTTTGGTTATATTAATTTCAGTAACAGTTAACCTTTGTGCATATGAAATATTCGTGTTACATCTAATATTTCATATGCACAAAGGTTAACTGTTACTGAAATCAATAAAACCAAACTTACACTCCCAACAGGAGCTGAAAAATAAAAACAGTGGTATGGATGGGCGAGGATTTATTTTATTTTATTATAATTTTTTGCAAGTGGGTTACAAATCAAATCCCGCTTTGGCCCCGACTCAACCTCGGCCCGGCATTGCCTGCACCAGTTTGCTTTTAAACGCGACATGTTTACTCTGACCTGCTTCATTCTGAGGTTCATATAATAAGCACATGCAAACAATTTAATTTATTTCTACCAAAATGATCTCAAAGCGTAGTTTCAATCTGTAGACCCTGTGCCTGATGTAAGCTCAACCAAATAAGTCAAAGATAGAAATTAGAAACATTACATTGTTGGTAAACACATTCAATTAAGTTAAAAAAAAACGACTTGGTGCAAACAGGACTGATTCTTAGTGCTTGTTTTGCTTTAAAAACAAATATTACACCACAGTTTAGGACACAATTTATCGAAATGTTTTTGTTTGGATGAAATCTACTGATTTAAAATACAAGTTTGTGAGCCATGTGTAGCTTTTTACATAATATTCCTAAATACCAGAATATGGAAGAGAGTAAATTTCACCTTGTCGGTATTTATTTTCTTTCAACATACAAAATACACGCAGATCATGTTTGTGATCAGACTGACAAAAGGGCAATAATCGTCAGTGTGCAGAAGCTGTGAATAAAATCTGTCAGAACAAATGAAGAGTGAAACGGAAAGCAAAGCAGCAAATGAAGGAGCCGACGGTAAGGCCCAATATCAACAAAACAGAAACAAAACCACTGGGAGTCAGAAACCACAACGAAATAATAATGAAAATAATCTGAATTACTGATGGTGTTGTTATAAACATTGTATTTGGAAATATTTGAACAGCTTTAATCCGTTTTTGGTTTAAATTTAAATTGAGAAGTTATAACAAACCCCGGCCTAAAGTTGAGTTTATCACAACAACTATTTGCATCTTTGCCCTGTTGAAGCAAAGAATAGGAAGGTATTGATCTAACTAAACTGTGCTGTGACTGGAGTTTACTTACACATGAGATGTGTTTTACTGACTACATTAATCTACTATCATGTTATCGTGGTGACATGTTTCATCATTTTGTGGGATAATTGTTCGTAAATAGGTGAGAACAGAGGGAAATGTTGGAAAGAATCGCCTGACTAAATACGTTTTCTGATCGAAACTGGAAACCGTTCATGAATATTAATATATTTTTGACCCCTAAAGTAATAACACAATAATTAAAACTGGAATACTTGTTAAATACAAAGAACAAGTGCTCCAGCTTCCCACTGACTGACTGTGTATCTGTGTGTTTCCGTGCAGCAGACAGAGTGTGTTTTAGTTGATCTCGGTTCAAGTTAACGAGCTGCGGTGTAAAAGTGCTGCTGCTCCGCGTGTGTGTGTGAGTGTGTGTGTGTCATGTGGTGCGCACCGCAGCAGCTGACAGGAGTGTGTGTTTTCCCGAGGAGCAACAGGTGGATTGGAGCAGTGTGACGAATGAATGGAGGGAGTCGAGGGAGGAGGAAAAAAAAAATCCCCACCTGTCACATCCTCCCCTGAAAATGTCCAGCCAAAGCCAGAGGAGTTGTCTATTTCCCTCCATGGCCTCTTATCCTTTGTCTTAATAACCGTCGAGATCGCTGCAGCCTCAGACAGACGAGTGCTTCTGTTGTGCTGGAATTCAAAGGTTTCGTAGTTTTAGCGTTTTGCGTGAGGGTGGACGTGTTTGTGTGGGTAAAAACAAGAGAAAGGAGTGTAATGGTGTGCGAGCGAGGAGAAAACGGCCCAGCATGTTCGCATCCATCGCCTTGAACGGGTCCACTCCAGACGAGTTTTTTTTTTCTCTCTCTTCGTCTGTTTCGCCGTGCTCATCCCACATAGTGATAATTCCTCCCCCTCTTGCACAAGAGAAATGAATAATGGCTCAGATGTGAGCCTTGCAGAGAGAAAAGCCTTTCTGCACCTCCCTCCCTTATTCGTCTGCAGGCCTGCTGCATGTCTGTCTGCCGTGTCGACGCGGCTTACAGGGCCTCTGTTCCTTTATTTTCTTTTTCTTTACAACTTTTCCCGAACACATTAGTAGCTAACAGAGGTGTGCGTTTGTTACTGGCTGCACCAGATAATTACTACTACACACTAAAGCTTATAACAAAAGTTTTTGTTTGTGTTAGAGTGTCTTGTCTTCCTACTCCTTGACTTTTATGACCAAACAAAAGTATTTTGTGGATTTTTATCCGTACATATTAGTTGATATCTAGATTTTATATCTGAAATACTGAACGTTTGTGAGTCCCAGGACTACAGCTGCTAGAAAGTAGATTAATCAGCTAAAGATTTCAGACTCAAAGCTCAATCAACAAGAAGCCTCTTCAGATTGATTACCAGACAGACTCCCGGCCCACAGCATTACTGTCCATGATGGCTCTTTGGAGATGATATAAGTTACTTAAACGTTTCATTTTTCCTTTCTAATAAATAAATTATGTTTCAATTGAGTTGAATGAAAAAAGGCAGAATCAAAAAATGTCGACAAATAAATCTGGATCGCTACTTTTCCACTGTTTATTTATGAAGCACATGCCATAAATTCAAACATATTTATTTTATTGTAGTTGCTCTGAAGGGTTTTTGTCGGTTTTCAGGTTGACAAACCTTTAAGCATTGTTTTTATTTTAAAAATGCTTAAACGTGACAATAAATTTGTTTTGTTACTTATGAGATCCTGGAAAACATTATTAACAATACCTAAATACGAAGTCTTACAAAAGCAAACATAAAAATATATATATATATTTTTTTGCACTTCAACCAAATTAAAGTGTCCAGTATTTTGGGGTCTTTTATCCATGACTTGTCATTCTATTGGACTAAGTTGTTAGCTTGTAGAGACCAGCAGTGGATTTTTACACTTGACCTCCGTCTCTGTATATGTTCACTTCCTGGCCGTGCTACGTTGCACGGTCAAACCATATAATAAATGAAACCACGCTTAGAGTAGAGCCTGGTGGCCTGCCAGGCTTATAATACACCGGGTGAAACCCTGGTATGTGTTATGTGAAGAGGAAGTACCTCTCCAAAGAGTCTCATGTAGAGAAATTATAAAAGAAGCCTGAGTCTAAAGAAATACATTTAAAAACGCTGTGGTGTTTGACTCCAGATCTTTCTGTGGGGCTATAAGTCGTCACCATCTAAAATATAAAACCCTGGGCTCTGAGAGTGTTTAAGCCTCTAAGTTCTTGCTGATGCAGGCCAGCAGGACTCTGTGCCAGAGAACAGCGCACCAAACAAAATAAACCTGCTGGTTGCCACGAGCTCTCAGAGTGACTTTATTTCCATCTCACAGCCTGATCCCGCACGGTGGCTTTGTATCCCAAATATTTCCTGACCCCCTGCATTCCCGGTGTGATTAGTGCAGATTTTGGCCACTTGAGTAGACACGCACACGCACTCGCATGGTGTTGTGTTGAACAGGAAGTGGCGCAGGCGGGAGCAGCCGAGTCACTGCGAGTAGACAAAGCGAATATTTAGGTCTGATTTTAGTGTTTAGTTTTCAGCGTCACATGCTCAGACGTGGGTAGAGTGGCCAAAAGTTCACTCAAGTAAGAGCAGCGCTGCTTCAACAGTATTTTCACTCAAGTAGTAAAAAGTGGCTTTCTCAAGTAAGAGTGAAAAAGCATTTGGTAAAAAAACAAAACAAAGCAAAACAAAAAGGCTACTTAAGTCCCGAGTAATCGATCATAAAATCTGATTTAATACTTTAAAATTGTCATAAAGGAGACAAAATATAAAATATGGAAGAATTTGTGTGTAATAAAGAAACTAAAAATGAGTACAAAGTAGCACAATTAGGTAGAAGAAACAAAAATAATTGCAATATTAAAGCCTTACATAAGTTTACAGTATGTAACATGTATATTTCCAGTGCCAGTAAATTGTGTTTACTGTGTCTTACTCATCTCCAACAAGCTCAGCAGATAGAAAATAACGTGAGAACAACAAATCTGGTGCAATCGCAAGAAATCTCACTTTAACATAAACTGTAGGCGTGTGTCTGTGTTTCATAGATTTTGGTTGAAATCTGTTTGTTCCTTCATTATTGAAGTTACTCATATTGAATAAAGTATCCATAAATTTCACTCAAGTAAGAATAGCAATAATATGCATAACAATATTACTCAAGTTAAAGTATATATTACAGTAAAAGTAATTAGTGAAGTATCTCGTTCAAGCGATAAGTTGAATTAATTGTGATGAATCGATTATTGTAATAATTTAGTCATTGATTAACAATTAAATTTACTGAAACAACACCATACTGAAAACTGTTCAACTGTACATTTATGATAAATATGTAAACTTGTAATATGTAAATATTACAAGTGACAGTTTTAGCTTTACCCAGCCCAAATTCACTAAACATATATAATGTTTTTGTATTTTCTGCAACAAAATGCTTATTTTCTTATTTCAAGATGGAATTTAATTATTTGTTTATATGCATCTTATAATGTATTTATAATATTGTATAAAAAGTCTAAAGTGATTAGTTGAAAAAGAAAAACTTATTATTTTTACTAAAATAACAGTTCGTTGCAGCATTAATCCAGTTTCTACTCAAAGTTTTGTGTGACGGTTTCAGACCTGCCCCCCTGTCTGGATGCAGCCCAGGTCAAAGGTGAACAGAGGTCCAGCTTCCTGTAGACTCATAAGAAGGTCTGTGTGTTAATATTTGCTGGTCAGACATCAGGACCCCGGCAGACTGCATCGTGTCGACATGTTAAAGATTGAGTTTGCGCCTTAACGTCTTTGTTTAGTGGGTTTTTTGCCTTAGTGTGCCTCATTTGGTCAGTGTGTGTGCCGTTGTGTAAGGGGTGAATGGGGCTGGTCTGGTGGTTCCTTGGCCCCCTGACCGCAGCTCCAGCTGGGGGATTATCCCACTGAGCAGATCAAGTGAGAGGGGGTGGAGGAGGACCAGCAAGCCGGCAGGAGGAGTGAGGGAAGAAGTGGGAGTTGTTGGTAGTGCGGCTGGCTGTTTTAAAACATGGCTTAGTTGAATTAACCTCCCGGATGCATTGAGAGAGGCACAGAGCTGCACTCTGATGGTTTATGGTAGCTACAAATCTCACAATGACCTGCAGTTGCAGGTGCTTTAAAATCAGTTTAGTAAACAATGGAAATGTCTCATCAGGTAATGCTTGCTTTTTTTCCTTTTTTTTAACTTTGTGGTTGTGATTTTTTTTATTACAGCTCACTGGCTGAGTGGCTCATGATCTTATTTAGAGCTTTGTGGAAAACACAATACAAATCGTTGCATAACTCTTGAGTGGTTTCTGTGCAACGTTCTGAAAAGTTGGGATAGAGAAGGACAGAGGAAAACTTTGGCTACATTTCTCCAGTGTCTCCTTTTTTATCATTATTATTGTTTTTAAGCCACTGACTGAACTTTTGCACATTGCGTCACATTGTTAACAGAAGCTTTTATGTGTTCGTTGCAACTTTATGTATTAGGGCATTACAATAAAGGAAGAAATAAGGAAAATAATGCATTGTTTTCCATGTTTTGTAAATGTAGAAAAAAAAAAGTGTTTTGCATTTGCTTTCAGGCCTCCTGATTCACTACTTTATGGAACCACAGAGCTGGAAGTATTTCAGAGTATCTCTGTATCTGTTTTCCACATTACAGTTACAATTTTGCTCAAATTCTCAGTATCAAAAATTTTTTGGTGCATTCTACCAGAGCACCTTCTTCCACATGTTTACTGCGTCCTCCATGTTGTTTGTGGGATTATTTTGATTCCAAACTGAACAGGATTTAGTCCCTTTTTCTCACCACTTCCTCATGCTGTTTTGTCACAAAAAATCCAGACAAAGTGCCTCAAAACCTGTGATTGCATACGTGAAAGAAACCATGACCACTTTTGTAAAGAATTGTAACTTGCTTTGGATCTGATTTAATGTTGGCATAAAGTAAAATTGCATAGCAGGTAGAATTGCTAAAAAGAAGAGTGACTAAAGATGACTGATAATATCATTCAATTCAAAAGAAATTAAATGTTGTAACTCATTTATCTAAGTATCTTCAAGGAGTCTGTGTGGATGGTGATGTGGATAGGAAGGATCTCCAGTAGCAGTCAGTCTTGCAACAATCTGAAGAGGCCTCTGACTGAAGACACTGTTGCTGTATGACGGTCTGACGCTAACAGCTCAATGTCTGGGCAGCAGAAATTATAATCTACGGTAACATGGATGGCACAAGCTTAGCCACACTGCTAACCCACCTCACTTGCTCTTGCCACTCCTCTTTTAGGGTCTGCTTGGGTTCATGACTAGAAAGTCGGGCAGAGAGGTCAAAATGTCATTTAGGTCAAACTGTCTGTTTTTCACAGCCTTCAATGCAATCACACAGATCTGTTTTCTCACCAGTTCCACAAAAAACTCTGAACACGACTCAAAGTCGTGGTCTAGGTGATTGTCTATGAACCTTTGTCCATCTGTTTGTGTTTGATCTTCATGTGTCTTTGCGCACAAGCTCGGAAATGTGGACTCCACAACCGATGTTTCTCTGCAGCAGGAAGTGGCTGAGGAAGATCAGTTGTCTAGAGGGAAGCATGATGGACGAGGGTTGGAAAGTGGGGGCAGACTAGGTGAATTCTTTCTCTCTGCCTGTAACACTGACTTGCTGACCAAGTCTCTGCGGTGACGTAATGTTTGCGACTTTGGCCTTTGTTGGCTTAAACGGATGCGGTGTTGTCATAGTTTCACTGCGGCAGGAAAATAACCCATGACAAAGACAAACTCTGTTTGCATTGACTCATGAGTCTGACTGTTCTTTCTTCGCTGTGTCCGACCATTGTTCACGTTTGTCTCCTGTGTGTTTGTCGATAGGAAGAGGTGGAGCCGACGCCTGTCTCTTTCTCTTCACCCTGAGGTTTAGGAACCGCGTGCACATCTTAAACAAACTCGAGTAGGGAAAACAGGATGGGAATCTGTTGCAAGTCCCCCTGTGTTTGCCTCCTGAGCATTTTTTTCCTGAGAATATCAGGGAACCTTGAACTAGTCTAAAAAGTTACTAAATGAATAATAAAAACACAGGGAGCTGAAAAAGTTATTGGAGAAGGTGAAACAAAAGAGCATTGGGACTCTTTCAGCTCCCTCCATTTGTTTCAGTTCCTCTTGTCCTACTTAATGTAATTATTATTTTTATTATTATTTACAACATTGAGATTCAATTCAGTTTAAAATACTTTATTGCTCCCAAAGGGAAATCAAGTGATGCAGTACATTGAGTGTCACAGTCTCTGGTGAATGAGTAGTGGCCATTTTTGCAGTTTTCTCCGTCTTCTGTGGCTCGTTAAGTGTTATTCTTTTAAAAACTGGCCCCCTGCTCTTTGCTTTACTTCATAAATATTGGGGGTCTGAACCCTGGGCTATTGATAAACAATTGCTTCCTCAAGCCATTGAGATTTTAAATTTTACTGAATTACTTGAGTTTTTCTGTGATGCCATTTCAACGCTGTGAAGTTTACTGGAAATTGCCTCGGCCTTTGCCACCACTTTAACCCTAAAGTTAAATGATTTCGTCTTTCTATCTTCACCACATCCAGGCTCGTCATTGACACCATCTTCATCCCACCTCTGGATGTCCTACAGGGAGCCGTGCTTCTCGTTAGAGGCTCTCCCTCCTTTCACCGCCAGCAGCCATCCCAACTCTAACTCTACACCCACTCCTCGCTCTGTGGTCCTCTTCCTGACACCCCACCACGTCTGCGGAGTGGGTGCCGGCTCCCTCCCCGAGGGGTGGGAGCGAGGAGCTGGGAGATGGACTTGACAAACCCCTGGAGAACGACGCCGAGGGCGTGTGGAGCCCCGACATCGAGCAGAGCTTCCAGGAAGCCCTGGCAATTTATCCACCATGTGGCCGCAGGAAGATAATCCTCTCTGATGAGGGCAAGATGTACGGTACGCCCATCTCTATTGTCATCATCCCTCGTTTCTTTCACTCTTTTTAAAGGAACATGACAAAAATGCACATTAAGGCACATTTATACATATCTAGCAAATCAGGAAGTGCTTGATTTAAATCTCCTTCAATAGTTTAAGATGTAAGACTCTGTCAAACAAAATACACTTACCTGCTTGTGCAGCCGTTTAAATAACCAAAGTGCATTTTCCACAAGAATAGCTGAGTAATCATGTGTTCATCTCAGTCTTATACATCCTCCTTTAATGACGCATCAGTTTGCTACTCGTGCCTCTCAATAACTTTGATGACAATCATCACAGTTTGTGTGAGCGAAAACAAAAATCCTTTACCAAACACTTCTTAATCTGAAATGTGGTCAAACTGCTCTTACTGATTGTTTCTGTTTTTTACATACGTGATCTCTCCTTATATTCATGAGTCACATCCCTCATGTTTCCTGTGCAGCTGTTGAGCTCATGCTCCTACAATCCTCAGTTTGATGGTTTGATATGTCACTCTTTCCAAGAGGTTTAGCTTTGCAACCTTCGCAAGACTTGAACAAGATTTTAGCTGTTTTTGGGAAGGAAAATGAGTCAAAATGTTTATTATTTTTCTCATTGACAAATTTATTAAAATTAAAAGTGGGGAGTGTGGCAATATTTTTGGAAAAACCAAACATCCCATCTTGTTTTGTTTTGTTTTCACAAATAGATCAGAGGTTTCACAATTTGTCTTTCACTGAATCTGTTACCACTGTAGAATAATCCTGTCCAATCTTGAATGATTTAAATATACTCATTTTTAATCCTTAAAGATTTCTTAAAGTGTTACTGTCCTGTTTAGATTTGATTAACCAAAGTTGCACAATTTTGAACTAGTGATGATTAAGTATAGTGCACACTCATGAAAAATTTTGAAATATTTTCTTAGCTTAGCAGGGACTGGAAGCTGCAGAGCAGATGCTAAAGTTAGCGGCTACCTGCTATTAGTCGTCAGTGACACCAATCTCTGTTCTTAAAATCAATTGTAACACGTCCATCCCTCTGTCACAGCTGCGTTTTTGTACAGATTACCCAAAATGGTGCCAGATAAAGAGTTTTCAAGAGGAGATTTCTTCAACGCTTTTATAACATTGTAACATTTGCGGTAGAGTATGTTTCGCTCGCCAAAAGAAAGTCTGTTTTAGTTGACTGTCTTCAAAGCAAGGCAACTTGAGAACCACTTTCTTTCTTTACATAAAAAAAGTTTTCAAAATAGATGCAACAGAGGATGAAGACTGAAGGACTTACTTTCACATGCAGGGTTCATAATAATAGCTTTCATTTACTTCACAAGGCAAGGTCACGTCCCAACAAGTCTTTGATAAAACTTTGCAAAAGCGCGTTCACTTACATGTTTATTAAGATTTAGTACCACTTAGACTTTACTCTTCAATCAGAAATATTTATTGTAGGCTAATTAGCAAGCTAACTGTGTCAAACCCTAATATTCAACTGACTGAATTTACTGCAAATAGTCTTTTAGATTTTTTTTTTTGGGGGTGGGGGGGGTTCTTTTATTTCTTAATAATTTCAGTTTTTCATGACCTAAGACATTCTCAGAGTGATGTCGATTCCAAGCATGTGCTGGTGAGGTGAGGTTGCTGCAGAACTTTGCTGAAAGATGTTTGGTGACAGATGGTTTGGCCGAAGAGAGCCCTTCTGCCCGACCGTTTGATAATGGATCTGCTTGGTGGAAAACTGGGTGGATGCAGGCAGTGGCGCTTTCAGACAGTGTCTGTCATCGCCTTGTTTTGTCACTGTGCCAGACAGCTCCTTTAACTCTTAGCTTAGCCTAGCCTAGCGTAGCTGTTGATTGAGGTCACGGCCATTCCCTGATCAACACTTAAACCCTTATAAAGCCTTCAATAATAGTTGGTTGGTGGGGGAGACGAAAGGAGGGAGGGGCAGGTGTCTTACTCTTGGTCACTGGGATTCGGTGGGGCGGTGCTTGTTGGGCGACGTTGTTGGGGTTTGGACAAGGAAGGGATTGAGGTACCCCTTCCTCTCTGTGGGGGTCAGAGGCAGGTGATGTGCACCCGGGAGCATGATGGCTTGTCAGGAATGGCATGTGTGCATGGAAGCCCGGGGGTTCAAGGCAACTTGGCTGTAACCCTAAACCAGAATAGATGTTTACCCTTTGAGCGCCTGGAGGGGAGGATGAGGAGTGAACGAATAAACACCAAGGTGGCCAGTGATGTTTTGCAGAGCCTCAGAGCACGCTAGAGCTCTCTCACACCTGTCCCCAAGTTGCAGAGGGGAAGAATTGAAATTTGTTTGTTCTGTTGCACTCTTTTGTTCAGGGCGTCCTTGATTCACTGCCACCATGTGTCTTTGTCTCAGGCAGTTCTCTTTGTCCTTCATGAGAAACATCTTCCGTCTGTCAGTACGTCTGTTGGTTAGTCCGCCTCTCAGTTCGCCTCCAGCTGCTCCCTGAGTTCAACCTGACAGCCTTGTGACAAATCCAGATTTATGACTTGAGAAAAAGACATGACCGAGGCCGTGCTTGGCCTGCTTTGCCCCCGTTGCCCTCAAACAGCCACGCGGGGCCTTCCCTTTCAGTCCACTCTGCCCCTGGAGCTCTTGCTCTTATCGCCATCCCATCCCTGTGGTCACTTTTGGTCAACAGCTCAAGTCATTCAGGCTACCACAATCGACACAAAGCCTCTTTGGAGGTCTTTATTGTTGTTAATGTTGTTAAAGTGCTGATGGGTGGTATTAAATCAGGTGCCCAAATCAAATATCTGCTAATAATATCTTGACAGGCATTCCTGAAATTGCTAAGAGATGACATGGTGGTTTTAGAAAAGTCATTGAGACTTCTCGCACAGTCTAAATGTGGATTCATAGACAAAACAAACCAAGAGACGTGTCTGTCGACTGAGAGTGGCATACTCTGAATTTAAGGCTAAATTCCATCAAGAGACACGAACGCCATTCCTTCCTGAGCTACATGATGCTGAGTCTCAAACCAACCAAAACCAAAGAATGCGTTTAGCTGAAATTGTGCGTCGACAAACTTTGAGCTAAATTGAATGCTTTAGGCCACATTCTGCATGAACGCTCCACATTTTTCCCCAGAATGCTCTGGGTTTTGCTCGCCCGGACAACCGTTGCTCAACAGACCTTTTAGCTTGCTTATTAGGAAGGGTGTCATGGATATTGTTGCGCTTGTGTGGACCAGTAGTAATTCGACATGCATCTGCCAAGAAAAACATTTCCTGCCTTGTGCTGCTCCAGGCCAGAGAGACGTGTTGTGGTGAGAGGGTTTCATGCTGCAGTGGTGGAGGAAAAGTCCCAAACTTGTGCCCATGTGTTGACAGCTCCACGCAGAAGAATGTAGCCCTGGAAATATAATTATCTTCTCTGTTCATTTGCTGTCATATATCTGCCAGTTTGATTTGTGAGTCACTTTTGCAATTGTAATTATTTTTATTTTATGCCTATTTAATATGTTTTATGATTTAACTGCATTTGCTCTTGCCTCACAGCATTTTTTTGTTGTTTTTGTGCAGCTGTCTGGTTTTGTCTCTCTGGATTTCCAAACGTCTGTGTGACAAATGTTTTTCTCACATTTTAATGTATCTGGATGGGGGGAGAGAGACAGGACTTCAGTGTTAGAAGAGTAAATCGAGCTCTATTCTGTAAGAGAAACATAAAATGTTTTTATTGACAACATAGTAAATTATTCTCTTTCTGAGGTTTGGTTGGGAAACATTTCATCCTGTTGACAATTTTAGTCGCGAATAATTATAATGTGCTTTAGGCGCAAGCCATTTTTATTAAAAATCTGATGAAAAGGCCAGCGGGAAGCAACAATGACTCTGCACTCAGGTTCAAAGTTTGGCAATAAATTGAGAGATTCACCCGTCACTTTGACCCTTGAAGCTTCTAGGGATGCTTGGAAAAAGGCACTTCTGGAAACACTTAACTGTAAAGATGTGTGAGTTTGAGCTGTTGAAATGGCCACAGATTTTCAATTAAATGAAGGTCTGTACTTTGACTGGGCCACGCATGCTTTGATGTAAATGCTGTATCGTTAGGGTTCTTGTTCTGTCAGAGGACGGAGTTCCAGACTCAAAGGGTTTTATCTCCCTCCATCAATGATCCCATCAAATCTGTCCAGCTTCCTTGGTCCTCCTGAAGAAAAGCATTCCCTCAGCATAATCCTGCCACCACCATGTATCAGACTGGATACGGTCTGTTTCTGGTGATGTGCAGTTTTTGCTTTGCATCATTTGTCACGTTTTCTCATTTGGCCAAAAAGGTTCATTTTTATTCTCATTGAGCCAGGCCTCTTCTTTCACAGCTTTGCTCATTGAGGAGTTTAAATGGTACTTTTATGTCTTTAATCTTCCCACTGTAGATTAAGAAGACCAATAAATTTCCAGTCAATAGGTACTCCCACCTGAGCCACGGATCTCGGTTGCTCATCCAGAGTTACAGCAGGCCTCTTGGCTGCTTCCGCGTCAATTTAGTTGTACAGGATTGTATCTGTATATTCATTATTGTGCCACTTACTGCTTTCTAATCACTAGTACATTGCTTTTGAAGCTGTTTGGTTAAACTGATTTTTATTGTTGGAATAATAGTTTAATAGGGCTGAATACTTTTCACTTTTCAGATTTTTTTTGGGTAAGAAAGTTTAAGACCAATGTAAGTTTCTTTCCACTTTACAGTTATGTGCCAGTTTGTTTTGCTCTATTACATAAGATTCCAACAAAACAAAAGTCTGTTGTTGACAAATATTAAAAGAAACTGAACAGTATTTTTGCAGTGCGGTTTATGTGTCACTGCATCCAGTGTGATATATGTTGTCAAATGTAAGTTAGACCTTTTAATTTGTAGTGGAACCAATATCATTATTATTATTATTATTATTATTATTATTATTATTATTATTATCTGATTCAGCTAAATACACGTTTGGTTTCTGTCGTCTTCTCAGAAGTACTCTTATGGCTGAAATTAGTGCATCAGATCATAGTTAAATATTGAGAATACTTAATTTCCCACCCTAAAATTCTAAACTTAAAAAACTTCTTCATCTCCCCTTCCATACGAACAACAGTTTCTTCTCAATTAAATGTCTCTATAAGATTAGAGTTAGGGCAAAAATGCTTTGGATTAACTTTGTTACAAATCAGGTTATTCTGGACTAATATAAAATTGACATGTTGTTGGAATTGGAGTTTGAAATAGGCCTTTACACGTCTCTTAATAGCCGCTAGACTCTATTGGAGAACAAATGACAACCAACCTAGAGATTCCTCATGCCTGCATTTGAATCTGTGTTTTCTTAAGATGAAGCAGTGGGACACAAACACCATGGACAGAAAATGTTTTTCAGATACCGTTATAGTTACCATTCCTCTTTATTTCAATAGTAATTTATTTTAATCGTATTGCACATTGCTTTTGTGTTGCACATGAAGTCGTACAACCCCCACAAAAAACACAGAACAATGCTGTAGCAGCAGATTCAGGAGCCAAGGTGAGCCAGTGAGTAAACAGGAATGTCAGGAATGCGTCGAAGAAAGTCTTAAGTCAGAGGGAGAGAAATCAGACCAGGTCAGTGATGGTCGGAGTCTGACTGGGGGAGAGCAGATATATGAGCAGCCAGGCCCAGAGGCAGACTTTGGAAAATACTCAGTAGAACCTCTTAACCCTCTGTTTGACCTCCAGCAACAATGTTGAGGACAGGGAGAGTAATTTAACACATTTTTCTAATGGTTTATTTCTTCTTTGGATAAAATTCTCACCCAATACTCAGTTTTTTCTTTAGAGATTAGTTTTCCAATATCCAATATCTGGAATATCAAATGCTGTGATTGGATAAACCAAAGAGACCAGACAGAAGCACCATATGGGGGGGAAGTTACAGTTCCAAGGCCCTTGACCGACATGGACCCCACAAAAAAAAAGTAAATAAATATATATGTAACTGTGGCTGTTTTATATATATAGTAATTAAGCAAAAGAAACAATAAAGTCATAACAAATTATATACACAGTATAGGCGGTAATGTTAGCTAATTGGTTAACTAATTAGCGTTGGCTAACTTTGAAGAAGGCTTATAGGTTGATTCGTGACAATAACACTGTCAGCACTGATGATCGACAAAAACTCACTGAGCTTTTCACTTATTTTGTAACAATTGTAAAATTAATAGTGTTTTTTAAGGTTTTATGTGATCGGCCAAGGCAAAATGAAGCATTACTGTGGAGAGGATGGAAAATTATACATATTTTATTCAAAATAGTGTGATATGCACGAGTGTAAAGCCTGGAGAATCACTTTTAATATGTTAAAGTTGTGGTTGTGGGGCAACAAAGAAAGGAAAATGTTGACTTGGTTTACAAAGCTTCTGTTTAAACCGTTCCTCTCTGTTCTCATTGAGTACATTTATTTTTTCAGAGTAAGACTACAGCATCAGATTTTATCTAAGCAGTTATGTTTACCTGCACACCTGCTCTTTTTCAATCACATTGTGATGAAACTATTAGAAACGTCTCGTTCTTTAGCTCTTCTCGGTTGAAAGGACATGACGAGACCCTTGAACTAAGAAAAACCTGGACTTTTCATGGCCCCCCAAGAAATTTTACAGAATCAGATTCCCCCACCAGGAATTTCCGTGACTCTGGGCGGCGCAATAAACAACATCAAGCTGTGGAGCGATTTGTAATGGTAGAACTTTCCTACAGCTTTGGCGGGAGCGACTTCTGTCTGTGCGACCCGATTTGGGTATCATGATCTCATCGTTGTGTGACTGAGTCGCCTCTCTGATCTCATGGGTGTGTTGGAGGGTATTTTTGAAGAGTCAAGCACTCACACTAGGACTGGTAGGGCACCTGATACGAGTGCATCAGGCAAAGCGTCTTTGACTTCCCAAGTTGTTTAATGCTTGAAATGTGAACCTGACCACTTTGGAAAGGCATACTGCCCACTGATGAAAGCAGTTTGTCCTTTGCTCAGATGGTGGTGGAATATTTTTGAAAAAAATCATTCATGGTAACGTATGAAAAAGGTTCCAACTTTGGTTTCTCATTCTAATTTGTAAAATATTTTTGGCAGGTCAGTCAAGTGGAACAGTAAGTTCGCTTCAGGAATGTGTTTTTAAATCCACGAAATAAGATAGGGGGGGTTTAAAATATTTTCCCACCCCTTTTTTTTTTTTTTTTTTTTACTTGGTTTATACACCAAACGGAGACTTGAAGCTCTTGTCGCTGCTGCTTTGAACAGTCCTGTTGCACAGACGTTACGCAAGTGAAGATAATTTCCAGAGGGAAAATGTCTTCTGTACATTAATTTGAGGTCTGGTACTGTGAGCAGTTTTGACTAATGTTCTCTTTTCTGCTTTTTAAGACTTTTATTGTCAGGAAATGTGGAACACTTTCTTAATCCCCAAGCAATTAAAGAAATATGTGTTTAGGGGCTCAAACAGTCATTTGAGAAAAGTTCACCACCCGATAAACACTGAACGGTTACGTTACGTCCCTGAAAAGAAAATAAGATCAGAACAGAAAGAATACGGCAACTGGAGCAGAAATGTGTCAGAAACTGTTTATGTGGGGTTTATGTGGACTAAAATTTTCCTTTAGTGCACAAAAGCTTCACACAAAAGCAATTTCTTTGGAAATGTGACTGCATAACTCTTTTGAGTAACAGATTCCGCAATTTTGTGCCAGCGAAATGGAGGCCAACCGTATACCATTCAACTATTGATGCAAATTAGATTTCTTTAAAAAATTCAATATTATTCAGTTGCTTGTTCATCTCCAATACCTAAAATACCAATGGCACAATCAAAATCAATGGATAGGAGTGAATCAAGAGCACAGAGTTCATATATTTTGACTCACTGGTGTCTTCAGACAGAGACACGTCTGAGGTGTGTGGTGTGGCTTGAATTGCAACAATTCACAATAGGCCAAACTCTTCAAGACAACTTTAACTCTATTGAAAACCTCTGATGAGATCTGCAAAAGGCCGTTGAAGCGGCACAGAAAACCAGGAACATCAACAAACTGGCAGCCTCAGAAGTTGGTGACTAGTTATGAATCAGCGGAAAGGTGCTCTGTTAAGTACTAAACATGTTGGTCCTAAAGAGTTTGAATCACTTTGAGGTTGTAGGACTCATTAGAAGAGCCATATTGTGCTAATTTGAGAGAAACCAATTGAAATATCACTTGCATGGAGCTTTTTAAATAGTGTCTGTCGTCTGGTTTGTATCCTTTCCAGTAAACCCAATTTGCAGAAAACACTGGATCACTCTAGTGATCCAGGCCTTAGTGTAATTCACTAAGACCTTCAAAGACAGAGAGCTGCACAACAGACCAAAATATAGTCTTACAAATTTGCAGTTGTCCTTTGTACCTCGTCTGTTGCATTTTATTTAATTTTTTACAGAGCACCAAGAACAAATAAATTCAAATCATCAAAAAATTCTTCAACGATTATAATAATGATAATGTAATTATAATATAATGATGACATTTTCTGCCACTCATTATAAATCGACTTGTGGTTAACTTAGGAAATACTTCATTTTTATTTTCAGAAATACATGGAGTGTCAAGGTTAAAGCAGTGACCTTGAGATCTTGATCTTGATAACAGCCTAGACAGATGCAGCGACTTGATAGTGCTTCGCTGGACAGGCCTCACACTGACATGAAATATTTTGGCATTTTAATATCACAAGATCATGTGCCAGATTCAGGTTCCCCTGTTTATTGATTACATATTATTCCAACAGACAGTGTCTTACAATCTGTGGCTAATGCACATCACTGAATGTAGTTAGCTGTAAATAGCATGTCGCCTCATTGTGCAGAAAGGTTTGGGCAGACTGAAGGTGCTGCAAACAAGGTGCGCAAAGTCCCCAACTTTTAGAAAGTTTTCAATTTTTTTCATGTTAAAAATACAGAATTCAAGCAGAAAGCTTGACTGTATATCACGTAAAACACAGAATTGTGATTTCTACCTCATTTTCAGTGGTTAAGTTAAGCAGAGAAACCCGTGTGTTTCACAGGAATAGAGTTTTATGCTGCCTCTTCACTGCAGCGCACAAAGACAGTTACCAGTTTTCTTCAATGGAAACACAAGACTGTGGAAATTTCTCCCTGAGAAAACTGGGAGTTGTTTGGGTTCACATGCGCACCAGGGAGAAATGTCGCCCGGCATTCCGTCCAAAATCTGATCACTTTTATTGGTTGACAAAATGCCTGACCGGGTCTGGAGCAGGTGTCTGGTTTCCTCCGATTACGGTGCGGGAAGTGGGAAGTGTGAGGTCTGACCAAAGCATTAGTACATCGGAGAAAATGTGAAATCCTTCCCGAAGTGCGTGACGTGACTGTCCCATGTGTTAACCCGTGACCATGTGGTGCCAAGTGAAAAACGAACGTGTTTAGGAGGTGACGCAAACGCTTGCGAGACCTTTTCTTCGTTCTGGAGTTATTTAACTCGATCAGGTGTGTTTCATTGTTGTCGTTATGAATGACTCTCTCCAACAGATTTGGGGAAGATTTATGATTGACTACAGTACAAAGAGATATCCTATAAACAAAGAAACACAAACCAGTTGCTTCACCATGTTGGGCCTCCCGTCCCGAGTCCCGTCTGAGGATCGCATGGCCCCAGCCTCCACCTGCTCCGCCAGTGTGACCCATCTGTCAGCAGCACACAGACGCACACTCACTGCAGAGATATGAGCTGAGCAAAGGCTCCGGGGGCCACTCTGAGACTGATGCAAGGCCTCACACACAAGACTGTATACTTAGTGATAAACTAACACGATACACTTACACTTAAAGCGTCCGGTGCTGACACACTCGACAGCCACGGCGCTTTTCTGCGTGTGTGTTTGCACAACGATCCATACATGCATGGTGCTTTGCAATAATAATCATACTTCTTGATTTTTTTACTACTTTTTTTGTGGCTTGAGAAGTTGTTATGATTAATTTTTGTCAGATTAGATACATTTTTTGCAGCATTTATACCCCTTAAATTTTCTTTTGTCCCCCATTTTATTTTGTGACCAGTTTTGTTTGATTTGATGTGATGCACCAGTACAAAGCATAAAACAATCATCAAATATTAGAAAAAAAAGATTCAATGGTTTTCAATTAGAAATAGAAATCACTACTGGTAGAAATTGTGATGTGGATTAGAATGCCAAACGAAAATGTCCCCACACATCCCCATGATGAAGCACGGTGGAGTCGTCTCATGCTGTGGGTTTGCTTTTCTGCTGTTCTGATAGCTGCACCTAAACTATGGTAATATTGATGGAGCTGAAAAAAGACAAATTTATTTCACTCATTGGATGTTCACCTTTCAGCAGGACTGTCACATAACAATGCTTTAGAACATTATTATGTATCAGACATCAAAGTCCTTCTAGGGGAAATTGTGGCAAGTCTGGGAAAAAAATGTCAAGCAAAGCATCTACAAAATATTAACACAAAGTATTAACTCAGGGAGGCTGAAGGAAAATGTTTAATTTGTTAAAAAATATTGCCGGCTATGTATTCTTTCCTGTTCCCTCCATCACATTAAAGCCTCAGTAAACTGCACTGAAGTTTGTAGTTGAAATGTGTAAACGTTTAATGGGTAGGAATGCTTTATGCAAGGCAGTTTACACGAGGAAACACTGTCTTATTATAGACACTCAGAAGTGCGATCGGGCATCCATTTAGTCTGTTCTGTTGGACTATTTCTATAAATATGTGCACAGAAATAAGCTGCATATGCAACACATTGGATTTTGCTAGAGACTGTCATCCAGCTAATAATGACAGGATTTTCCACCATGTTCTTTATTTATTCTTTTCATTTTAGCACCTCCTTATTATTTATTTATTCTCAACTTTTAATTTGAGGTTTAAAATACAAATTTAACGAAAAGTGGAAGCTGACTCTGTAGCTAAAATGTTTTGGGAAAAACCTTTCTGTTGTTTCGGCAGGACGGAACGAGTTGATAGCGAGGTACATCAAACTTCGCACGGGGAAGACACGGACCAGGAAGCAGGTGAGTTTCTCTCTGAGTGCCATTTGCTGCAGCCTGCTATTTTTGAACGGCTGCAGAAAATCCTGTTGAGTGACGCACCGACACCCCGTGGAACCCCGCCGCCCCACCACCCGCCTCCTGGCCGCAGAGCCAGAGATGATGATTGATTTAGGGCCGGGGCCCAATGCACAGATGCTATAGGATCATGTGTCGGTGTTGTTTCTTCAGCACCTCGTGGATCTGGTGCTTGTTAGACGGGAAGAAGAAGCTGGGGAATACTGTGATTCAGATGGAGGTGGGAAGTGGGAAGGCAAGGAATTTGGAACGTTGTCTTACTTTCTGAATTATTGATATGGAAGAACTGATTTATAGGACGGTGATTGATGCATTACAGAGTCATCTGATGCAAATGAGAAGCCAGTAAGGCTCAGAAAAGAATTCAAACTAGATAATAAACCTGATGAGAGCGTAGAGGGACACCTACTGGTTTATAACCAGTTAAAGGTCTGTCTGCATGTTTTAGTTGTTAGTCAGTTGAACCTGCATTTCACCAGGCAAAGTATTATTTGCAATAATAACATTACTATTCTGCAATTACATTGTAAGAAATAATATTTACCTTTGGAACACATAGCTCCTCTTTCTGATTTTAATCCACTTTAATTTTAAGAACAAGTGTTTTCTTTTGTTTGTTTTTTTTTCAGATTGAGACTCTTTGTGCGCTTTGTGTATTTTAGGGAATGAGCTGCATAATTCTCAAGAAACTGTGAAATATCGACATTTTGAGTGAGTTCAGATCATAATTCTGTTAGATTTTTAACATGTTTCGAACCAAAGCAAAACCTGAAACTAGAGTGACTCCTTTAATGACTTTGTGGAGCATTTCTGACCAGCGGACTGTAAAATATTAGAAAAACAATTCAAATATCTTTTAAATGTCATTAATTACTAGGCAAGATGATGTCACACTGTGTCTTTGAGAAGAAATAATATTGTTAAGGAGTCTCTCACAATTATTCTAAAATAAAGAGGAAATAATTTGTTTATATAATAACATAAATGAGTCCAGTTAGTACAGCTTAGCTGCACTAAGTGTATATTCTAGATCCTAGATTGAAGTCTAGTTCTTTGTTGTAGAAGCCAGAAGGATATTTTGCGTAATCTTATGTTGAAACAAATAGGTGAATAAGAAAAATATCTAAATTACATCTCATTTGCAGATAACTTCTACACCAAAGAGTGTTGTGGTAGCACTTTGTTGAAATCTGTTCACTGATTGAAAGACAACCAGACAGTTCTGACTGGTTAGTCACCAGTATTAGTCCAATCCTGGTCTCTGTGCATCTTTAATTTTAATTTAATGTTAATTCCCTTTGTGTGACGTTCTGCTTCACTTTGTGCTGTCTGTTGTTGTCTTTGCCTTCCAGGTATCCAGTCACATCCAGGTTCTTGCCCGACGGAAGGCCAGGGAGATCCAGGTGAAGCTCAAGGTACGCTACGTGAGTCAATTTTTATTTGCTTTTCATCCCTTTTTTCCACTTTAAAAGCTCAAAGTTATTAGAAAACATGTTTTCTCTCTCCAGGTTTTACCCTTGGTAATATAAGTTTTCCTCCACGGTTTACCAAGAGCTCACACATCCCTGCCTCTTCAGTACTTTCTCAGTTTGCATTACTCATCCGCATACACTTACATGCTCACAGTCACAACAGGCAACGCGCCTCTCCTTCACCTTGGACGTCCGCCACCAGGGTTCAGCTGGCAGCGCTCTGCACCAGTCACAGGGTTGGCCCCGGCGGCCGGCCTTTTTAAATATGCCTTTAGTGTAACTGAGATCCCTGCCATATGTAACCCCCATATTTCAGCTATGCCCTTGTGTTCGCCAATTCTGGGACCAAGAATGCACCGTGTGGCCTTGCCCATTTGGGCAGGGTGGCAGGCGCTCGCAGCTCACTGCGGATCGGAAACTGCTGAAGGAGGCGATCTGAAAACTCAAACATTTTGTCTCCAGCTTGTCCGTTTGTGACAATGTTTGTGAGGATCAGAGTATTTTATAGTTCCGGTGCCAGTACCAACATATCATCCCAGTGCCTCCCTTGACTTCCAGTACGACCTCTAACAGGAGCTAGTTGTCATCACTGGCTGGCTCCTGCCAAAGCAATAAACTTAACTCTTGACCCAAAGGCCCTCCACGGTAATATTACCTTCTGTCCAGGTCTTCACCTGGCAGGAACTCACAGATGATGTAAGGTGGCCTCAGCCTCTCATTTCCCTTTTTGGGGCAGTGCTGATGTTAGAAAGAGGACTGATGTTTACGCAAAGTTCGGCTGATGAGAGCTGCACTCCAGTCTGTTTATCTTACGCTGAACTGTTTGTCCGTCTTTATAGGACCAGGCTGCCAAAGACAAAGCCCTCCAGAGCATGGCCACCATGTCCTCTGCTCAGATCATCTCACCCACAGCCTTCCAGAACAAGATGGCTCTTCAGGGACTCTCCAGACCAGCTTATCCTACTGCTGGTGGAGTAAGTCTTACATCACAGAGAAGTTGTATTTTTGTTTTTACTTTTGAACGTTACATAGATTCATTTTAATTGCCTGAAATTTATTCATCTGGATAAATGTTTTTATTCAGATGACACTAAGTATCTTGAGGGATTTTCTGATTTTTTTTATGCAAACATGCTTTTGTAGGAATTTGTGTGGACTATGTTTTAGTTTTTTCTTTTTTGTTTTTTTTTAACGCAAAGTTGTGCATCCTTTGGCTATTTCTACATTTTGTCACAATATTGTGGCTTACCAACAGACCAATTAAAAGCCAAACCAAGCTTCTTTGCACAGCACATTTCAGCAACATAGCAGCTCAAAGTGCTTCACACATTAAAAACATAATATAATAACCAATTGTGAAGGAAGCAATTAACGTTGCATTTTCTCAAATGCTTCCATCAACCTCATCAAGCAAATGTATATCAAACATGTCTATATTTAACATGTCTGTTAAATATAATAATGTAATTTGCATCACATTAAAAAGCAGATTATTTGATTAAACGACTTCAGATTAATCACTTTTAAAGTTTAAATTATTTTCTTCTCTTTATTTATTTTCCTAGTTCTGGCATGGGACTCTTCCTGCTCAGACAGGAGGTCATGAGGAGTAAGTATCAGTTTTTTGCCGTTTTTTACCTAGTAATGTGTTACTGACGTTGGGCCACTTTTTTCAGTAACTAGTGATCTAACGTGTTGCTATTTCAAGTCCAGTAGTCAGACTACAGTTACGCATCGAAATCACTTTGCGTTCCTGTGTGTTACAATTTTCTTTTGTAATTTTATGTTATTTTCCTCTTGTGACCGTTGTTTCTATGCGACCGTTATCAGCAGCGACAGAAATGTAAAAAATAGAGGGAGATGCCCATTTTGTTGCTGAAAAGAAAGTATTTTGAGTTTCGCTCACCAATTCTGTTTGTTTTAAGCAGCTTTGGGCTTGTTTTTTTCTTCCTAAAGTCGCATGCAAGTTTAATGAATTGCACTCTTTGGGCTTAGAAATAAGAAGACATAAACCCCAGAATTTGACATCCGGTTAACTTTAGTCTATCATTACCCCGATGATCCGCCCCGCTGTGTCTTTGTTAATGTCAAGTCAATGTATTTGCTGTGAACGACGCCCAGCTTTGCTTTGCGCTCCAGAAAACCGCAGACATTGAGACTAATATGAACAGCGCAATAAACACAAAAACAGACACGATTGAGCGTGTGCGTAAATTTGTGCGACTAAAAGTCTTTATAATTATGAGTTGTGGAGCCACAGGAGGAGCTCTATGCGCTGTGACAGCAAACGCAGGGCCGTAACACAGAACCTGGAGGCTGGGGCGGGGGGGAGGGGGACTTTAAAATCCTTCTTAGAGTTTTCCAGACAAAAACTAAAGTTTTTTTGTACTATTGTAACCATTGAATAATCTCCCCTTCAGTTAAACCTTATAAGTGGAGACACATTGTTGATATTACCATTATGAAATAACTAAGTTTTGGCAAAAATCATTATAATTTTCACAGGTGGCAGAGCGTTGTTGTTAGCAGCTGCTGAAAATAACTAAAATAGTTACTTTTAATGTAACCCAGATACTTTCCAAATCAAGTAATCAGTAATCTAACTAAATTACTTTTTAAAAGAGTAATCAGTAATCCGATTAAAGTTACTTTTTCAAAGTAGCTGTGCCATCACTGGTTAATAGTCATCAGATAGATTTCAGTCAGGAAAAATAATTTCTGAGCAAATCGAAACGCATCAGTGCAATTAGAAACAGAGGCCCTCAGCTGCCTGGCGCTCAGTGTACCAGGCTGCTCTTCGCGGTCACTTAGTCCAATTAGTGAGTACATGAGCTGGAGTCGTGGGGCCGAGAAGCAGCATAACATGCCTCTCCTTCTCTTGTCTGTCTCTCCCTCCCAGCATTAAGCCCTTCTCCCAGCAGAGTTATGCCATGCAGGCGTCAGGCCCGACCCCGATAACAGGTGGGTGCTCCTTCTCTCCTCTGCTGCGTTGAAAGACGCCCGTCGTGTCACCAAGAAGCAGGACGACTCGGCTCCACATACACCGTTTGTGCAAAGCTCCGAAAAACGCCTCCACTTTTTATGTCTTTACAAGTTCTGGCTGCGTCCCGTTCAAACAACACATTTGCACACTCACTGTTTTGCAGGTTATGAAAGCACAGCAGGACTGTCCATGTCTCCCGGCGCCCCCCCTTGGCAAGGCAGAAGTATTGCCAGCTCCAAACTGCGGATGCTGGAGTTTTCCGCCTTCCTGGAGCAACCTCAGGACTCGGAGACTGTGAGTTCAGTCGCCTTCATCAGTCTGTCTCATTTTTAAATAAAAATTAGACACATAGCGCTGTCCATTCTTAATGTAAAATTGTGTAAAAAGCCTAAAAAGAACATGCTTCTTATGCAAAGAAGCCAATGAGTCTAGCATATATCTGGATAATAAATTATGGTATCACAATATGTTATGATGCTTTAAGTAAGGAGGTGAAACAGGAGAACAGACATTAATTACTTCCTTTACTGAAGACACAATGCATTAGAGTCCCAAAGAATTGGTCATTTAGAACATGGATGTTGTTCAGCGAACTGGGAATTTACCGCTTCGGGATTACTGACCTCTATGTTTCTTTTCTCTCCAGTTCAACAAGCACTTGTTTGTGCACATCGGACAGTCCAACCCGAGCTACAGCGACGCCTATCTGGAGTCCGTGGACATCCGGCAGATCTACGACAAGTTCCCCGAGAAGAAAGGGGGCCTGAAAGAGCTGTTTGACAAAGGGCCACACAACGCTTTCTTTCTCGTCAAATTCTGGGTAAACCCCTTTCTGATGTCTATTTTGACTGCTTCATTGGCATTCAGACCAAATCCGTCTAGATTTTAAGGGCCGCGTCCTCAGTTGTGTTTCCCATCACGTAGAAGTTGAAAATTTCCTACATCATCGTCTAATCCTCCCCAAGTCATGGGGGTAAAGTGAGCATACTCTTGTTAATGTTTTGTAGCACCTGTTGGCTGATAATGGCCTGGAGGTGTTAACTGTGTTGAGACGGCTTAAGCATTGGAGTTAAAGGCTCTTCAGTTCGATTTAGGGCCAGAAAGGACGGAAAGTCACCACTCCTGTGACCTTATCGGTGGGTTATCTGCCATCAGAGCGAGCATTGCTGTGCAGAGAGCTTCTTCCATTACTGTATTTGTATATGTCTGTGATGTGGGTGTGTGTGTGCGTGTGTGTGTGTGTGTGTGTGACAGCAGCCTTGGCGAGAGTGGCAGGCCTGATCTTTCAGCAGGAGAAATGTGATCCCAGACACCTGTCTCTGCACTATTAGCCTGAATCCAATGCTCATGACCCCCCACACTCCTACCCCCAAGATCCTTATTTATAGACGCTCCCCTTACACACACATGCACACGCAACCATGCACAGATGTCCATGCAACGCTCTTAAATCACGGTTAGAGACAGTGACACTTTGAAAGTGTTAAGAGAGTAAAGAATGATGACAATATGAGGGATACAGAGAGACAGACGGCAGACAATCCAGCAAGACAAGGTGGACAATTCTGACTATATGTGTTTACATCTACAGGACATTTAATTCACTATTTCTACTGGAAATAGTGAATTAACGAACAATAAATTCTCATCTTAATCACTTTTCTGATCTGTACATATGTTTCCAATGCTTTTCCAACTCAGTCCCAGAAGATAATTCATGATCTGTTTCTGTTCATATCCACCAGTTTTATTTAAAATCTCCTCAAAATGCCCTGGACTGCACACCATCACACATCCTCCACTTTCCTTAACATGGGGCTTGAGGTGCTTTTTTACCTCTTCATTCGTTATTTTTGTCGTATTTCACTGCCCGCAAATTGAAGAGATGGTTTTATCTTGGCGGCACAGTTAGAGAAATACTCTCAATTTGTCTTTTTATGAATCAGGTTCTAAGTGTAAAACTACGATACCCTGTTCAGATTGACTAATACATGTTTTTTTCTGAAACTATGTACAATGAGCATATTAAGATATTTGTTTAGGCCAGCGGAGTAATGGGCGTCCCTGAAGTGTGAAATATTTTTTAAGGACAAAAGAAGAGTGGTGTCCGTGTGTGTGCGTGTGTGTGTGTAGTGTCACAGATTAAAAAGACTCATGAGTGTCTTAGGTGAGTCAACAGACTTGTTGATCCCTGTTTCTAAATCATTTACTCAAATGCACAAATTGCTTTTTAAGGTAGTGAGAAATATGTGGAAATATACGCAGGAGAGACCCAGAGATGCACTGATCAGAATTTGGGACCAATTTTCAATCTTTGTTTTTATTTTAATAGTTACTTAAACTCTAGTCTCTGCGTGTTTTCTTCAGAAAAGGTTAAACCTTTCTGTTATCAGCTTTTAATTTTATTTTAAATAGCTTTTCTGAGCATCCATGTTTGAACACCAGACTGATCCTGAAACTAGATAACTTTTTTCTCCTTCAGAAACAGTTTCCAAACTAGAGTGTTGTTGTTTTCAGCACAACCAGGTGCAGCCTAACAGTGTGTGTCTTTACTAATCACATAAGAAATTTTATTTTTACATTTTCTGAAATGTGATTTTTAAATTTCCAGTCAAGCGGAAAATTGGCTAATTTTGATCGCTAGCATAGTTCGGAGCATCTCCATAGAAAAATTAATTTTCTGATTTTATGTTAATAGTTGGAGGTCCTGACAGATTAGAGGTGGAGACAACAATGTAATTTCTCCATTAATTATAGGTTGAGGCTTGCATGTTTTAAATTTGAGGTCCTTTACTAGCTGAAAAACACACATGGGCCTACTAGTCGGTCGCCGACGTTCAGGGCGCAGGACATCGAAAAGGTCGAGTTCAAAGTGCCGCCTCGCTTCTGACTCCAGCAGATAGGAGTGTATTTGTGGCATTACCCTTCTTGAATGCTTGACATTCACATTATTTATTGTAAAGAGATAAAAGACATTGGTGAGTGGCACTGTGTTTGGATCGGCCCTCTCCATTCCTTGGAAAGAGCAGCTGGTGGACCCATGGCATTTGATTTGGGGGTTACGGGAGGAAGGGGATGACTAACCGTGCCATATATCATAACGAAAAGCAGAGCAAGACAGCAGTAAAGAAGAGATACAAATAGGGATGCAGACAGCGCGAACAAGAGTTAGGGATCGCAGCAGAAATTCTGGGTGGCGTGTAACCAACGAGACGTCCGTCCATGAAATATTACTCTCTCGGTTCGTGTCAGAGCCTGGAAGAGTCGACGGTTGCAACATCTGCAGCTGGGCGCGAGATGAAAACAGGCGCATGACACTTTGTGAGCTCGGTTTGCTCGGCTCGTCGTTTCCCAAGGTGATGGCCCGGTCCTCAAGGCATCCATGACAGAAACACACAAATACAGCTCAGCAGCTGTGGGGGAAAGAAATGCAAGATTTCTTACTGAAATCCTTGACACACCCCAAAAATGTGATTAAAAAAAAAAAAAAACATTATAAGAGATGTGAAAATCTTTTTCATTATGCTGCTGCCAGGAGGCAGGTCATGACTGTGGGGTTGCGAGGGTGGGGGTGAGCCGAGGCGCAGGTTGGCATGGGGACAGTGACAGGCGACTGACCCACCTCCAAAGCTATGGTATTCTAGATTGAATTTCCTGCAGACCCTCCTGTCGGCCACCGGCTGCCCGGCTCCTCTCCCCTTTGGCGCCCGTGGCCCTGTCCTAACGGATTGTCTCACGCCTTTGAAGTGCAGGGGGAATCTGATTTGAACCGGCTCGGCTAAATTGTTACACAGCCAGCCAGCCCACCGTGATCTAATCAGCCAATTGCACGCTGATGATTGTAATTGGATGAATTCCCTCGCTGGCTGTTAGGGAAGCAGAGGACGGCGGTTCGGGGGAGGGCCACTGGGCCCCAGGGATGAAGACAAATAGAGAAATTACATGAGCTAGGGATGAAGACAAACGGGGTGATGAAGAGATGAGGGGAGGCTGAGCGGTGTCTCAATGGCCCATTAGAGGACAAGAGCCCGTCAGGGGGAAAAGGTAAAACAGGCCAGCTGTCTGACGGAGGAGATGGCACCTCAGTCTGATCTGTAATCTGATTATACCTGCCTCATTTCAAAGCTGCACCACTGGGCCAATCTGCTTCGACCCGAGCAGCAGGGAACATGACCATCGTCTTCCTTTGGGCTCAACTCAAGGGAAACATTTTGTCCAAGAAGATCATGAATTGTAAACACGAAAGGAGGAATACAGTATATATATTTACTAAAAGTCAACTCAGCAAGTACAGTTACTTTCGACTCCATTTCGACACCTTGAAAGAAACGACCACAATGCTGACTTCACTACTCTTTCTCTGCTTCGGTTAAGATCCCAGTCAAGACTTTGACTGCATTTTAATCATTTCCCTTTCTCTTCACAGCTATCTGCAACCTTGTATTGGCTGATCACATAAAATCCAATCAAAAATACATTTAAATTTCCAATTTTATCTTGACAAAATGTAGACAAACTACAAGGCACTACATGACATTTGTTTAGCTAGTTGTGGGTTTTTGGGCCATATTTTTCTGTAAAAGCTCAGCCTGCATGAGTCCAGCTTTTCTATTTCCTTCATTTCTCTTCACTGCAGATGTCGGATGTGCACATCAGTGACTAAAAACTTTAAAATGAGCCAAAAGAGCAGTGCAATAAAGAGTCTAAACAGAAACAAAGCTATGACTTGTTACCACTACTGCAGTATTTACAGTAACTTGAAATATAATTTTAGATGGACAAATTTGAGCTATTGTGAATTAATTTAGCAAAGTGTGTTTTTGTGTGTGTTCCCTCAAGGCGGACCTCAGCGTAAACCTGCAGGATGACAGCAGCTTCTACGGCGTTTCCAGCCAGTATGAAAGCTCTGAGAACATGACTATCACCTCGTCCACCAAGGTCTGCTCTTTTGGGAAGCAGGTGGTGGAGAAGGTGGAGGTAAGACAGTGGAAAAACATCGAGAGTCTCTCTTTCATTTGCAACATCAAAGGGACGTGACCGCGCCGTGACCCCCTGTCCTCTCCCTGAGTGAATAACCGCTGCTGGTTCAGATGGATTCCAGTCAGGTTACCTCTGATCTGTGGTCTGGAAACTGACTCATAAAATCTCCCCAATCTGACTAAGTTCCATATTTCCAGTTAGCCAAACAGAGTCGCCGCTCCGCCCCCGTGCAGCGCTGATGGATTGTACAATATTAACACACACACGCACGCACATACTCCATATTTTCTGGTTGAGACATCTGCCTGAGCAGGCCACACGTGGTTGTATTTAATGGTTTCAGTATTTGATTACAGTTGTCACGAGAAATGTGTTTAATGTCAAATCTGGCATGCCATATGCTGCATTAGATATATTGCATTACTCACATTACAGCTCATCCCATAGATCCTCTGTATCCATTTAAGTGCCAGTGGAGCATATTTTCTATTGGTTTATATATGTTTTCTTTCATAGGTGGGGACATTTTTAACCCTTTTCACATGTCCTTGTTTATTTCCACAGACGGAGTACGCTCGCTTTGAGAATGGACGATACGTGTTTCGGATCCACCGATCCCCGCTGTGTGAATACATGATCAATTTCATCCACAAGCTCAAACACCTGCCTGAGAAATACATGATGAACAGCGTACTGGAAAACTTCACTATCCTACAGGTGCACACGGGAATGTGTGGTTGATTCTGATATATGGGAAAGCAAATACATTCAAATGCGTTTTGGCCTTTCATCCACACAAAAGCAATTCTTTGGGAAAATTCGAACTCAAGTGGAGATACGAGAAAACTCTGGATGTGTGTTTGGGTGTGTAAGTGGAAAAATGGAGATTTAGCGTCCATCGCGTTACCAGTCTCTGACAAATGCTGTGTTTAATTCCTAACAGGAAGTCGTGGTTGTTTTGATGCATTTTTATTGGCTGACATAGAGTTAATCTACACTGCCCCCTACGGGTCTGGCATGTTTAACACAACACACAGGTTGATTTGTGCGTTCATCTGGAAGAAAACTTTTCTGAAACTGATCCCATGAGTGCAGAATAATTTTTTTTTAACTATGCGGCAGAAATATTGTATTTGTTTTTCAAAAGACCCGGCATGTCTCCGTGCACGTTACCAACATGCAATTGCATATTTTAAAAAGATTACTGATTATCACTTTCTCCAACTTTATTGCGTTGCTTTTTGTGGGGTTTTTTCCTTCTTTTTTTACGAGACCCACAGCAAAGAGTGTTCTCAATGTTTCTGAACCACAAAACCATAGAAATGTATTCACACCCAAACACAAACCTCTCCACATATTGGATTTTATTTGAAAAAGCGTGGCATGCATTTGCATTTCCCCCCGTTTGCTGATCGTCTCATTCACACTGCAGTCAGTTTGACTCTCCTGAATGAGCCGCTGTGCTCCTCAGACAGCAGACACTGAGGGGAAAGTGCGCCCAGTGGAGTGCATCACCGCGACAAGAGTTATTATCAGCAACAACGTTCAAAGAATTTTGTGTTCCTTCTGTTGACGACCGCATTCCTGACAAACGAGCCTGCGGACAATAGCCACATTGAGCCCATGCTGATGGCCACAAGGCAGCATTGAGACATTATACGTCTCAATGGGCTGATTTAGTTCAGTTTAACCAACAGCTCATAATCCCATAAAGACAGCAGATAGATGCAGCACAATGCATAGTGCCTCTTGTGACAAGTGTTGCATTCACAAGTCAACAGGAAACAATGAGTGGCTGAAGCTGTGTGCTTGTGTTGTGCTTGTAGAGTTGCCGTGGCACTGTCATGGTTCTCCGTAACGCTATAGGTAAATATCAGCATCGTATATAAAAACACAAGATTTCTGTGCCATATTAAAAAAGTCCGGAAAGTGTAAAACTTAATTTTAATCATCTTTTAGTTGAAACCAACCAGAATTCTGACCAATTTCTGTTCCAATTTTATAGGGTAAGTCTGACTTTTCGGGAAGAGCTGCTGATAACGTGTGAGAAAGCAATTACACGAGACAAAATGAATACAAAGCCCTCATTTTAAACTGCTTAACACTTCATATTAGTCATATCTGCATTAGTGGTCTTAGCGTTACTGAAACAGTCCACATTTTTTGGAGAATGTAAAAATATCTGGACCTGTGTGTGCGTGTGTTTTATTTCAGGTGGTGACAAACACGGAGACCCTTGAGACCCTGCTGTGCATAGCTTACGTCTTTGAAGTGTCCACCAGCGAGCACGGCGCACAGCATCATATTTACAGGCTAGTCAAAGACTGACAAGAGTCGCACTGTTGGAACTTGCCAACTCTTAGACCCTTTTGTAGTGAGAGTTAAGCAACAACAACGCACCAAAAAAAACAAAAAAACAACAACAACTAAAGACTGCAGAGCTTATAGCTGGAATCTGACAAGTTGGTTGGGAACTCTGAGAAACACTGGCTGCGTCAGCGTGCGCAGGAACACTACTACTGCTGAAGAAGATGAACTGCGGAAGCTGAAAGGCTCTGAAAAAGTGAGAAGGAGGACCATCCGACACTGTGGTCTTGATACCAAAGGAGCCAAACACAGCCAACAGAAGCTGCATGAGAGAGTTGACGTTGGTGGTGTCCTTCATCGTGTTTAACTAGAGCTTGTTTTAAATGTAGATTCTTTTACCGACATGCATGTGGAGGGGGTGTCGAGTTGGACTGCCTCAGGGTGCCGTCTAGTGACTTGAATTAATATTGCAAAAAAGAAAAAGAAAATTCTCGATCCCTCTTTTTGCACATCCATGGATTATAACTGATGATGCCAATACTTTGCAGCATTTCAGTGATTATGTACAGAATCGCATTCATCTCTTCTTGACAAAGTTAGGATGAGCTGAAAAGTGTCGTATTCACTTTGGCGTCGATTGTCGAATGCATCTTGTATTGTCTTCTTGTCCTTGATTGACAACAGTCTGACTCCGACTGAAGGCAAATGTAACACTGCTAACCTGAACTAAATGGGATCTGTAAGCTGAAGTTGTCTGCATATGTAAGTTGGCCTGTCAGATTGAAAAACACGTGTTTCACACACAACTCCTTCTGTTGCTGGGTTTTGGTAAAGTGTGGTATGAATCTAATGACATATAATTAAAGGCAGGATTTCTCCTGGTGAAACTACAATTTAATGAGTGCATTTGGGAAAAACTTCATGTACTGTGCTTTGCAAAAGTATCCATACCCTTTGAATGTTTGTTGTCACGTTACAAACTACAAAAGTTTATTTTGCTGAGATTTTCTCAGGAAGACTAATACTGAGTAGGGCATAATTGCAAAGTGGAAGAAATAAGATATATTCAGATCTACCAAATCATCTCCGTCCACCTAAACTGACGGCGTCGCAAAGAGCAACAGTCAGGAAGACAACAGTAATTCCTGGGTATCGCTGGAGATCCACTGCTCAGGTGGAAGAATATGTTATGATTGGTTTGTCCTTCAAAACTCTGGCTTTCATCAAAGAGTGGTACTAAAAAAGACATCAGATCTACTGCCTAAGAAAGTAGAAGGTGCTCTGGTCTGACAAGAATGTTTTTAACTACATGCAAAATACTTTGGCTGAACATAGTATTGTGTCTTGTGCAGTTCTCAGATCAGAAATTTAATTCTCAACTTATTCAATTATCAAATCAATGTGTCTTTTGTCCACATCAAAGAAGCAGTTTCTCATTTCTTTGAACAAGTTGCAAATGCTTGAGAACATCCATGCAAGTGATTATGTACAGTTCTCTGCTGTTTCACACATTTTCAATTGCTAATGTCATGATGATCAAAATGTATTATAGGGGCCTCTGTTCAATAAGCTGAAGCTCCACAACCTACGTTAATCGTGTCAGTCTTAACATGCAAAATGCTTGAACAACTTGTCGTAACACGTCAAGGATTCTTCTAAATCTGTCCTTAATTGGGAAGTTGCTCCCAGGTGAATCCTGAGTTACTCAGAGTAAATGTCTGAAGCATTAGATCAACCAATGATCTAATGGTTGATTGAGCTATGTCAGTTTTATGACATAGCTCAAAAGTACATCACATGAACTGGGAAATATACGGTTTACATAGCCAGACCACAACACAATGCTACATTTTTGACAATGGAAGGACAAGGATTTGAATGGGGTCAACAATCAGAGATAATAATCAATTTTGGGTCTACAAAATTGATTCAGTGGGGCTGAATGAAGATAGAATGATTTGGTACAAGACAAATTATGGTAATGTAATAATTTCTTATTTGTTACACAAAAAGGCAAGAGCCAACCTAAAAATATGCTTAATTTACCCTAAGAAGAGACATTTAATCAATAAATAATTCTACTTCATAGTATCCAGGAAAGGGGAAGAAATCACAAATAACCTTCTGAAGTAGGAAACTGTCTCCATCTGGTGGCGTAAACATGTCATTACACCTTAATCGACGAAATTCAGTGTCTTGAAACAAAAGGTTGTTTTGTTTTTTCTCCCACATATTTTTTACTCAGGACTGATCAAGTGGCGTCGCTACAGTTTCACTCTTGCAACTGTTGTGTTGTAATCCAGATTCATGGCATCAGCCTCGATTCGCTCAGTTCTCAGTTCAGTTCACTGCGTTTCAATGCATCCTGCTGGTCATTATACCGCACAGGCCGGTCACTGTCACAATCTTTGCTGGATGATAAATTGTTCTCCACAATCATCGCGAAAAGCCATAATATCGTCGCTTTTGGACTATATTCAGGTTTATATATTATTGCGCGCAGCAATGCAGGTTCGACCACCCAAGCATAAAAATAAAACTGGGCTGGCTCTTCCCCTTCTCCGAGTCTCACCTGGAGACGAGCCCCCATTCCCCACCCCCACCTGTAAGAAGCAGACCCGGCCGCGCGCGCCACGCCTCTCCTGGATGTGTGAGCCCCTTTCGTCCGGACCGGGGGTCGAGACGATGCTTTGACCGACACTATGCGGGGTCTGCTGACGGTTCTGGGTCTGGTGTGCCACACTGAGTCGATGTGCTCGCCGACCTCCTACTACAAGAACTGCTGGATCCGTCGGTTCCCGGGGATCTCCATCGACGTGGAGGCGTCTCAGAGGAGAGGAGCGCAGCTGCTGAGGTCCTACCCGGAGGACACGGCGCTGGAATGCAGCCGCCGATGCTGCCTGGCCAGAAACCGTGAGCTGCGTTTGTGCAGTTCTGTAGTGGTGGGGGGTCAGGGAGGTGCTGCTGGCCGCCTTCACTCATGCTGCTCCGTTTCTTCTCCTCTTCCAGTTTCCTGCAATCTGGCCGTGTTTCACTTTGATGCCGCGAACTGCGTCCACCTGCACTGTCCGAGTCTGGAGAGTTGCATCGTGAGTCACAGGGAGAACGTCGTCCTCTACAACATCACAAAGGGTGAGGAGAGACTCTGGGAGGAGGTTTCGTCCTTCACTCAAACTTTTTAAAATTGAACGTAAAACAAACAAACAAACAAACAAAACAAAAAAAGACATTGGATCTCTAGTCTCTCGTTAAATCAAGGTCTTAACTGCAGCGTTTTGCATTGGTCTCCCCTTGAGTCCACAACACACCCAGAAATAACACAGCTGCATATATTGGAAAGCAAAATGATCATGCAAGACATGCAAGTAAAACCCATTATATCTTCATTAGACAAAGACAAGATGTCAGATGCTTTGGGACATTTATGTCTCTTAATCTTGGTGATTTTCTGCTAACAGTTTTTTTTAATGACATTTGAAATTAGAATATTTTGTAATAAAAATTATGTTTAATGCTACTGAAGATTATTTGCATAAAATGTATTTCATCTGACAATCGACTCGTTTCAATTTATTGAGCATGAATTCATCTCAAACGTTTTTCACATTTGCTCAAATTGCAAATGAACAACTTTAATGTATTTTATGTCAATAACGTAACGAACCAAGACGAAGCAGCCCGTCATTGTTTAGTGGGTGAAAAATTATAAATTTGTTGAAAGATGTAATATTTTGCAGATCCGCCTTTTTCTTGACATTTTAACTCGGGCTCAGTCAGGCTTCGTGGAGAGCAGTGGTGTCCAGCCTTTCTGCTAGTCCACAATATACTCATTTTTTAAAGGTTTTATTGACTCTAGTGGCCTTTATTTGATAGTGAATTGACAGGAAAGTGCGTAATGAAAGAAGGGGTGAGGCAAAGGTCACCAGGCTGGGAATTGAACTTGCGATATCAGCATTTAGGACAAAGGCCTCCATATGTGTGTAACCCCTGCGCCACCGCAGCACATCCCTATTAAACTTTGAGGTTGTAATATTGACAACCTTCTCAATGCCCTTAGATTACTTATGGCATATTTCAGCAGACATTTTATTCAGTTTTAGGTGATTACTAAAAAGTAATGAAGAGAGTTTGTGGGTCATAGGTTGTAAGATATAAAATACATCTCTTCCTGTTCCAGGTGTGGATCCTGATCTGCTAGTGTTTGGGAAACACTTTACCTCCAACATCCACGTTTTGCCCCACCACTACAGCAGAGTGAACGCCTCAGATCCACTGCCCTCAGACAAGCGAAACTTCATCCATCCGCCTCCTCATCCCGTGCGGCCTCCCACCGCCGCGCCCTCTGTGGAGCCATTCGTCCCACCGACTCCAGCGGACGCCACCACGGCGCAGCAGCGCACAACTGATCCCACAACTAAATCGGCCTTCACCGAACAAACCTCCCCATCCTCCGACAGTCATGTCCACACAGCAATCCTGACGACTGCTGCAAGATCTGCAGAGTCGAGCATCGCCACATCAAACTCTGTTACATCTCCAACCTCCGTTGACCTGGAGACGCCTCCGGGGTTCTCCACAACAACCGCAAAACCCTTCACATCCATCCCAGCCACCACCGTTCACAAGGTGACCAGCAGCGCTTCAGCGACCACAACTCTCACAGGTGAGACAGAGCACGGCAGCGCAGATGTCACCGCCGGGGGCAACTACGCCGCAGGCGGCGATGAAGGTCAGGAAGTCGGTGAGGACGACACGGTGGAAGAGCTGGGGTCTGGGTGGCATGTGGCTGCGCACACCCTGCTGGTCGCTGTGGCCATTTGCGTCACACTGCTGCTGAGCTGCTGCTGCTCTGTGCTGCTGGTGGTGAGCTGGAGGGGCCAGAGGAAGAGGATGGACCGCTATCGCACATCGTGGAGAGGGAAGCGAGCTTCCATGCGTCTGATTAAGTATGTGCTGGTGAAAGAGAACTCCTGAAACACAGAAGTGGCACTTCCTGTTATTGTTTTGTAGGAAGAAATGAGGCGATGCTTAACCGCAGTAGGCATGGGCCTCCTAGTTCCAGACTCCTTAGAAGTTACCAAACCGCTACAATTTAACAAGATGTGAACGTTTTCTTTGGCTGCATGGAGTAACATATCGTCACGCTGCATCGACATTCATTTATTCTATTGTAGACACGCAGGAACAAAATGTGAAGATTCCTAAATAGAAAAGAGGCTGGACAGAGCTGTCTTTTTGGTTTCATAGCTGACAGCCATGTTGAAACTTTGCTGCACGTCAGTTTATTGTATGACTTTAATAAAAACACAGATTACAGACAGAATGTCATCCAAGAGGGACAAAATGTTTCAGGAAGCATCTTTCCTGATGAGCATGACAACATTTAAAGCTGATTCTTTAACTGAATGGATCTCTTATGATGAAATCTTTCCTGCTTTAAAGAAAAAACTCCAACAGTTGCTTATGTTATACTTTTATTTTTGTATTAAAGACATCACATACTGGATATTACAGCCAATTTATTTGAGAAAATAAATACTGCTGACACACTCAGACATTCAAGGTCATTCTGGAAACAACAATGCAGTTGAAGTCATTCTGCTTTTTTTTTTTTTTATCCCAGGTCCTCATTGCTCTAAGGTCGTCCTGTAACTGTTTATTATCAGCTTTAATGATTTCACACCTTGAGTACCTTCCTGACTGCCTCCTTGTACCGCAGCATGTTGCTCTCACTCGCCTCTTCATTCTTTAGCCTCTCGACTGAGTCCTTATATTCCTGCACCTCCTCTCTTCCCAGCAGCTGCTTTCTCACTTCAGCTTCCTCTCCTTCTGCGGCCGCGTTGATGCGCAGCAGCGTGTCCAGGATGTTCTTCTGGGACGTGCTGTCCTCCCAGCTGTACTCCTCCATGTCTGCGCGGGTTTTCTCCGCCTCCCACTGCTCGATTTTCTGAAAAAGGAACAAGATATATATATATATATACATGTGGAACTACGGCTTCACACCACCAGGAAAATATAAAATCACAGTTCGTTTCTTGTAAGCATCACACACTGAGTCTTGGAGTTAGTTTGGATTTTGACTAGGCCATTTTCTGCACTAGTGTCTTTTGTGGTTTTCTTTTGGTATTGTTCTATATTTAGCTACATTTATTTTCACTAGCTGAACAAAAGCATCCCACAGAATGCTGCTGCCACCACCCATAGCGCTTTTAATTTCCTTGTCTGGAAACCATTCTCTTAAGACTTTCCCAAGACGGCTGTTTTTATTCTGAATTGCTCTCAATCTGGTTTTGGTTTTTAAGATCAAAGTGCTAAGAAGACAAATGCATGCCACACTTCAGATTTTTTTTTTGTTAAATGTTTTAAGACCACCTCAATTTTATATGAGCCCCGTTTTGTGATGAGGTAACTCGCAAAACCAGCATAAAATATACAGAAATTTGCAGTAGCAACGTGACAAAAATGACTAATTTCAATCGAAATTAATACTACGAATAGATTTGGAGTAATACAGGCACTGCATTTTTCCTGCTGAGTGAAAACAGATCAAAGATTAAACAAACAAAGTTGAAACTTCTTTTTCCAGTTCCCTTTTTGGCAACAAAGGCTAAATATCTTATGTCTCATCTTCTGACAAAGTTATTTCTCCTGCTCTGTGTGCTGCCTCTTCAGCTGTCATCGGGTTCCCTGGAGAACAATAAGAACAATTATCTTAAGGCGGAGCGGTAACTGGGCATCAGTTGCGCTTCGATCCAGGTGTTTGGGGTTAATGACCATCATTTACTGCGATACGCATCTGATTCCTCATAAAATCCTGTCTGGATCAGGTCCAGGAGCAGAGTGCGATGCGCCAGATGCCTCATAGATCAGTAACCAGCCCAGGAAACCACAAACAGGAGTTTAACATCAACACATTCGATTATTTAGCACGTAAAACTGGTTGCAGCAGGGTGTTATCCTTCCTCTGGAAATGTAGAAATATTTCTGTTTTTAAAAGGAAAAAAAAAAAAAAAGAAAAGCGAAAGATATGTGTTTCCAAAGACCGTTTAAGCACCCATCAAAGAGTAGATTGTCCAGCATGCTTGCAGCTTACTTTCCAGGCCTTTCGCAGACAAAAGGCCACCTGTTCTTCCTGATTGCGTTTGTGTACCTTCAAACAAATCCGTTTTGGGAAGACGACAGGTGTTGTGCACCGAGTGGGGGGAAGCAAGTCTCCCCTCATGCTACTGAAAGGCTTCTTGCAGTCGACTCCAGAGCTGATTTGGATTAGCACCTGATGGAATTAGCAGCCGAGGTCTTCCTCTCCAAATGGGGAGATATTATCACCTCAGTGGCTGCTAACAATTGGCCCCTTTGTGGGTTAGCGTTACAACCCGATCGCCACTCCACCCTAAAGTCGTCCAAAAGTCCGCTGGACAAGCACTGTGCCTTCCATTGTGTGTCTGAAAGGGCAGCGGACAATGTTCTGCTTCCTGACTCAAACACCTTCTCTTGACTGGGATTTTTTTTTCTTCCCCTCGCTAATGTGGCCAAGCCGTGACAGGAAGAGCTCCTGAAAGCAGAGGTTGGACGACAATGGGAGTCATTTTCTTTTTATATGCCTGGCTCCAAGTGCGTAGGGACAGTGCTGAGGCCGATGTGGTGTGGTCCAACACCTGACAGGGGAGTCTGTTTTCTTTTTTTTACTCATCGGGGAGAAAATGTCAACTGGACAATGCTGCTGTTTGCCGTCCTCCTGCCTATTTAGCTCAGCCGCCTCCCTAATGGGGCTAGCGCTCCAAGAGAAGCGGACAAGATCTCTCTTTCACCTGGAGAGAAATGCTGGCTCATACTTCGTATTCAGGATTTAGAAATCCTGAAAACGAAGTCTCGAAAATGCAGCACAAACTGGCTGTTTACTTCGGGTATGAAATGATTTTTGTTTTTAGTCGCGCTGATCAAACCAAGTGTAATATTAGAAAAAAAATGGACTAAATAATAACAAAAGTTTCCTCAACATTTAATTTACAGAATGAAAAGCCATCCAAAACAACTTTGCACTGAGAAAAATTGCCCCCTAACAGCTTGGAGCACCGTTAGACGTTCTTTTACCCTACCTTTCTATCTGGAAATGTGGTAACTCAGATATATTGATTTTTAGTATAAGTGATGTCAAAGAATCTCAATTTGACTTTGACTAAGCCACTTCAAAACCTTTATTCAGTTTTTTTATTTTTCTAGGTTTATTAGGTTCTCACTTGTAAGGCCAAGCAAAAGCAAGTACAAACAAATAAATCTGTAAATTCAAAGGTATATTAAAGGACATGTAATCCAGATTACATAAGTGGAAACGCGAGAGGCACTGCCTCCACTTAACGCCGCGGCGTGAGGAAGGTTTTCAGAAACATCTAATCTCAAGCCCAACTGAGAACAAACCGAACGTGACGGCGGGTCTTAAACTGAACAGCTGGCCTTTAAATGAGTGGATGATAGTTGAAAGAAAACAGAAAAAGGTCAGCAAAGTAAAGGTCAAGACACTTACGGGGGATTCTGAAGAGCCACAAACAATTCAGGCAAACACCTACAAACCCAGGGAACAAGCCACAGGTACATCCTGAACTAAACAAAAAGACAAACTCCCCGACTTACCCAGGATTCATGGTACAGGACAGTCAGCAGGTACATGGCGTATTCGTAGTTCTGCTGCCTCAGAGGGCAGCTGGGGAAGGAAGGGCAGATATTTACGGGCATGCTTGATTTGTGTTAGCATTGTGTGTTTTTAGGAGGGGCGGCGTTGTTTACCTTTCTGTTTTGATGGTGAGGATGTCTGAGTCTTTGCAGTATCTGTCCCCAACAAGTTTGAGCATCTTCTTGCGGGCGTGGTCATCCAGGTTCAGACTGGACAACTTTACCTGGAGGACAGGTTACATGGCGCACTGAGATGTTAAACACTTACAGAAAGTTTTCAATTTAGCTTTGAATAATCTGGAAATCGCTTGGCAGGAAAGTGGATGAACTGATTTTTATTGTGGCTTCTTCACAGGCTACAGCTGCATCTCACATAATTCAAATATTATGATGTCATCAATTCAAATTCAAGGCATCAGGAAAGGAAACACACACAGACATAAGCAATCTGTTATGGCAAGAGAATAAAATGTTCTTTTACCTGCAGAAATACAAGTCAGACGCTGAATTTGTTCTAGATTTGTGATTTCTCTTTGAGAGATTTGCTCTCCAATATATCTTGGAGCCTAATCTACCTGGATTAATTTCTAATTCCTACCTTGCTACTGTAATCTAAGGCAATGTGTCAGGAGAGCAGATGGTTGGTGATTAATAGCAAATATGACACTGTTCCACCAGAGAAAATTATTAATGTGTCAGTATCTTCACTGTCCTCAGTATCTGACTATCTAACATAGTTCTGAAGTTCATGTTTTTATCGTGTTTTTCCAAATGTTTCCACCATTAATTGGTTTTCTCAACTCTGTTGTTTATATTCAGCATGTTTACATTTGGTTTATGTAATTTATTAGTTTGTACAATTTGGTTTAAGTGATCATGTTCTTGGTTTTCTGCATATATTTGTATCTTTGGCTTCGGTCTGAAAGAAGGATTTGGGTATTGATGGATTAGTGGTAGCGCGAGGATTAAGTGGAATATTAAAATGTCTCCAAAAATATGTCGATGGCAAACTGTTTTCTGACCCCCCCCCTGCTGTGAAAGCTGCTGGGAAGCAGAGGGGCAAATACATAAAAGACAAAACCAACTAAGTCCAGGGTAAATCTGTCAGTTTAATAATGCAAAGTGTTTAGTTTGTGTCGATTGGTCGCTGTGTAAATCTGCAATCTCGAGGAACAATTCAAGTTCAACTCAGTCAGGTAAAAACAGCGGCTGGTACTTTGTTAGAGCGATCATCGTAGAAACTCACTTTCACATGAACGATGCGAGCTGAAGGATTCCTGATGGAGGGCCCAGCAGACACGTAGTCTGTGCTCTCAATTTTAACTGGAAAGTGCTCGTCGCATTTGGCGTCAGTGTCCAAGACTGAGGGCCATTCTGTGCAGAAAGCTGGCAGCGGAGCAAATATTATTATCATGTTAAAACTCCTGAAAATTAAAAAGAAAATACCTTTAAACAAGGCAAATAGCATTATCCCAGACTGTGCTTACGTTTCAGAGCTTCACAGTGTTTCTTGATAGCTGCTGGTGTCAAATGCAAAAAGTTTGGGATCTGAAACAAAGTCAAAAAGATTATGAATCCATTTTGATACGAGAAGGAACTTCAACACGTTTCACCAAAAACAACTTCTCCACCTCTTCCAATCAACCGCTAGATGGTGAAAAAGCAGCAAACTTTCTAGGTTTTCCTCAACAGGATAATGTTCACAAACACATCAATGTTGCTTTTGGATTTTGAAAAGAAGATGAACATCAGGATCTGGAAGCTAAACTGAAACTATCCAGATTTGAAAGTGTGACCCACGGCAGGGAAACAAACCAACTTAAAAGAGCCCTAAAAAAAATCTGTTGGAAAAAAAGTGGAAAAATATTCATACAGAATTGTCCCAGAATCTTATTGATGGTAATCCAAACAATATGTCTTCATCTATATATTATTTTATAAATATAAAATGTGTGCACCAAATTCTTATTCATAAAATTCCTCTGTTTTATGATGTTGACACACACACATCTGGGATGTGGAATCATAACAATCAAACACGTGGAATCATAACAAAGTCTTATAATCCGAAAAAAACTAAATTAATTAAATAAATGAGTAAAAGCAGATTATATAAAAAATAAAATGTGGAATCCTTTAATGGCCCTTTTGATGTAATGATGAATATAATAATTATCCCTCTGCATTTTAATCTGATCACTAACTTTTCACATATTTGTTAGTAATAGATATCTATACTTACGCCAGATTATATATAAAGGCTTAGTAGCTAAAAAATAAACTGCTTTACCATGAAAGGCATTTTTAATGCTACTAGTGCTTTCTGTTATCGTTATTGAGAGTTAAAGATGGATTTTTTGTTGGAATGAATGAGAAGCTGTTTATCGCAATAGGAAGGGTTAAATATAGGAGTATTTTTTCCTTTCACTAAACTTTCCATCAATGTGCTTCAACAAAGCACTCAGAGAACTGCCAGCTTCATTTACAACTTGGAAAATTGTCAAGACTTTTAAGAAAAAACAAAAGTTTATTAATTATTCCAATTTTCTAAGAAACTAAAATTTTGGATCGCTATTAGCTGCCATCACCAAAACTAATAGCAGCAATGACTTGATAAATTTAACTCTGGGTGTCATTTATCTAAACTATACTCTAGGTATGGTTTAAGTTGTTGAAATAAAATAAACAAACACTTAAATACTGGTTTAATTCACTAATATGCACAGATAACAGTTTTACAAAGGAATGACGGACAGAACGGGAAAACAAACCCCCTTCTCATCCTTTTGGGTAAAGAGAATATTACATAAATCACATAATTATATGAAATATCCTGCTGTCATGTCAAATTGAGTGTAGATAATAATTACAATAATAACCTCCTAGGTGTGATGTTTCAAGTACTCAAGCCAAATAAGTAAGTAAACAGCAGTTTAGCTCCTACAGGCAGAAGGAAATGAGTATTGTCAGGCCACCCGGCTGACTTCCAGCTGTGACGAATGTAAGTAGTGAATCTGTGAGTGGCTCGAGTCCAGATGGGGCAGCTGCTGCTTGCTAATCCGTGCACGGAGACACGGCCATGAGGGGAGAGCAATACAGCGAGAGGAGCTCCACTAGCACAGCAGCAGCACTGACTTGGCTACTCAGAAGAAATAAAGCTTACATTTTAGAGAAAATTTGTAATTCAAAAGCTGGACCGCTTTTTTTATTTTTTATTTATTTTTGCTGTGGTTCTTCATGGGTCATGAACTCTGACCTTTATTAATTCCAAGTTGCCCTTCTTCTCTGGTGGAATGCCTCTCTTCACAGGGTAGCCCATCCGCACAGGAAGAGGGATGGCGTTGGACCTGAAGGGGGTCGCTGCAGGATAAACGGAGGTCCAGTCCTGATCCAGCGCCATCTTTTCAGTCCTAGGCTCCCCAGGCTGATGTACCAAAACAAAAACACAACGAAGACAATTTTTTAAGTTGTAAAATAATATTGCTGTAGGTCTTGTTTTTTATAATATTGACAAAAAAAAGTGTTAAGTTACTTCTCTCTTTGGTCTTCTGCCAATGGATCCTTTACCGCCTCTCTGACCTAAAATTGACAGGATTTCTCGTTTTATCAAAGATATATTTCTTTACCTAGTATAAACCATTTCCAATTATCAGAAAAGGCAAAAAGCTGCAGCAGTATGTTCATTCAAAAAAAAAAAGCAGTGTATGTTTAACAGCTGACATTGTTATCATTTCATCTTTGCAAACTAGTTCAGCTTCAACAGTTTTTAAATTTCACAGCAGGATCACAATTAAATTTAGTGTTAAACTTTGACTAGACCTTTCTCACACGTAAAAATGCTTTGATGTTAAATAAAGTTATTGCTATTCTGGCTGTTACAATGAAAGGTTAACCTCAATTGGAGTCTCAAGTCTTTTGAAGTATTTGTTGGCTCTATTTATCTCCCTTCATCTTCCCTGTCAGGGAAAGAAACCCATCCCCACAGCATGATGCTGCCACACTAAGTGACCTTGACTTGCCATGATTTGCATGTAACTCAAAACCTTATTTTGATAAATTATTGACATTTAATTTAGAGGTGAATACAAAAGAAACCTGTATTTTAGTTTAAGTTTTCACTCGTATAAAATAATTTTACGCCATACATGGTACAACACAGTGGTCAGAGTGTCTGAAATTTGTTTACAATCACATTCACAAACATTACTGACTTTAGATGGGGATCACTCAGTTACTCTGATTTGTCCATATTTAGGCAAAGAAGACGAAGCATTTTTAATCTGACCAAGTCATTTTCTAATTGTCATGACAATTAACTCTGCATAGCCTCAAGAAATGAAGGCACTCGACTTTGCTAACAGTTTCATATCTTTAGCTTAGCTAGCTAGCTTAGTAGCTCTTTATTTCTTTTAGCATAATGAGCATTTCAGAGACGGGCTCACCTTTATTTGTAGAAGAGTTTATTGTCAACGCCGTAGCATATGTGGCTCTGTTTCCTGTCTTCCTTATGCCCATTCCAGAGGCATTAGCTCGACCTAGGGACAGAAAAACCTTGATCCCGACGGACGCCATGTTTTTTCACCGGCTTCATCGACTACGGACACCGACGAGAGACAATACGTCTTAAACCGCGAAAAAGTTTACTCGTCGTGAGCATTTCAGCGCCCCCTGCAGGTGAAAAGAGATTTTCAAGCTCTCGTTTGCTGTAAGGTGGTGACAATTCTTCCCCACAGCGGCTCAGGTAAGGAGGTTATAACAATTACAGGGGGCTTCCTCTCTTCATTTGTCTTCTTGGTTATTTTCCATGAGCGCGCTTGGCCAGCTGTTGACTCTCCCTTTGCCAGCTGTTGCTTTCCGAACAGCTGCTGCGTTCAGTGACCTCCCGAAAAATAGCCACAAGCAATAAATATTTCCCCACTCGATGAAAATGAACCCTTGCTTATTAATATCCTCCACGTAAAGGGGGAAATGACGCACAGAATTTCGGGACTAAGACGTATATCATAGTTGTGAGACATAAGTTGATAATATAAATTGTCAAAGTCATCATTGTGAGATACAAATACATTTTTTAAAACTTTTTGTCTCATTTATTAGGTACAAATTCGCAGTTATGAGATAGAGGAAATTTAATTTGTGATAGTCTATATAACTATGAGATAATCTAATGACATTGAAAGTTGAAATCATCTCGCCATTGACCTTCATCCTCTGACTTTGTATTTCATAATTTGGTCTCTGCTTTTAAATGTAAGAAATGTCTTTCAAATTGTGATGTATACTTGTGATGTCCCCTCCTTGAAATTATTTCCATGTGATCCAAATAGATTTATGTGCATATTTAAGTAGGACGTGTAGAAAGTCTTTGTCTTCAACTCACTTTAAAGTTGAAGACAACAGGCATGCTTCTTTAGGTAATGGAAAATGTTTTTTTTTTTCGACACTCAGCGGGTCAAAGTCTAAGTTAACAAATAGATAAAATGCAAGTGGAATTTTTATTTATTTTTTTATTTTTTTATGTGAATCTGAAGGTTATAGTGTCAAGGGGATTAAAAATGACAACATATGATAACATTGACATCCAAGTAGAACATTAACCTAGGTGATCATATTATTGATGTTGATATTAATTTCGATCTGTCAAAGTCGATATTAAGTTCCTTCATCAGTGTGTGAATGTGTGCATGAACGGGAATGTCTGATTGCATTGGCATCTCTGAGAGTCCTAACAAAGTCATATCATTTTATATTGCAAAGTAAAAACAACACAGAACTGCTTGACCAGTGTTTATGTGCAATTTTTCAGTTTCCCGAACAAATAGTAATAATAATAAAAAACAACAACAACAAAAAAAATACATATATTTTCTGACATTTTTTTTGTCACCATATCAAACAAAAAGCAGTCGCTTGCAACTTTAGTTTGCTTGGACCGTTCTGTGACGACTGCGTTCACTTTGACTATCGGTATCGTCATTTACAATAACCTTTGAATGCAGCACTCGGCCAGGCGCAGCTGCGATGCGCGTCAAGGAGACAGGTCCGGAGGGCAGCAGCCGATTGAAGACTGGTGGCTTGATTGCGTTTGCGGTACTGCCTTTGTTCCTGAACGCTGCTGGGTGGTTTATCGATCATGCGTAAAGCGTGACTGGAGTTTGTTTTCATGAAAAGCTCAGAAGAAGGGATTTCTGCTCGCCTCAGCTGGAACTTGCATCACCTGCAGATCACAACTTGGAGTTCAAGGTAAATCAGATTTTTAAAAAAAAATTTTGGTGACATATTTATCATTTTATACGTCTGTTGCAGAGAGCACATGTCAATAACAACACAGGATACTTTCCATCACAAGTTTTTCTCTCTCTGTCAATGTATCAAATAAACAGGCATGCTTCTTTAGGTATTGGAAAATGTTTTTTTTTTTTCGACACTCATCTTGTTTAACTTGCTTGAAGCAGACTCAGTTTAACGTTACTGGAGTCCTGTCTGACAGTGCATTGTGTGAATGCAGCGTCCTGTCATCAGCTCATCTATAGTTGAGGACGGGGGTCCCTGCTCCTAATTGCCCCCGCCCCGGCCTCTGTTGCCCCAGGAGACATTTTCCGATCATTTAGCACGAGCAGGTCATCACCTGGTTCAGTTTCCCTGCTGGTGATACAACGAGCTTCCTTCCCAACTTGCAACTGCAGGCTTTTATGAATGAAAGATGGCGTTTTGTTGAGTTGTCGACCTGCCCTCATATATGCACAGGTTCCATGATGATTTTCAATTGCAATACTTTTTTCAAAAGACTGTAAATAACCTGCTCCATCCATCCAGGCTGACTGAGCCTGGGAAGTTTCAGCAACTTTTGCAATCCAGAGTCAATTCTTCAATAAGTCCAGCTAAATAAAACTTGCTTAGTGCAGCAATACATGACCTACAATTTTCTTAAAATAAATATCTATAATTAGACATTTGTTCTTTGAAAAAAAATGAAAATTCTACTTTTGGATTTTAAAAATACAGAACAAAACGAAAGAATGTGCCAGAAAATGATAAATTATCTTCTATTTGATGTGAATATTTGTGTAAAATGATGGAAAAAGAAAAAATAAAGAGAGAGAAGAAATATAGATACAAATAAATATTAAATGTTACTGGTACTTTGAGGGTCATTCTGCTGTAAAATTCCCACACATTTATTTAATCAAATAAACTGCTATAACCTCAATTTATTGTACATTCGTTTTTTTAAGTTGCTTTTCCTTTTGTTTATTATTATTTGTGGGCAAAGTTATTATGAACCGTTGTGAAGCCACAGCTCACAGACCCTTGTACAGATACAAATGCACCTACACTTTTTCACTTTTCAGATTTGTAATCACAAACAATAAATCATTTTTCCTTCCATTCCACAATCTGGCGGAATATCTCGTATGTGTGTGTTTATCACATAAAGTCTCAACAAAACAAACAAGGCTTTTTATTTTTCGGTTGCAATGTCACAAGACGTAAAAAAGTTCAAAAGAATATCAGCAGCTTTCCTAGCAGGTTTTGTCGAACCTGATGCAAATGTGACCGGAAATATAAAAACCACAAACAGTGAAAGAGAGGTCATTAGACAGTAATGCACATGGCCACCGCTACCTCCTGCACTTCTCAGTCTAATTTTATTTTATTCAGCTGCACGGTAACGTGACGCGTTTTTGCTTAACCATTAGACGAAAGGTCAGATTCCCGGGCTTACACTTTGGTGTGGACATCTGAATTATTTTCTCTAAATATATTCAGAGTGCAGCCGGTGCATCTGTTTTCCCTTTCCAGATGGAGGAGGAGTGGGGTGGTGGGTGGGGTGCAGGTGTTTGACGTCCATCCAGGGCAATCCGGCGGTCGCACAAAAGAAAATCCTCAGGGAGAGAAAGTGTGTTGCAAGGGCTCATTGCAAAATATTACATAAAAGCAAAACATTACCTCTTAATGTAATTATGTTCACAAAGGTCACAAAGAAAGTAGCCTCTTAACTTTAGCAATTGACTGAGACTATTTTTATGAATGAAAATCCCTGCTTTCTAACGCAAAGGAGACTTTTGAATCTTGACAGCAATCGACAGCAGAATGCTTGAATCAACATCCTGCGTGTTTGAGTCACATATGGCTGCAGTTTAAAACTTTACTCTTGACAGCTGCTTCTTGATGAAGATTCTGCAACGCTTAAGAACTACAATGTAATTCTTGATACGATTCTTCCTTTTCGAGCAGAAGAACCGTAACGCATTTTTCCTTCCATTGACCTTACTGGCCCCAGGTCACAGCTCAGCATGGATAAAAAGTGCTTTTCACACACTTCTTCAAACAATATATAAAATCAAAGATAGAGTTCTTCTCTTGTTCTTACCAAGCATCATTTCTCTGTCAGGGCATGAATAGGCCATTGTGTAATAGCGTGGTGTCCCACAGGGCTCAGTTCATGTGTTTTTGTGTGTGATGAAAGTGCAAATCCAAATTCTGTCGTTCACAAGTACACAAAAGATATAAATAGCTGGGCAAATGAGAGTTCATCTATGAAATTGAGTGAAGATGACTACATAAGCTAAAAACTGGAGTATAGACATTTTTTGTAGAAATGTTTTTGTGAGTCTGCTGCTTTAGTATTAAACTGAATATAATTTCTGATTTTTAAAAAATATTTTTTTGTCCCAGTTAAAAACATAAAAAAACATAAAAAGTTTTGTCGTGGTTTTTCAAGTCCAGATCCCAAAGCGCTTCACACTACAGTCAGTCATTCATGCACACACTCACATGCTGAGGATGCCAAGGGTAGGCGGTCCTAGCCTGTTGGGCACCTTGGGCAAACCACCTTTCTGGAGCCCCCCGGTCTCTCCTCCATGAAGTTGTTATTGATAGTGAATAACAAGGAGCACAACTCTAGAGGGCAAGTTAATTCCAGCTTATGATGCTCTGCATTCTCAGAACCAGAACCAAACATGGAGAAGCAGCATTCAGCTTTTCCACAAACCTGGAACAAATGCCTGGAAAACTGAAAAACAACTGAAACTTTAAATCTAAACTAAAACCCCACCCGGTTAGAGTTGCTAACCGGGTGGGGTTAGCAACTCTAACCATAATAAATTAAACACGAACCAACATTTTGATGTGTAATCGCGACACTTGACAAAATGTAATGCTTCCTTTGTGTATTTTTGTGGTTTTGTGATGTAAAGCACTTTGAACTACCTTGTTGCTGAAATGTGCTATATAGATGAACTTGACTGAAACTTGACTTATTGATGTGCATCTTCATGACTCCTGTCACCTTTTTCTTTTTTAGGTATGGAGACCCATGCGGCCCTACAAAGAGCACACTTCTCCTCCGCAGGTAGCTAGTTCTCACCTGGTGCTGGGCTGCTCCCTCCTGCGCAAACCTCGGCCAGAACCACCGGGATTTTAAAAGTCCTCATTCGTGCCCCTCTGCCCATCCTGAAGGGGCACAATGGGAGAAAGACGAGCGCGCTCCTTTCACATGACCTGCCATGTGCAGCGGGACTACGGCAGCAGGATGCGGAGCTCCTTCATACGCTGCAGCCCCAACGGATGTGCCGGCACAAGCATCAGCCTCAGCTTGGACCAGGAGATGGACCTGGCCGCCTCCACCGGTCCCACCGCCGGCTGCGGTGCCTTGCGGGTCCCCGTGCCTGACGTTGGCCACTACTCGTCGGTTTCGCTGGAGATGGACCCCCCGGCGGTGAATAATGGATCAGGCTTCCCCTGCTTACCTCCAGCTGACACAAAGGATCCAGAGCTGCAGATCGCACACAGCCAGCCGTCCGTCACCCCCGTCCCGCCGCCTCTCCCTCGCTCCAGTTGGCTGCGCCATCACCAGAAGGAGTTCCAGAGTCCTTACATTAAGACTAGCATGCAGGGGGATGTTTACAACTTTCTAGAAAGACCCGCGGGGTTGAAATGCTTCCTCTACCACTTTCTAGTGTGAGTACCTGCCTGCTGTTGTTCTTTACCTATTTAGGTGCAAGCTTCTGATGGGCTTGACATTGGTTTGAATTGAAAAGTTTGTGAACCCAACTGCAAAAAGTTTAATATATAGAAAAGGTTTTAGGTATCTGTATCCGATACCTATACAGATATCCGATGTTTAGTATCGGCTGGTACTGATATGATTCAGAAAATCAGTGATGAATTAACGTGAAATATTTCTTTTATTTAAACACAGATTAAAATATACTGAGTTAAGCAATCTTTGATATGTTTGCACCAGTACAGAATGCTTAAATACACCAATAGCTTCACAAGCTTTGTTAAACATGTAAAAACAAACACTTTTACATGCTGTTTTTCTCCTAATTGTTAGTGCAATTAGTTGTAAAACAATCAATGTAATAAAGAAACAGAAAAAAGGTTGACTACTTTGGTCAGATGTGAAAATATTTCAAATGGTTCAGAAAAACGCATAATTATCTAAATATAATGTAAAATAAGTAATGAAGCTCAACATCACCCGGAGCATGACTCAAAGAATTAGACAGAATAGATCTGCCCTTATTGATACCGATACACATATTAATATTAAATCGGTGCATCTCTAGTTATTGTTAATATTTTTGTTAACCACAATAGAAATAAAAATTAGACTTGAAGAAAGGAAAACTAACTAAAACTTCAATGTCCGCTAATATGACAAACCTTGAATATAATAAATGTGTCTTTGGTGAAATTAAGTGTCTTGCAGTTGAAACATTTGGTTTGTTATTAAAGGACAAAAAATCCCTAAAACCTTGAAGTTTATTTGAAAAGTACACACCCGCTGTTCCTGTGTTCACTGAATTTTTGATAGTTTCTCTGTCATAAATCTTAAAAACTCTTGCCTGATATTAATTTGTGACAAGCTAACATGTTTATTTATTTTTTTCAAAATTATTTCAGCTTTTCTGGATTTTTTTTACACAGACTATTTCTATATTACATTTTTGAACTTGCCCCTGGTATATAACTCATAGTTAAAAAACAAAAAAAAACAAAACTTAAACTGTAACTGCAACCAGTCAAAACTAAACTGAAAATAAGAGTTTTTATAAAGTAAAAAATGCTTTATCAGTTTTTTAACTGATAAAAAACCCGAGTTAAAACTGCAAGTCAAGACTACATAAAATTAAAACTAATTAATGACCGAACTCTACTAAAACTTTAGGCACTTAATGATGCCGTTTGGGAATGTAACGTCTCTGTGCTTGGCATGCCTGTTAACTACATTTAAAGTTTCTTCCAGTTTTAGGATTTTATTCCAAGTATCAGAACCACGTGTGTTATCCTCACCTCTGACTTTTCTTCTGCAAACCTTGACTATAAATTATAAAACTTTGCACACTGTCTATATTTTACACTTTTCAAATATTTCAGAAAAAAAAATCTGATTAATTCAAAATTCAAGAATACTTTATTGATCTCAGTAGTAAGTGAAATATTATTGCTACTCATCTTAAGTCAAGTTTAAGCATAAATGTAATAATAAGTTGGAGAAAATCATTGATTTAACAATAAAAATGAAATGGACACGGGACCAAAATGGCAAAAGTAAGAATAAAATTTTCCTCAACTCACATTGGGAATCATTTAGTAGTTTGGGCATTTTAAAAAAATAAAATAAAACTACTACTATTATCAGAAATCCGAGAGTGCCCTGGTAATATGTGAGAGAACGAGCTTCTATGATCTCATAAGTATTCCACAGTTCAGCCGTCGTAAGCCTGAGTCACGAGGATTTAGGTCAGATTAGATGGAAAATATGAATAACATTCATCATAGGAGTTCAACTGAAATGCCTCCACTGGACACTATGTACATTCATTACTAAATATACGAAGCCTGGCTAACCTTTGCAACCATCTCAGCCAACGGTGTGTTTATATTCAACCAGGTCAAGTAACCTGACCTGCTTTAGACTTCTCTTCAGTTAGAACCTCAACCTTTTGTGTTTCTTTGTCTTCATGATTAATTTTCTTCTCTAATGTTCTTTGCACTGCAAAAACACAAAATTTTACTCGGTATTTTGGTGTAATTTCTAGTGCAAATATCAATAAATCAGACTAGCTTTCAGGTTTACTTTTCAGCAAGATGTAGGAGCTTGTTTCATGGCAATAATTCCTTAACATTGATGAAGCATTTTCAACAGATTTTTACAACACGGGGAAATAAAAGTCTTGGTATAAGTGAAATCTGCCATGGGATTAGTAATTTTCTATCCATACTGAGAAAATGTTCACTTGAAAAGTTACCTGTAAATTAGTTTTGTCTTTCAAGTTTACTAAGATATCTGAACTAGCAACTAGATCAAACATTCTTGGTGAGACTTTGTGTTTTTGCAGAGTAAATGTCCAAGGCCTTCACATGATCTGCTTACTATGTAGGTGACTTTTGAAGGAAGCTGATTCCAGGAGGTTGAATTGGATTTATTTAGGCGTATATATGAGTGAAAACAAACAAATACAAGAATACAGATGCGGCCGTACGTTTCATTACTTGATTTGTATATATTTGTGACACAATTATGTGTTCTGTCACAAAAACCCCAATAAAAATGACATTGTAATGTGTGGTGTTAATGCAACAAAGGGACAAAACAACACTTTTGCAAACAGAACACCAAACAATAGAAACAATAGCTATATCCGGTCAAATATGTAAAATATTCTGTTATCCATAGATCTCCATGCAAATTTTTCACAAAAAAAAAAGTGTCCTGTCAAGAAAAAAATACTTTATGGGCTTTAATATAGCTGCTATAGTAAAGTAATAGGTTTTACTTGATAATTGTGAAGTTTTTTTTGTTGTTGTTGTTGACTTAGAAATTAGGTCCACGGTCATGAATAACCGGTGGTCCACGGTTCTGGCTGCCGTGCAATTATTTATTAGCTTTCAGCTCATGAAGCGCTTTGTTATGTTGATTTTGTTGCCTTTACTCTGCCTGATTGCTTACACCCATTCAACACAAACTCTAAAAGAAAGCTTCAGCTAAACCATCCACCTTTTTTTTTCTAATTTTGCTCAACCAATAACTGTAAATAAAAAATTTCTGCAAAAAAAAAAAAATAATAATAATAATAAAGAGATCCTCTTTTGTAACTGAAGCTCCAGTGTTTCCTCCCTCATAAAGGAGCGGGAACTTGAGCCTCGCCTTCATTTAAAATTAAACCCCTCTAACCGTTCTTCACTAACACTCCTTTAGGCAACTCTTAATTGTTAATGGTGATGGCTGGAGGCCGTTCATTCTCCTGTTCTCTGTGGCGATCAGTGGAGAACAGAAGGATAAAAACCAATGACAGCTTTAATAGGCCAGCTCTAAAGGGCCAGCTCTACATGGCACACAATAAATAACGCACACACACACACACACACACACACACACACACACACACACACACACACACACACACACACACACACACACACACACACACACACACACATATATATATATAAAGTGCATTTAATAAGTCACAGACTGTTCCTAGCACCGTGTAATGAATAATACATGACTAATCATGATAAATGAATAATAATTAAAGATAATAGTGGATAAATAGCTTAAGACCAAATGCAAAAATTAAATCATATACAAATCTATTAATCTCATGTTAAATAAATTAAAATATATTACTTTTTATTTAAGTGTTTATGTCAGCTTGAGTTATGCAGAACTGATCTGATCGTTGCTATGGAAGCGATCAGAAGCAAGATGTTGCGCCAGAAGTCCAGTGAGGTCACTGATGAGGTCATAGATGACATTATTTACATCACAATAGATCAAAGAGGTTCTGATGCTTAAATGACTGAATCTGAAAGCATCAGCCAGAACTAGACCGTTTGTAGAGAGTGAGAGTTACACAGGAAAATCATGCTTGGACTTGTTCCCATGTTAATCCCCCTAGGCTGGGGCATTGGGTATGCGGTAACCAGCGGGATGAAAAAACTCACCGATCGTTACTTTCCCAGCAAGGATTCAGAAGAAAGCAAGGATTCCGAGGAAAACAAGGATTCCGAAGAAAGGAAGGACTCTGAAGAAAACACGGATCAACGTGGAGAAGAGGATTTGGTTTGGAAGGGTCCTACACCCACTTCCACAGAACAAACCAACCCGGAGGGGGAGGTTTGTTCTGGAAAACCAACGGGTGTGGGTGGGACCGCGACCTCAGACCCAACAAGGACCGTCCGTACAGAGGACGACACCACTATCTCTGAACAAACCTTCCCGGCTGGGGAGGTTTGCTCAGAGCAAAAAACATATGTCTGTGGGACCACAGACATGGGTGTGACGGACTCTGTGCGAGACAGTCCTGAGGGGAGTCCGACTGTCTCTGAACAAACTGACCCGGCGGGGGAAGTTTGTTCAGAGACGGCGGAACGACATGAGGGTGAAGGGCCAGTCGCAGAAAAGTCTACTCCGGCTGGGGAAGACTTGTCTGCGGCTGACGTCGCGGCCAAAGCTGTGGCTGAAGCCACAGAGAGAGCTTTGGTTTCGTTGGTCCCATCTCTGGCCCTTCCGATCAATACTCCTCTCCGCACCTCTTGCTCCAGGACATTTCTTTTAAGGAGTTCCCAGGATGAAGAAGGTCTTTTTGCTCAAAGACATACTGCAAGGATAACTGTTGGGCTTGAGATCGATTGTCCCCTGGACATAAAAAAAGAAGATGGTGTCGGCTCAGAGTTCCCAGGGACACAGAAGACGGCAATGGTAGGCAATGGACTAGCAGAGGATGGACTCTGCTACAGCTGGGTGGACGCTGCTCTCCAGAGCGTCCTGAACCTGAGCGTCACGCGGAGGTGTCTCGCTCAGGAAAGGGACTTTCTGGAGGCTTCGTCCATCCCCAGTTGGGCGAGTCTCATCATGTCTGCTGTCCATCACCCCGGCAGACATTTTAGTCAGGAGGACCTTTCCCCTGTTTTGATGGAGCTGAGGGAGAGGTACCAGCCATTGAACATGGGAAGGGACTTCGACGTGAAATGTCTGCTGGAGTCATCGATGGTCTGGCTGGACTCTTTCAGCAGTGCCACAGATAGGGAGTTGTACAACAACAACTCTTGTTCTGTCTGTGGCACTGTGTTTCTTGAGCTGCTGAACAACGGCTCCCTGCTCTCCCTTCCACCGGTGAGATTTCCAACCAGTATTTCCACTCTCTTGTATTACTGGTTGGATGTGCGGGGAAAACGCCGTTGTTCGGTGTGCGGGTCGGCCTTGGAGAGAAAGCACTGCCTTACCAACAATGAGGTCCTAGTGTTTTTTCTCCACAGGCTGACCAGGAAACACCGAATAGTTTCCAGTCAGGCCATAGATGTGCCAGCCAAATGCAAAGGTGGTACTGAAAGGTACCACCTGTCGTCTGTTGTCTGTGGGAGATCAGAGCTGACCCACTTCTATACATATTTAATGACTGGGGGACAAATAAGGAAGGCAGAAAATCAGAATGTCTCTACTCTAGACTTGAACGACTGCAGTGAAGACATCAGCAGAAACGGTTTCATTTTTGTATATGAGAAATCATCAAATTGTGACGTTTGACGCGATAGTCTCTCCAGCCCACTCCTCCAAAAGACGATAAAGGTAACTTTGCAGTGGAGCCAAAAATATTAAATTAAAAAGAAGAAAAAATCCCAGAAGACCAAACATTTATGGGACAGGAAGGACCACCAGGAGGCCTCGGAGGGAAGACCACAAGGACGCGAGGATCCAGAAGGAAGACCACAAGGAGGCGAGGACACGACTGGAAGACCACAAGGACGCGAGGATCCAGAGGGAAGACCACAAGGAGGCGAGGACACGAAGGGAAGACCACAAGGAGGCGAGGATCCAGAGGGAAGACCACAAGGAGGCGAGGACACGAAGGGAAGACCACAAGGAGGCGAGGACACGAAGGGAAGACCACAAGGAGACGAGGACCCAGAGGGAGGACCACCAGGAGGACTCGGAGGGAGGACCACTAGGAGGCGAGGACACGGAGGGAGGACCACTAGGATATGAATAAAAAGATATGTATATATCTTCGTATAAACCCTCGAACCCTCGTTTTTCGCGGGGTTACATTCCAAATACAACCCGCGATAGGCAAAATCGCTTTTTTTTTTTTTATACAATTATTATACAATGAAATACTTCATAATACATTGAAACCAAAGAACAAAAATTGCGGAGATCAGCACCGGGACCCGAGTCATTGGATTAGAACCGGAGAAAATGAAAAATTATTACAAAAAAAAAAAAAGTACAGAAGAACAAATAGCGACTCGCGTGTTGCAGCTGCATCCTGACTCTGTAGGTTTTCTCTTCTAAAGCTCGCGGTGCAGGTGTGTTTTTTCGAGAGAACAACGTAGTTACAGGTAGTTTTTTTCTTTGCAAACTTAAATTTGGCAAGCTGTTTTACATACGTGTACATATTAAACGCAACGTTATTGACACACAGATGAGAAGAAGCGGAGAGACTGTTTAGCCAATCAGAATGCAGAACACAATGCGCGATGAAAGGTAAACCGCGATAGTTCACTGTATGTATAAATATGAAATTCATATATAGGCTATATACATACGCCTGCCTATCTATCTATCTATCTATCTATCTATCTATCTATCTATCTATCTATCTATCTATCTATCTATCTATCTATCTATCTATCTATCTATCTATCTATCTATCTATCTATCTATCTATCTATATATCTATCTATCTATCTATCTATCTATCTATCTATCTATCTATCTATCTATCTATCTATCTATCTATCTATCTATCTATCTATCTATCTATCTATCTATCTATCTATCTATCTATCTATCTAAATATACACACGCACGCACGCTCGCACACACACACACGGTTGTTGACTAATTTATTTTGGTCAATTTAAATGATCCACATTTTTTCTTAGACAAACACGCTCAGACTTGCATTCACCTAAATCTGTTTAAACCCCTTTGTGAAGTTTTCTCAGACGTCCAGTGAAGTCAACAATGAATGTCAGCCGCCAACCTATGAAACATCGAGCATGACGCAGAGACAGCTCTATGGAGATGGTTAAAAAACAAACACAAAGCAGTCTCATGTTTACCTCTTTCAGTTTCTGCAGCATTGTGACAATTAATCACATGATTAAGTTTTTAGGCCTTGAATAGTTCTGAATTTTTTTTGTTTTTTTGAGAAATGTGCAAGAAATCCTTTCTCTGTGCTGTAGTTCTGGCTTAATTAGGTGTCATGATACTTGGATGTTTAAGTTTTGGGTATAATTTACATTCCTGTGTCGGTTATTGCCATGTTTAATTTTATTATTTTTGCTCTAAATGCCTTTTTGTGTAAATTCTTTCTTTTCCATTAAATTTTCCAGTTTATTTCTTTCAGATTATTTGTCTGAATTTCCATTTTGGTTCTGGATCAGGGGTCTGCAATTTGCAACTTTCACAGTGGCTCTCAAAACCTTTGGCAAGAAATGCAAAAATATTTCAGTAATATTTTGAGATGCAGAAGTTTTCTTTTGCATTTCAACACAAAACTTTTAAGCGTAGACTGATGATATTTTGTTAAAGCAGTTTTATTTGTGGAATCTCCAATTTGTGATCTTTAGATTTCTCAAAAATATTGCTAAAGTAGTGAAGCATATTGTTTCTCACATTGTTTACACTCCAGACTGACCGAGAACAGCTTTACTCACTGGATCTCTCACGGCCAGTAACTCAACCAACTGAGCCACTCTTTGGTTGCCTATCAACAACTTGATGAGTAACTTGCGCAGCAGCAGTTTCAGGTTTCGCCAACTTGCCTCGTACATTCTTAAAAATATTAAATGCCCCCATTTGGCAGTATTTAAAAAAACAAACAATAAATTAGTTTTGATATTATTGACTGATAGGAAATGCTTATATTATGGTGTGACTTTGTTGGTTTTATTATTTTTTCACCATTTAGTTTTCAAGTGATAAGATCTGAATTTCTCCTTTTGCTGGTTAAAAAAATAATAAAAATTAAAAGTTGCCTCATTTTCTTCCACTTTGCAATAAACACTGCTTATTTTAATTTATTGACATCTCAATAAATTAAGATAATATAACACTAAAGTTTGCTGTTTAACATAATAAAATGGATGCAGTGTGAACACTCTTCCATGCATATATGAGCGTCTTCTATTGTTACAGCAGTGTTAGCAGCCACAAGAGCCATCTGGAATAAAGAAAAGGACTCTGGATAATGATTTTGTGCAAATATATTTACATGTTAAGTGCTTCATCATTATTTAATGAACTAATACCCTAAGTCTAAGTAAAGTAAATAATTAAAGGTAATTTAAGAAGTGCTTCAGTTGAAGCTGAAAGCCCTTTTGAGGGCTTGTTCGTGAGTTTCCTCCAGCTTCTTGTAGACATACGGCAGCAGCATTCATAATAGATCACAGAGTCGGACAAGGGTAACTTCCTGTCCAACTGCAAGGCAGAGAAATACAAACATACACAAATACTATTGTATTGATGTCTGAGTGAGTCAGGCTCACTTGAAAACCTTTGGACTTGGGACAGCATATGTGGCTATGTGACCAGAAAGAACCTTACGCAATGGAGTTGAGCATCACCAGCACACATACACACACACAACTTGTGGCAGTGATTACCCACCGCACACATGAACGCATACACACACACAGATTTGGACTACTCCCTCTCAGTCGCTTACATAACCAAAAGGAAATAAAGATGCTGCCCTCCGTGACTCCATCATGACCTTCCAGGCTACTACAGTCGGGTCAAACTGACACCTGAATGCAATGAGATGCATTTCAAGCAAAGTCGTTTAACGTTCAAAGTCCTTTGAGGAAGTTAAATCTGCATGACATAAGAACCTGAACTTTGCACTATTTTTAAAAACAACCCGGTTCCCGTCATTATGAGAGCGTCACACAACGTTGCGGATTCAGATTTATTTATTTTTTGTCCTGTTACAGCCTCACTGGTTTGGAGAAGAGGATGAATGGCACCTGCTTTTCCTCGTGAAAACGCTGCCGGCCAGATGCTGTCTGAAAGACTTGGATGTGTTTTTGCATCTGGACAGATTACTGAAATAGCTACAGTGAATCCATGCCCCGCTCCCACCCCTCTGTATGTGAAATGGAAAACCTCTTTTTACATTTTTGCTTACCAGGAGATTACCGTCAGAGTGAAGCAAACTGTATGCGTCACTCTCTGTTTACGCTAGTATGTGCGTGGTTGGAAAATCTTGCGTGTGGCCTTTTATTTCTTTTACGGCGCAGAAAACGGTACATCCGTGTGCCTTTGAAAGCTTCTACACAAGTCAGATATCACCACTGGTTGATCAGATTTCTTTTTTATCACTTTGTAACAAAAAATCAAATCCGATATAGTTATGTAATTTAGTGTAACTTTGAGCCATGTACCTACTTATATGATTCATCTTAATTCTCATCGAGATGGCTTCGTCTGGGTTTTCTCCCATTGACTCGGATTTCCCCAGGAAATTTTCAAACGGGCCAATCAGTGAACAGAAGAATAAGATTTGATGATGACGTTGAATTTCTGTGCAGTTTTAGACTTGTAGTCTGGTTGTACTTTTAGTAATATCAGCACAGGATCTGAACGAAGCCATTCAGTCTGTGTTGGCCACACTTTCAAATATTGAATTAACTTTAACAGCCCTGCAGTTTTGTTCTCTTTTCTTGGTCTCAAAAATGGACAGTGACCCTAAACATACCAGCAAACTATTGTGAGAAACCCAAAATGTTTGACCCCAAGTCAATGCTACTAAATAAATACTAAAACTTCTGAATTTATTAGTTACATAATTTTATCTTAAACATTTTTGGTCATTCTGATATTTAGCCAATAGAAATAATTGTGGTAATCATCATTAACACAGCAAAGCTAGAGTCTTAAGCAGTGAATGTAAACATCTGGTTTCAACACTTCACATTTAAAATGGCAAATAAATTACTTGATACTTGTCTTTTCAAGTGTATCTGACAAAATGAATAAGTAAACACCGGATAATTTTTAAAGGAATAGTTCTCAACAGAAATAATGAATTGGCTTTATCTGTTTTTCCTTTTCCATCAGTCTGACCTCTTTAACGCCAAGAGAAATTCAGAGTCTGTAGAAGATCAACCAGGCATTGCTTTGCTGCCTTGCTCACAGAATGTGGTGACCAATCTGCTGGCTCAGCTCAGATGAAATAACCGTGTTTGTGGCTGGATCCTGATGTGGTGTAATCCACACTAAGCTCCTCTTTGCGTTTAAATGGGAAGGGGGGCTGGAGAAGAAGCCTGTGGAGGTCTGCTGTGCCTTTAGCCACGCTGTTTGGCTACAGTGTCTGTACAAGTGGCTTTGCTCTGGATTGTGAGCTTGTTTTGGTTTGGCCAAATGTCCATTTCAAAACTCAACTGGGGCTCAGTTGTGTATAGTTTGACATTTCTCCATCCTTTGCAAGACATGATGCATTTCACAAGCTCTTTCACTTTTTCAGGTCTCAATTTTAACAAGCAGTGTGACCCCTCTTTATTTTTAAGGATGGATAAATGTTTAATGTTTAAAATAATTTCTTTTTTGGTGTCTGCTTTTTCAAACTTCCATTTTCCTGTAGAAGTCATTCTTTGCCACAGCAAATTGAAAACTGTGACTTTAAAGGACGTTTCCCAGATTAAAACCAAAAGGCCTTTCTGCTCATTTGTAAAGCTAAGGTGGTTTGCACCAAACACTGCTGCTGTCCAATAAGATCCCCACACATTTAAATTAGCTTGAATTTCAATGTATATTTGACTCCCTTACCTTCATTGGAACCTCTCTTTTTGATGATGATAATAATAACAATAATAAACTGTGATTCTCTTTACATGCTGCATATTTTCTTTATGTGCACAGTGAGGTCACCGTCCCTGGTACGTTTTGAAAGCTTAAACAGCCTCAGTGTCACTGCTCACTGAGTGAACGCTTTGGTGCGGCTCCACGCTCTAGTTTACTGCAGCTAGACAGATTTGCAGTCAATAATACTCACTAAAACCCCAGCTGTTTTGTTTTAATCAGATCCCAGGGGTTTTGGCCTGGCGAAACAAGGTTAGCTAATGGCTGTGAGTGACTCAGTCCTGTCTGCAGAAAAACAACAACAAAATCCACATATCTCTGTGGTGTCAATGGTGGAATCCGTGTGTCCATCTCCTTACTGTAGCTAATAAAATATCAACACTGTTGTCATGGGTAAAAAGTAAAACAAAGGGTTTTGAGTTTTATTTATGGTATTGGTAAATGTTTTCTGTCAAGAATCTAGGGCTGGAACAGATTAATCGCGATTGATCAATTATTGAAAGACTCATCAATTAATTTAGTAATCAGTTAATTGCTAGCAGACTCAAAAACATTCCCTTTGCTGAGAAAACGACACAATGAGAACAGTAAATAAGCCAAAACTGGACAAAATAATATATATACATTTTGCCTTTTAGGTAAAAAATCTCACAGTAAATATCATTTGCTATCTAATTATTGGTTAATTGAAAAAAAAAAAAACAGATCAGCCTTGCACTTTACTGATAATTGAAGTAGGTAAGACTTATTTAATTTCTTTTTGTTTTAGCTGCAGATACATCCTTTGCTACAAATGAAGGCAGAAACGTTAAATTCACTGGTCTTGTCCGTCTGCTCATTTTGCTGTTTGAACTTTAACAGGTTTGTGCGTTCTGTCAAGTTTCCCCCCCCCCGTTTATGTACCTGCAAACCTTTACAATATCAATCCCTAGGACTTCCAAGTGAAAAATGGATCACTCACTCTATATACTTTCCTTAACTCTGGAAATAAAAAAAGTCCTGTGGCTCATGCCTTCATTGTATGTTTGATGGATTTATATGAGAAATGGCTTTAAATCCCTCAGTACCAGATGCTGTTCAAGCAGGCATTTCATTAAAACCTCCCTTTCCAAAAATGGGACTGACTGATGCTCACCAAAAGCCAAAGCTATACATCTTACCCAAATCTAGAGAAAATGCTTTGGAGTTTGTTTTCTTTTTTTTTTGTTTTTTGCTCTGAACTGACGTCGGAGGAGAATAAGAGGGAGTAAGAAGTGTGGTTTTGAGTGTGTGTCTCTGTGTAATCCCTATAGAGTTAAATCATTGTCCCATCTGGCCAGGAGGTCGCCCGTGTGTGCGTGCGTGTGTGCGTGTGTGTGTGTGTATGAGAGAGAGAGAGAGAGAGGGGAATCCTCCTTCTCCAAGTCTTCCTCTTTATCACTTCACTTTGTGTTAACCTTGCATGGCATGAAATTGTGGAAAGTAATCTGTCAAGCAAAGCACCTCTTCTGCTTCCTCACTGGATCATTTGAGGGTCTAGATCAAGGGATACGTTTCTCTTCCAGGAGAAGGGGAAAAACTCAGTGGCTTATGGAGTCTATCTGCAGCTTGATATTTACTACACTGTCTACGCAAAGCTATTTTCCTCACTCTCTGACATTTAAACAAAATATTTCATGCTTTGGGCTACTTAGGGTTAAACTGAAATAATAAAAATAGTTTTCTTTCATCATTTTCCTTCAGATTCATTAGTTTAAGTAGAATTCCTTCATCCTAAGTTGAATTCTCTTCTGAACTGTATGACTCGGGTTTTCGGGGTTTTGCTTACCATCTGTTGCCAGAATTTTGCCCCGTTCTTCCTGACAGAATTGGCGTCACAGAGTCAAATTTGTTCGAAAACTCTTCTCACAAACGCACTATTTTGCGTGGGACTGAGATCAGGCCACTCCAAAACAGTGTCTCCGTTTCCTTAAGCCGCTTTGTAACTAATCTCGCGGCACGCTTTGGGCCGTTATCCACTTGGAAGATCCATTTGCATCCAATCTAACTTTCTGACTGATGCTGTGTTAATATTTCCACATGATGTTCTTTCCATATGACGCCATCAGTCATGTGAAATGACTCGACACAACACGACACTGCCAGACTTGCAGTTGTTTCCGTTGATCATTTTTGCCAAACAGTTTAATTTTAGTTTAATTTCAATCAAGAACCTCTTCCTGGCATTAATTTGTCGTTAATTTGTTTTATTGCCTAAAACACTAAAACTCTTAGTCAGACTTAATTTCAGACAGTGGGAGGGGAGAGTACCTATATTTCTTTGCAGCCTATGCAGCTATTTGCATTATCATGACTAGGGCAGGAAAAGTGAAAACTTAACCTTCCTGACATGTGACATGGAGTCCTTGCAGCTCACAGATTCGTAATGCATCCTGGGACGTGTGTGTGTTTTAAAGTAACTCTTATCTTCATGATGGTGCATGCAAATACTGCCAGTCATGTTACTGAGAAGCTTTTAAAAAGGTTTCAAGGATTATCCCCCTCGCGTAGTGAAAATGCTCCTAACTGGGATTACTGTTAATCCTTGCTCTGCTAAGAAAGTTGTGTTAAGAAAGTTGAAACGCAGGCAGCCGAGAGCTTCTGCAGAAGTTGTGAAATCGGTTAAATGAGTTGTAAAATAGCAGATAAGAACCTAAAAAATACCCTTGCTTTATGGTGGTCATGTCTTTTTCTCTAAAATGTGGTGATGAATAACTTCTAGACAGCAAAAATAAAAACAGTTGAAGCACTGCAGATCACAAGTCTTTATTGTATTGTTATAAAGTCATGCAAGTGCAAAATGCTTTTGGTAAAGATACAATTCTACTGTTGGTATTTGTCATTTTTTGCCATTTTGAAAGTAAACCATTTCACAAAATGTTCACATTTTATCACTTTTATTCTGCATGCATAAGAGTTCCACTCACACCAAAATGGAGTCGTCAAAGAAAATCACTGTACCTCAGTTTTCTGCTGATCGTCTTTGTACTACTTTGGAGAGTTTTGATATTTTTCAATAGACTTCGCTGCTGTCTAATCAAAAGGCTTTCATCCAAACGCCTTATGTTGTGCCTGCAACGTAGCTGTTTAGTCCATGCCTCCCAATTAAGCAGGAGCAAAAATAACAAATAAAAACAGAAGATGACGCCACATTAGCCATTAACGTTCTTCACTCTAGAGTGCACAGAATTGTACGTCCTTCATCCCAATAAGCATGCATTTGTGCCATCATTCTGCTAAATAGATCAGTAGATTTTTAAGAAGTTAGTGAATCAACTTCTTAATGCACTGTTGAGATCACGTGCCTTAACAATCTGCAATGAATGGATACACCAGAAAACCTTCAGCCATGACTTTATTATGTTTTCTCTTTTCCTTTACTTGTTCGTCCAGTATTCCTCCTCCCCACCTTCCTCTTGCACGCTCTTCTTCTTCCTCCATCCTCAGTTAGGTGAGCTGGCCGTGTATGTTTAGCTCAGGAGGCCGTATTTGAAGACCATGTATGTACACTGACAGATGGAGCGTCTCGTCGGAATGTTTCACCGTTACTAGGAGATGTGGAAACACCCTGTCAGCTAATAATACAGGCTGGTTGATAAAAACAGAGGAAAACTGAGACAAAGTACCTCAAACTTGAAGGATTTATTCTGTCTTTTGGTTGGAGGCATTTTGCTTAAAGTCATATCATGCACTGCTAGGAGTTTTAACAGTATGACAGTTTCCGTTCTTTCCTTTTTCACATTATGCTATCTGGATTCCTTTTTTTTTTTTAAATAAGAAACATTAGATTGCTAGTTTCTGCAAAGGTGCATCATGAGCTTCAATCTGAATTCACACCATATAAATTATACTCATTCTTACAAGCTAAACTACAGGCCCAAACTGAAAGGGAAAACGGCAGCTAACATTTCTGCAGACCACACACATCCTCGTCACAAAGCATGAGTATTTTCCCTAATTCCACCTTGTCTTCCTCTTTACTAGAAATTTAAAATACACAAATATGTACAAAAGAAACCCTGTTTTATTTCCCAACAAGTCTTTTTGTAGATTTATATTTAAGAAGTCTTCATAGACAGTAAAGTGGAACTGAAGTTCGATTGCTTTTTGTGCATGCAAAGTTGGTGAATAAAGCTGATTCTGATTCTGAAATGTTAATATTTTGTGCTTCTTAAACTTTGGTTCAAAGTAATAATTTGTTTCTCTGTCTCTGTCTCTCTTTCTGCAGCTTCCTCATGGTCTTGGTGTGTCTTATCTTCAGTGTTCTGTCCACAATAGAACAATATGCAGACTTTGCTACAGGAACGCTCTTTTGGATGGTGAGTATTTTTTATGTAGATCTTCATACAGAACAACACATGGAGTTTAAATAATTTCATTGTGTCATGTAATCACAAAGAAACATTTTTGCATGTTCATTTTAGGTCTTAGATTTCTTCAGAAGCAACATTTAATTTGCTTCTGAAGAAATTATTCATCGTTAATGGGATTAATGATGTGTCTTTGAATTAGAAGAATAATCTCATATGTTTGTTCCTTTAAATTAGCCCGGAGTGACAAACAGATCTTCTCAGATTTTTTTATTTATCAAACTGAGGAATGTGGAACAAAGCATAATGGCCTAGTAGTGTCATTTTAGATAGAGAAAAGGGGTAAATTTATGCCAAAACATCAGAAATGTTTGAATTAATCTGACAAATTTCGTAGAAAATTTTTTGAAGTTTCTGAGTTTCAAAAGTCAAAAACATTTTGTATTTAATCTGAGAAAATTTGTAAAAAAAACAAAACAAAACAAAAAAAAGTAGAACATTTTTGACTTTCTGAAACTCAGAAAAAGACTTTCTTAAGCACATTTTCTACCCCTCCAAATTATTAGTTTTTCTCTTATAGACATTCAAAAAACATAAAAAATGGATGAAAATGTCAAATGTTCTACTTTTTAAGCTTAGAATTTTTCAGGTTTTTTTTCTATAACATTCCTGAAATTAATCTAAAAATTAAGAGTTATTTTGGTGTAAATTTACTACTTTTTTTCTAACAACAATGCCCTAAAATGCCATCAAAGTTGGTGAACAGAAATAGTAGATTGCCATGCAGTACCCATTTTTCGCCACAGGATGGAGATATAAGATTTTAGTTTGTGAAGATTGAACCTGCCGGCCATCTTGATCCTTCTAAAGATATTACTAAACTTAGGAGACTAATGACTTTTAGCTAACACAAACAATCTGACACACACTGGTGCACTGCACTTGCACAAAGCTCTTAATAGTTGCATGTCTTTTAAGGCTTTCATGATCACACTCATATAGAACCACTTGGGTCCGCACAGACTGCGCCTGCTGATACTCGCTGGTTAGATTGACTTCTTTGTGGCTTATTTGTCTATTAGGGCCGCTAAGTGATGCAATAAATCGAGGCCTTACAACAGGTTGAGAGGAATTATGGCCGCCGTTTGGAAACCCTACAAAGAGCTTGCATCATCCGTCTCCTGCCAGCATAGTGGGAATATATAAATACACACGTAGCTCCTGAATGCATGCACACAGTGTGCACACTCATACAAAAGCTGCAAAAACACACACGTAGTACCTTCAGCCAGAGCCCAGAGAGGACACTGTGTTCTGTAAACTTTTGGTCAGTGCACTTTAATGACCCACTATCACACTTTTCTTTTTTTTTGGGGGGGGGGGAAGGTTGGTCTTTCTCAGTTGTGTCTTTGTTTGCAGGATTGTATTAGGTTTAATATCAGTGGTAAAATAAGATATCTGCTTTTTAAAATTTTTATTTTTTTTAATTCTTGTGTGAAGTTTGTGCCGGTGTGTTTTTAGGGGCCGGTGTGTCCTGCTGTAGAACGCTGGTGGTAGAGACTAAACTTAGAAACTTCAGGCTCAGCTCACATCGCTGAATCACAGGCTGCTTGTTTTGGATGGCACAGAGGACATTAGTCCTTGAGGATATTTGGCCTTTGGGGCAGCTGCCAAAGTCAAGCTGCCCCAAAGTCAAGCTGCCCCAAAGTCAAGCTGCCCCAAAGTCAAGCTGGTCTGCGTGTGTGTGCGTGTGTGCGTATGCACACACACTTCGTCACTTCCAATGCACTATCTTCTTTGCCTTTCTCGAATACACTTACATTTGTAAAAAATATATATATATGGGATCAGGTTCTGCTGACTTTTGCAACCTTTTCACTTTTTTTGACATGGCAACTTAAATAAGCATAAATGCTAATAATTAGATTATATTTCCACATGTTGTTGTACACCAGCAGCAAGACAAGTGAGTGGTTTTTAGAGGCATTAGTGGTGTTTTAAAAAAGACTAAAGACTATTTCCTTTGGGTCAAATTCACACATATTTAATAAAAAAAATTAAAAGTAAGTAGATTTAAAATTTTTAACTGACTAAAGTTGAGATGTGTGAAAAAACTAAAAAGGTAAATGTAGCTTTTATTGCTGAAGCCTAATTTTGAAGTGCAAATTTTGCTAACTTTTTTAAAATAATTTTTTTGTTTCATTATTTACTTGTGTAATTTTGACCTTTTTGTTCTCTCACTTGTATTTATCTTTAAATTAAATTTAAATGAGATTAATGTGTGATAATGATCAAAACTGTTCAAAACGATTTAAAGCTGACCTAATTGGAAAATTTAAATTCAGAGAGAAAAACTCTGAATCATTCAGCTAAAATTATTTCCTAGTGAAATAAGAGAAATTTCTCAAAGCAAATCTGTTTTTAAACAGTGTAGCAGTCAAATAATTCAGGCAAAGTTTCACTAGATTAGGAAGCATTAACAGGAAGCTGATCGGTTTATTACCTTTTATGAATCACATAGCCCAGGTGTCTTTCTCTGTGTGTGTGTGTGTGTGTGTGTGTGTGTGTGTGCGTGTGTGTGTGTGTGTGTGTGTGTGTGTGTGTGTTTTTTTCTCCTCTCTCCAGAGAGACACTAAGCAATCTAATCACATTTTCACATCATGCTCTTCTGATGTGCTTCGTCCTCCATCCTGGCTTGATGAGATTATGGCCTCACAATCGGGCAGCTGTTTCCAGTAAACACATAGTTGCCGGTTTCAGCTACAAAGCCCAACATCTGGGTGACCCATTTTATGGAATTATTATGACTAATCTCTTCAAATTTCCCAAATTCATGTGTACCTTTTGACTTTTGGATTTCATCCATCTGTCATAAAGCTGAATGGGTCTGTGGTATTATTATTCTTGTGTGTGTGTGTGTGTGTGTGTGTGTGTGTGTGTGTGTGTGTGTGTGTGTGTGTGTGTGTGTGTGTGTTTGTGTGTGGGGTTGTGCTTTAGCTACTGGCTCACTATGAAACTATCCTACTTTATCACCAATAGGGAGCACATTGTTACCAGAATTAATATGCCACTGAAGATGATTTTGAATTCACACCCCATTTGGTTAATTTATCACATTACAATCACAGGCTTCAACATACTTTTTTTTTTTTTTTTTTTTACCAGAATTTAATGTGAAAACAATAGTAGAGCATAATTGTAAAATGGGAGGTGAGTGGAGCATTGTTTTCAAACCATTTTGCAAATAAATAAAAGGAATTGGTGACTTTGCATTTGTGTACATTAACATTGCTTAGTAAAATCTACTACACCGTATTTTCACCAGAAATATCTCAATTGGTATAATAGATAACTTTGAAGAGCATAGACTTCAAAGCAATAACCCAAACTTTAAACCTGCTAAAGCATGGTTGTTTGCCTAAACTGATGCAACAAGCAAGACAATCTATTTTCTGAGAGGAAAATAGTTCGAATGTGGAAGACGTTAATCTGATCAAATGAGACCAAAACTGAACTTTTTAGCCTCCACTCCAAAAGACATGTGTTATGGAAAACTAACAATTCACAATGCCCTTAATTCACCGTCCCTCAAACATGCTGACAGCAGGAACCGGGAGGCCTAATTAGAATCTGTGTCAGACTCAGGACTTAAACCTGAGACAGCTGCAATGATAACCTACAGCAGGATGTCCTCACAGGAAGTCCAACTTACTTTTTAAAAAAGTAAGTTGGACTTTAATTTGTTAATCATAGGTCTTAAATTTTGACAGAACTACTTAACCTCGCGTTTTCTACGTACATATATGCAGTCCACCACAGAAGAACATAAACAGTTTTCAGATTTATATTCGTAAAAAAGATTTGATAACCATAAATTATCACATTGCAGAGTTTCATCAATACTTTAGCAAAGTTAGGCCAACCAGAAATCTTTTGTCCCCGACTGTAACATAAGACTTCTCCTTCAGGAGGAAGCCTTTTGATGGACAGGTCATTGTTTTGCAGCCTGGTGCCGCTGTGTTATTGCAGCAGGGTTGTCGGTATTACATTTCATACAAGGGGTGGTCAGGGAGCGGGCAGCTCAGGCAAGTGCAGTCAATAAGGAGGCCACCCACGTGGCCAATGGCTCCAACAGGCACTATGGTGGCTAAATATTATGGAAAGACAGTGTCCAGGAAAACGATCTCCACCAGACAGTGTTATTTAAGTCAGAAACCCTCGAATAATGTTAAAAGATCTGCCCAATGGTGAGTACACAGCAAAAACACAAAATCTTACCAAATATTTTTGGTCTAGTTTCTAGTGCAAATATATTAGTACACTTGAGAAAAGACAAAACTAACTAACTTCATCAAGAAATCAGAGCTTGTTTTAAGTCAGTAAGTCCTTAATAATGATTTTAAAAAAGTACTAGTTCTAGTGTCAGATTATTTCATTTATAACTAGTGTAGTACTTTTTCATAATGAATTAAATTAAAATGAGCTTCTATACTTTGCTGAAAAGTTTTTTTTAGATTAGTTTTGACTCATTTCAAGTGTACACTGGAAAAACATACAGTCGTATTAAGTATTTTTGGTTTATTTTCGGTTTATTTTCTTAGTACACTTGAAATAAGGCAAAACTGTCTTTAAAAATAACTTTCCAGCAAGATGTAGATGCTTATTTTCAGTAATTAATTCCTTAATATTGTTGAAAAAAATCTTGTTCTGTTGGCAGATAAATTAATTTATAACATGGTGGAAAATGTCTTGTTATAAGTGAAATAATCTGCTAAAGAAACTAGTACATTTTCATCAATATTAAGAAATTAATCACATATAACAAGCATCTTAAAGTTACTCGAAGTTATTTTTCAAGTTTCCTGAGATATTTGCACCAGAAACTAGACCAAAAATCCTTAGTAAAATCTTGTGTTTTGACAGTGTTATAAGGTACTTCTTTCACATGAGCCTGGACAAAAATACTTGGCAAGATTTTGTGCTTTTGCATCATATTCACTTCTTTTGTCAGTTAAATCTGATAGAAACACCTGAGTTAAACCTTCACCCCTTTAACCGGTCGGATGCCACGTCTTCCTCAGGCCTCAATCACTTCGCCATTGACCCGGTCTCGGTACGAGCTGTCATCAACCATGTTATCACGCTCCATCTGGCCTGCAGGGAGGATGGGTGGTCTCTCTTCTTCTTCTTCTGCCTCACACACCTGCCATTGCTCCCTCCATATCTTATTGTACATCTTGGTGATTGTTAATAATGGCTTTAAATTAGCGATAATGCCTGTTATCGCTGCTTTCAGGGCGGACATACTGTCTGCGTCTACATCCCGCCGTCCTTTGTGTACGTTTTGCTGTTTTGTCTCTGAGCCTGTGGATTGAGGTAACCCTTTCTGCATTGTGCTCCGCAGGAGATCGTGCTGGTTTTGTTCTTTGGTACCGAGTATGTGGTCCGGTTGTGGTCGGCCGGCTGCCGCAGCAAATACGCAGGCATCAAGGGACGCCTCCGCTTTATCAGGAAGCCCATATCAATCATAGGTGCACCTGGCCTTTCTCTTTTGTTCTATTAAGTCGCTACGAAAAGTGGTTTTTATATGTATACATAAATCACCTAATTGGATGATTCCAGCACTAATTTTGTTTCTTTGCCTCACGCCATTTTATTAAAATTCAAAGTTGAATTTTTGCCTGTTTTCCTGTTTCTTTTTCTCACAGATTTAATAGTTGTGATTGCCTCAATCATTGTGCTCGGCGTGGGGTCAAATGGGCAGGTGTTCGCCACGTCAGCCATCAGGTAGCGTAGCGGTTTTTAGAAACTGATTCACTGAAACGGACTCGGATGAATGTGACCGATAAGGTGGCGCTGTGTTGTTCCAGGGGAATCCGCTTTCTGCAGATCCTGCGCATGCTGCATGTGGATCGGCAAGGAGGAACGTGGAGGCTGCTGGGATCCGTCGTCTTTATTCATCGACAGGTGAGTGAGGAGAAAAGCCAGAAAAGTCAAAGAAGCCGTGTTTCAAGTCGATCTGTCACATTAACATTTCCTGGCAAATGTATTCAGACCCTTGACCTTTTACCAATTTGTAGATATTCCATTGCAATTGTATGCTATATGAACTTGGGTAGCATATAATGATTACAATTTCTTACAAATTAAAATATGAACACAATGTAGAACTGCAGAAAAAATTACTCTACAGTGTATTATTCTAATCTATTGTTCAAATAAAATCTGTTATCACAACTAATTGTGTAATAAGAAAAAGCCAGGCAGCTAAGCTAACTTAACACTGCTAATTTAAGTGTCAATGCTCAAATCTATTTTTGTTTAAATATAAACTTATGGATCCTGATGCAGGAAAGAGCCTTATGGACTCATTTTAAATACATGCTCTATTCGTTTGCACTGTTTTCCCCTCTTGTCAGTTGCATAATTTACACAGAATCTTTAGACATTTTGAACAGAAATGCTGTTTCTGAATCGAAATGTGAAACTAAAACTCGAAATCGAATCGCCAGAGAGTGATGTCTGGCGTACATATTTTTAGCCCCGAGTTCAACTTACCTCAGCTAAAGCCTAAAGGTTTTCTTCTACACCTCATAGCCAGGATAATCGGACAAGGTTCAGATTTTAAGTCTTGGCATCACATCTTGACTTTGACTAGGCCAATTTATGATCATTATTCTGTTGGAAAGTGAGCCGTCAGCTCAATCTTGAGTTTTTTCCAGTGTTTGTCTTTCATGTCGCTGTATTTAGCACTGTCCATCTGACCAGCTGAACAAAAAAAAAATCCCAGCAGCATGATGCTGCTACCTCCATGTTTTATGCTGAGTAGGGGGCAAAAAGTTGTTTGGTTCTTGACATGGTTTGCAGCAAACTCCAAATGGGACACATTTCAATATTTTCCCAAGTAAAAATAGTTTAAAATCACACACCATTTTTTGTATCGTATACAAACTCAATAAAATCCATTAAGGCTCTAACAAGGCAAAGTATAAAGAAGTTTAAATGTTTTTTGGGAACAAAAAGCGGAGGAATAACTATTTCTTGTACACCGAGTTAAAATCCCCAATAAATTTCCTCCTCGTGACATGGCAGTTTGCGTGCGTGAGGAAAAATCTAAAGCAATTCTGGCTTTATAAGAAGGAGAAAAGGAGCAGTCAACCTTGACAGCAGTGTTTTTCTTTCTCCTCTTTATCATCATACACTTGTTTTAGATTTCTCTCTTGTTGGTACACAATAGCGTCAGAGTAACTCTCTTTTCTGTAATCCCTGGAGAACGCTGTGTTCCTTTTGTCGGGTCAAACCTGACATTCACGTCTTTGACACTCAAAGAGGTGTGGAACCTAACATTGAGGCTTAAGTGGAGAGAGTCATTAACCTACTTGTAAGAGTGAGTCTGATGTGATTCTTTCCCTTTTCTGTGTTGTTGGGTGATATGCTCCGTTTAGTCGAAATGCATTGCTCATTTAAAAAGCAGATGCAGAAAGAGTACCTTCAGATCTCCACTGTGGCTCTCCACATCATTCACATAACCTATTTTCTCTTCAAGTGTCTAATTTACAAAGCAGGTAGCAATAATGGTTTACCGGTGCAGCGAGTGCGGACATGTGGCGGTGGATTTCATCTTCCTCTTGCCACATGTTCATGTACTCTTGGGCACCTAATTTTAAGTTGCCTGACTATCAGACTCTGAATGTTCAAGATTTTGGTGAAAGTTGCTGTTGTGTAAAGTGCTTCTAGTGGTCCCATTGACCATTTTTGCATCATTATATGTTCCTTTACTTCCATCTTTGAAAAGTGAGTGCCAAAACAAACAAAAACAACACCCAATTTGGTACAAAAGTGAATGAAAGAAGGAAAAGCTCAGGCATCGGTGACATGCGGTCAGGGGAGGCAAGTGAGGCAGAGCTTCACCTGTCATCATGGAAAAATAATATATAATGATAAAATAATTTATATTGCTATTTTCACCCTGTGGTTTGTACTATAAAGTACAAACCAATAATCGGACAAGGTTCAGATTTTATCTTAACCAATTCTGATAATTTTTTCTTCAAAATCGCTGAATTTTAGTATTTTCCCATTGAAATGCCCAGAAGCAAAGCTGGTGAGGCAGCAGAGAGCTGAGCCTCACCTGGGATTGATCGACCTCTCAAATTGCACTGGCTGCCATTCTATGAGAGCATGATCCTCCTGTCTGAATGCCGCCACTAAAATGGCTAAAAAACATTTAATGTATTAATTGATCTCCCATAATTTAGCTAATGTATATAATGTACAGTGTTTTTTGTCACCAGCTGTGTGTGTAACGTGATTCGTGTGCTGAGGAGCGATCAGAAACTCAGAGAACAGATTCGAGGCGAGGCAGGCAGTTCTCCTGCCTCATGGCAGGGGGCGCTGTTGATCCCAGACATTGTGATTCCACACATGCAGAGTAAGAGACAGTAACGGCGAACTAGCCAGGAAGCCAGCTGTACAGTAGCTGCTTTGATACAGAGAGCGAGAAAGACCTGGTTTTGAGTTTAACTTTAACGGTTTTTCCTTTTGCTGAGGATCACAGCACGAAATTAATAACAGCGACATGACCAAGTTTGATTGAGCTAATGGAATTATTCTATGGCGGCACCGCGGCTCAGCATGACGTAGTCTTTTGGCCTCAAGCGTTGTCCGCATGCGCGGAATTTTCTTACGTAAATAACATGCAGGGGGTCTATATTTGTAAATCTGGCTATGATTAAGTCAGTGCCTCACCAGCTATGAACCTCACTGCACGTCACTGGCATCTGTGTGTGGAAATAATCTCATTGGGTATGTAAGGAGACAATGTAGGTACATGGTGACCCCCAGAAAACTTTCTTAGGCAATCATTCCTCCAGTGGCCCGTCGTGTTTTTGAGTTAAAAAATGTTTAAAGTTGACAGGAAATTTTAAAATGTCACTTGATAATTAACTATTATTGCAAGATTACTACCTGAACACCAACTATAAAGTCTTAAGACATCCAAACATTTTAAAAAGACTTAAATAAATGAGCAATGCTTAGCCTGTTGGGGGCATAAGCATAGCCTGGTGGCCCGCCAGGCTTATTATACACTGGGGGAAACCCTGAAATATTTGCTGTTGTGCACCTGCAAAGTAAAAAGACAAAATATATACCGGTAATTCATTTAATTTTTTCCCACAAACCTAAAAAGGAATAAATAAAGTAAAAGAAAAGTATCAAGTTTATAATTAATTAGTTTTCATGATTGATATTTCACCTAAGAAATCAAATGTGCTCCTTAGTTTCTGTCCCGGACAAAGGGGTGATACGTTCACTCCTGCATGAAATCCCAATTCGATCTTCCTTCTTTCACACAACCAGCCACCTGTCTGACTTCCAGTTTGTACTGGATTGTTGTTTAATTCAATTATTAATTTAATTTTCCAGACTATAAGTCGCATTTTTTGAGGGAAATTTATTTGATAAAATCCAACACCAAGAACAGTCATGTCATCTTGAAAGGCAATAAAAATAGAATGGAGGCAACAACAGGCTGGATAATTGTACGGTATGCTAAAGTTACATGACAAACAACGAACTGGGAACGTATGTTAACATAACATATTAGGAGTTATTCAAATAACTATAGCATAAATAACATGCTAACAAGTTTACCAAACCATCCATGTCTCTACAAATCACTAAACGTAATGAAATCTTTGTCCTCGATGTCGCTTGTAAACAACTCTCCTAACTCCGAACGTAGAATAACACATGCCTAGAGCGCCCTCTTGCGGTTTAGTGTGAAACTAACACGTGATATGACATACAGATGTGTTAATTTCCACACATAAGTCGCTCAGGAGTATAAGTCGCACCCCCGGCCAAACTATAAAAAATGCGACATATAGTCCTGAAAATACGGTAATCTGAACAGGCTTCGAACCCGAATCTCCATTCTTTAGAACCGTGCATTAAATGGACCTGTCTGTTTCAACATCTCTTCCGTTGTGACACAAATAAACACTATATGATTAAAGCCATGTTTGCTTTAGTCATATGTCCCATTGACAGGACAGTAAGAATCCTGTCAAAGCATGAGCCTCCATTCTGTACTTTATTTCACCGTTTCCCCTCTTCCCGACCGTCTTTTCCCCTCAGGAGCTGATCACCACCCTGTACATCGGCTTCCTGGGTCTGATCTTCTCCTCGTACTTCGTCTACTTGGCGGAGAAAGACGCGGTGGACGAAGAGGGCAAGACGGGCTTTTCCAGCTACGCTGACGCACTGTGGTGGGGCGTGGTAAGGCAGCACACTGAAATGCTTTGTGTTCAGAGAGTCTTAGAAGATTATTAAAGTAATTGCCAAAACGTTTCAGATCATCTTGCAAATTTAGTAGTTTTAAGATATAAAAGTCATTTTATTTATTTGGCGGGAAAAGCTATCCCAACCAAATTGGCTTGATGTGAAAAGTAATTCGGCTCTAAGCGAAATGACTAATTGTGTCGTTACAAATTACATCACAAGTGTGAGCGATGGGTCATTGTGGCCTAGTTTTCAAGCGTTTAAGGTCACACCACAGCATGTGAATTGCATTTGTGTCCAGACTTTAAGTAGGCCACTCAAAATTCTTCTTCATCTTCTTTTTAGAGATTAAAAAGTGCACATTTTGGGATGTTTTGGCTTATTATGCCTCTTGGGCTTGAGCTTAAGGTCACAAACTGACAGGTGGGCATTTCCAAGTTTGAAATTTCTGCTAGAGAACTGAATGCATGGTTCCATAATTTATAGCAAATCACCCAGATCCTGAAGCAGCAAAGCAAGTTACGGTACCACCACCTCTGAGATGCTCTAAGATTCTTTTTTCTCAAACTTCATGCTGGGTATTCATAAGAACTGAACCACATCACAGAACCAGACCCGGACATGGGGAAGCAGCGTTCAGTGTTTATGCTCCACTAATCTTGAACAAACTTCCAGAATCCTTTCACTCATCAGTCTGCAGAACGTTTTGTTGATATTTGTGTTATTTTTGGTCAGTAATTTGTTGTCCAGTCTCTCTCTTTCTCTCTTTTTTGTTTTATTGTTGAATCACGGACGATGACCTCAGGTGCTAAAAGTGAGGCCTTTAGAGTTGATGCACCCTGGCAATCACTCTCGTAGGTCAAGTACTTCCTGAAAGGTTCACCAGTGGAAATGGTCACTTTGTGGAAAATGGTTTTCACCATGGACCTCAAGGTCTTAGAAACGCCTCTCAAACCTTTTCTAGACTCATCTGTTATTAAACTGCGTCAGCTATCGAATGATCGGTTGCTTTTTAGTAAATGTCATCGGACACCTTCTGTGAAAGCAGCTTCTTAATTCTACGTGTCTGGTAGCTATCAGGCTTCTGAAAACTGCTTTTGGCATCTAAGGTTGTGCTGGTCTGCATTTTAAAATGAGTCTTTATGATCTGAGATATTTAGCAACATTGGAAGAAATCTGTACGTGAGAAATACATTTTGACGGCACTATGTAGCCAGAATCTTGAATACTTTGACTGAAGTCAGGCCCCTCGATGAAAAGGTCACAACCAAAAAGCTAAAAAGCATATTTAATGTGGTCCCTGTAATTGGATGAGTGATCATCTTTCTTTTCCTTTAACTCTCAGTTGTTTTCTGTTTTATCGCACAGGAACGAGACAGAAACAGATAGCCCAAACGTGTCGATGCTTTCCCCGCTCTGCGTCCCTTTCACTCCTGCATGAAGGCTCGGGTTTCCAGAGGAGTTAATTAAACTTTTGAATTGAAAGTGCGGAATAATGAGAAACCTATGGCAAGCCTTGTGCAGGGGAGCCTTGTGACACAAAGAAGACGGTAATAAACTATTCACCTCTTGCATCTTTGCCTCAAAGAACTTTTAGAGCACCAATATAAAGTGTCAGTTCCCTTAATTAAAACTTTAATAGCGGGGTTGCTACCTTTATGTAACATGGGGTTACAAGGATCACGTCGCTCCTCCCCCGCTATGCGCAGGCTGTTATTTGTGATTTCTTCCTCTTCTTTCTTTTTTTTCTGTTCACAGCACAGAAAAAAAGAACCCCACTGGGATTTGCACTTCTTTGTGGTTTTCAGAAACTGTAAACTCGAGAGTCATGATATGCGCTTACAATAGGTGGGGTAAGGAATGTAAGTGTTGTGTGTGTGCGTTTGATGAAATGACACTGTGCTGATGGGAACCTGCTAAGCTGTTCCACAGCGCATTCCTTCTCTTGGCACAATCTGGACGTTCGGATGTGCAGGTGCACTGCACAGCTGGAGGACGAGCCAATGCTATGATTCATATCCCAAACTCCTTATCCTAAAGCCTCGCTCTCCTCCCGCAGACCGTCTTTTCCTTTTGCCTGTTTCCTGTTGCTGATTGTTAGATTATGGTGCTCATTTCTGTTTACACTCTACAATCGAAACGGGGTCCATTATTAGATTTAGATCCATACGGCGGGTTGCATTGCTGCTGTTATCAATGGTGGACAAAGTACTCAACTCTACTTGAGTAAAAGTATTAACACTTGTCAACATCTAGTTGACTTGTGGTCAAATAGATGATACAAAAAGTCTATGCCACTTGTAAAACTTTCAGCACAAAAGTGCAATAAAAATACTTTCATTCTTCTTTTCTTTTTTTTTTAAGATCTCCCCACAGCTGAAAAAAAAAAGTATATATAAAAAAAAAACAAAAGTAGAGAAACAATTTTCTTCTGCCCCCAAATATCAACACAGGTACGTAGAACCATACCAGCACCAAACCAGTGCATCCATATGACCACAGCTGCACTGGTTTCTCTGCTGCTGGATTCTGTCTGAACGAAAGCGGGAGCTCAGCTTAACGAGGATGAAGTCATTTCAAATCTCAGGTGTGAGCGGCGACTGTGATTGGTTCCCCTTTTTGTGAGGAGCACAGCAATGTGATTCAAGAGAACTAAATTAAAAAACGCACATACACAATGTGTCAGAACAACCAAAAAAAACAATCAGTGTGTGGGGTAGATCTGTGGAGTGGATTAAATGATGAGCTCAAACAAACTACAAATGTAAACCAGCTTTAAAGAACCTGGACAAAACTGAACTGATCGGAAAATACGGGCCAAAATTGGGCCTTGTGGATGTGAATAATGTGTGAATAACGGTGCAGTAAGTGACCAGAATGTGAGGCCTATCTGGTGTGGAGACTTGAATGATTTTATGTTGATGAGAGGCACAGCAAATCATAAGATTTCTTTTTAATATTCTGTCTGCTCCGTTTTGAACAAATTGTGCAAAATTGCATGTCAGCTGGCATTACTATTTGTCTCACATTTATTTATTTTTTTCTGTTGGAGGAATCAGATCCCCACTCTGAAATCATGGCAGTGGCTGTCAGCGTCACATTAAACCTCAATATTTACATTAAAGTCTGTACGCTGTAGGGGACAAGGCCCTGTACATAATTTTAACACCAGCCCTCTGACGTGTGTGCGTGGGTGTGTGTGTGTGTGAGTACGTGTCTGTGTGTGCGTACGTGTGTGGCTTTGAAGCAGTTCTGGCCCCACACTCTCCAATCTGAATGAAAGGACCTATTTTGTGAATAGAGCATTCCACTCTTATGTCAGGAGGACATTATTTAGTCATCGGATTTGTGGATGAGTGATTAAATCCCCCCCGGAGCTCCGCCCAGTCCCAACATACACCAGCCCGCCTCTCCCGCCTCCTCTCTTTCTTTCTTTCACCCTCAGAGCTCTTTAAAGTATCTCACCTTACATCAGCTGCTTTGTGTCGGCGGCGCAGCGGTGGCTCGCCCGGCGATGCCCCACAGACACCCACGCTAAGCCGAGCGCACTCTGAATGTGTCAGAACTGGCTCGGCTTTCAGAGCGGGGCGGACATGTGAGCGCGAGAGCTATTTGTTTTCCCTCCTCAGCCCTGCAAATTCCTGCACTCAGTGAGGATTAGTGGATGGGAATCTCATTCCCCCCTGGAGAAGAAAGAAACCCAAATGCCTCTGCAATCGTTCAGACAGTTGTGGGGCAACTCCACAATGACCGATGAACTTCTTTATTGTCTGAATCAAGTTTTAGGGTCTTTGAAAGACTGTTTTATAGCATTTCCATTTAATTAAAATGAAAGAGGATTTAATATAGCTGTTTTATTTGACATTAAAGTTTCATTTTAAACGAGACCTCTGCAGTAAATGTGTAATAATTCACCAGAGGAAATCCCAGCTTTCATTCTCATTAACACTTTATGAGTCGGATTGGGGTTTTTGTTTTGGATAACCGTGGTTGGTATGAGAAAATCTCAAATCTTTTTTTTTTTCCCTTTCAGGTGACAGTCACCACCATCGGATATGGAGACAAAATTCCTCAGACGTGGATAGGGAAGGCCATTGCCTCCTGTTTCAGTGTCTTCGCTATCTCTTTCTTCGCTCTACCTGCTGTAAATACAATTTTATCTAGATCATATGCAGTTTTGCATGTGGATGTATTATGTACTTGCTTCTCGCCTCTAAATTCAAAGTAAAATATTTGAATATTGAACTTTTCCGGTTTAGGGGATTTTGGGTTCAGGATTTGCCCTCAAAGTCCAGCAGAAGCAGCGACAGAAGCACTTCAACAGACAGATCCCTGCTGCGGCCTGCCTCATCCAGGTAATCGCCCTGGAATCCTGCACTGCTTTCTCCTTAAACAAGTGGAAGTGTTTTTATTTTACATGTATCCGTGTTAAATGTAATTTCTTACCAACAATTTTTTGCCAGTCAATTTAAATCCAAAGCTGAAACAAAAATTAAATAGATTCTTATTGATACAGAGTGGAAGATTCAAACAAATTTGAAGGTGCTTGAATAATAATAATAATAATAATAATAATAATAATAATAATAATGAATAATAATTAATAACTATGCATTTCAAAACACCCACCCAACGACACTTTATAACATTAAAAACACACAATATGCAGTAAGAAAAATGGCTATCCCAATGCAAAACCATGAATTAACTAAAAAGTTAAAGTGAGAAGGCTAACTTCAACAGATGAGTTTTGAGTTGAAGCATATTGTGTTTAGACTTTTTTACAACTTTATAATTTGCTATGTTCCTTTGTCTTCATTATGAGTAATTGTACCTCCTGTCAGCCAAATCAACTGGAACGCCCCGTCCCCAAAGTCAGATTATACACCCCAAAATGTTTCAAAACGGCGACTTTGAGATCCAATATGGCAGCTCCTTGCCTCAACAATTGTGTGCTGTGGTAAAAATATGCTTATTTTACAAGACACGCTTTTAAGAGTACATCTAAATCAATGCTACTTGTAGCGACTGCAACTCTAAACTGGGCAAATTAAAAATGGTGTGAGAAAACTGCAGCTCTAATAGTATAATAGGTGTAAACAATGGCTACATGGGTTAACCCGAAACTCATCTGTCTGCTGCTTGACTACTATGTTCTGCTTTTTGCTTGTCTATCACAACATGTGTGAAAAGGGAAACTTTTATAAAGCATTGTTCTCTAATTGTGAACAGTGCTAAACCAGTGTTAGCATCAATATGTAAAGATTGGATTTTCTTTCATACTATAAACAATTTTTACCTTTTTTTTTTATCTCACCCACGTTTTTGTTTTTACCTGATGGTTATTATCTCTTAAACTGATCAAAGACACATCACGCAGGGCTCCAATGGATATTATGGCATTTTAGCCAAATGACTCTAAAAGTAATGTATGCCAGCAAATATCTGAACAGATGGTTATCTGACTGGTACACAGTCACAAAGATTCACCTGCTTAGTGGTGGCTTCCTCTCTCTCTATATGAAGTAACCTCCAAAAGAAACTCTTGGTTGTTTGATATTGTGTTGCACGCCGTATTTATTAATGTCGGACATGTTGCTGTACTAGAACGCCGAAGTAGGCAGTTTAGATTTTGTGGCGTTCGTTTGATTTTCCTTTTTGTCGTTTGTGACGACGTGTGTTTTCCAGACACTCTGGAGGTGTTACGCTGCGGAGAAACCAAACGGCTGTGCTGCTACGTGGAAAATGTACGTCTTGACTCCAGAGGGTGTAGCCGCAGCTCAAGCAGACAACGGCAGTCCGAGCATCAAGAAGCTGAACCTAGCGGTAACTGCTTCCTCGCTTCAGTTCATCCAAACTGTTTGTTAAAACTCACATTATGCTTTTCTCCAGAGAGTTCCTCAGAACCAAGCTGAATGATTTTACATTAAAACGTGTTGACGTCAAACGCTGTTGGGTTGCATTACCTCATATTGCATGTGACCCTGACTGTTTGTCTTTTTGTGCTGTTCACCTTTTGCAACAATATTAGCTATACTGTGCGGAGACCATAAAGCATAAAAAGGGCGAGCGAAGTTCCCACTAATAAACACACAAGCTGAGGGACACAATGCTCAGAAAGCACAAATACCCACACACAGCAGCTCCTCCTACCCCAAAAGGCTTGACTCCAGCAGGATGACTCGAGGCCTTTGTCTTCGCCGGACAAAAACCCAGTCAGTTGAGATGATGTCACCACCGCCTTTCTCATGGGAGTAAACCTTTGTCAAGTAGTACAACGACAAAAAAATCTTTGTGTTGCATTGGGCCCACATATATTGGAGAGAATGAAGGCTGCTTCCGCTCTTTTCTGTTTCGGCATGTGACTTTCTCCTCTGTCTTTCCTCCCTTCTGCCTCTTCTCAGTCTTTCAAGATGCTTCCCCAGATTCTCCTGTAACCGACTCCCTCTCACTCTTCTCTCTCTTCTCTGCCATTGTTACGTATATTGATGATAGTTTTCCTTCGCTCTCATTCACAAGTTTTTGCAAAGTGTGTCGCTATCATCTTATTGTTTTGTTTTCTTGTGAACTGTTCTGCACTCTTTCGTAATTTCCATCAACGACTCAAGACATCATTTGTCCATTTAGGCTTAACTGCATGTACATTTGGCAAATTCCCAAGTCTGGCCCAGTCGAGCTCCATTGAAAGGTCACATTTGTAATTTTGACTGTTTGCTTCGCGGATCTGCCTGGACACTGCACGCTCACTGACTCACATGGTACGCAGCTATGATTTCACTCCACTAAACAAGAAATTAAACAGGCAACACTTATATCATCACAGCCTGAGTTCATGATTCGGTAAGACTGGGATGTGTAATGGAAGAAACGCTTTGTGTTAAATCATTGTTGCTGGCACGGCCTGGCCTTTTTACACCAGGGTGGGCGCTGAATAGGTTCAGTTATTATTCTGAGAAAATTTTTGTTGAACACTTTTCCAAACACCTGCAAAATGTCCAAATCAAATGGACTGTGCGTTTTAGTGGGCTGGCTGTTGGACACCAGCAATGGGGAGCAACAGCGGAAAAAACTCCGGAATAGCAGAAAGGAAAACACAAAAGCCCGGGTGCATCTTGACGCGTAGTAACGGCTCAGGCTGGTGGTGATGTAACTCTGCAGAATGTGTTTCTTGGCACTTTTTGGGCCGCAGCAAACTGAGTTTTGCTGCAGATCACAGCGCATCCATCTTCTGATGGCCACTTGCACAAAGATGCATCTTCATGTCACTAAGCGGCAAGCCAATCAGATCACAGGTCTCATTTGTCCTCAACAGGTACCAGATCTCAGTCCAATAGACACCACATCAGCTGCTGTACTCTTGTTCTCCCTTGATTTAGCAGAAGTGTGTGAATCGAGGAGAAACTACATGAAGCGAATAAAAGCAGTGAAAATGCCAATAAGCGTATTTGCTGAAGAAGTCAGATGTTCTGCATATTGATAGAAAAAAAGAAAACCTCTGAGAGAAAGTTACCTGGTGTTTAGATATCAGTCATTGGCGAAATTGAAGAATCCTTCATATCACTATTGTGAATAAATAGGTATGTTTTCTACGTGCTCATTTTATTGGTGTCTTTATTATTAGATTACTTTTAGCTTTAACTTGAAAAGAAAGTTCTTGCCTATATCTTTAACGTCTGCTATGCAACATACTACCTGCTCTTTCTTTACAAATGTGCGCAAAACGTTGTCGATAGTCTCCTGTTGTCGGAAAAACACAATTTTGCAATTCCTGTGTTTCCATTAAGTACGAAATGTTCAAGCTACGAGTCATTAAAAATCTAATATATATCCATAATTTGGCCATCAGTGAGACGTAGGCGTCTTTTCAGGCTTCATACGTCTGTGTGGCTACGTATTCAGTGTTTTTGGGAAGCTGCAGCCAGCAATTTTACAGAAGAGCTATGGATTCAATGCTTTCAAATCAAAGCTATCAGTTCATACTTTATACTTGAATAAAAGTATTGAGTTTCTTAAGGTTCTGTTAAAGTTTTGGAAAGTGCAAAACTTTTATCCGACACTCAACTATTCAATTTCTTAGTCTTTCTCTCTGTGCCAATTACGACTTTACACTTGCAGAGTATCCAAGACAAAACAATATTATGTAGTACACCTTTCTGAGCAGTATTGTTCTAACATTTATGACTCTTCAGCTAAGTATACATCGCTACAGAATAAAGTTCTTGATTATCTATTAAAGTATTTTGGGTGGAGTAATAACTTGTGATTGAATAGTGTTGAGATTCTGCTTTCAGGACAAAAAGCTGAACACTGAACAGATTCTCCAAGGGTGAAACAAGGTACAATTTGGTGATAGAAATCCATCCAACCATCTGTCATGTTTTTCGGCTGTGGAAGGAAGCCGGAGTTTTCCAGAGAGAAACCATGAAGGAAGAACCTGCATCCACAGCTCAGGATTTGACCTAATTGTTGCCAACTGTTCCAGAAATGACTGACTTGGATGTCTTTCTCCTCAGTCAACCTTTTGCAGCTGTTCTGGTGATCATTTTGAGTGTGAAACTACTTGACTTGAATTTTACGCTCCTTCAAACCAGAAATAGATTTGATGTTAGTGTTAATGACCCATCTGTTGCTGTTCACAAGCGAGATCAGTTCAGTGTCTGCAATGACGTGGATGTCTCTTTAATAAGAGAAGAAAGTCAGGGAAAATCATTAAAACATCAAACATGACCTCATCTTGGAACTGCTGTTTTTTTTTTTTTTACTATTAACTCTCTTGGATTTATTACACTGTTGTGATACATAGGTTATTTACAGTTTAATCATAAAGACGGAGGTGACCCGATGTTTCCTCTTTCTGTCAGAAAAAGGGGACTAAAAGACGGCTGAAGTCCAAAGGAACCGGATCTTTGGGTGTTGCCTCAGAGAGGGCCGTGTCCATCCCCCAAATCACCTATGATCACATTGACGACTCAATGGAAAAGAAGGACGTCTCATTTTTCATCGAAGAGCCAAGAGGGACAGCTGAAGGTAAGGCTGTCCTGGAAAAAAATAAGTCTTTCCTGTCATATCACTTTGCTGTACAGTTTAAGCAACAAACTCATATCAAATACTTATTTGTAACATGCTCTGACTGAGCTCCTTTCACTCTGGCAGCTGTTTCAAAGGAAGCCTGCTAACCTTTTTTAAATTGCAATTCTTCCATCAGTCCAAGCGCATGAACTTGCCAAGATTACGCATGAAAGCACCAAATCCCACTTTATTACCGCTTGATTAAACCCAGTCCTTTTGGATCTCTTGACAAGAGATTTGTTTTTTAAACTTGACACCTCGAAATGATTCTCAGAGAGTGTTTAGAAACAGGAACTCACACGGCAGTGCTATTAGCTTTGCTGATTTAACACGGGTGAAACAAAGATTTTCTGGATGAATGCAGTGCCTTTCAGAAGTATTCACCATAAAACCCTCGACCTTTATCGCATCGTGTCACATTACAGCTGCCAGCTTCCATGTATTTTGATGGGATTTTGTATCCCACGCAGAGTAGTCCGCAATGAAGCAATGGAAAGGAAAATGTTACATGATTTTCAAAATCCATCCATTCGTTGACTTCTGTTCATCTGGAGTCAGGTCATGAGGGTGGCAGTAGGGAGGCCTGGCCTTCCCTCTCCCCAGACACTTCCGCCGCATGATGTCTGGGCTCTTTCCTTTGAGATGGGGTGTGACTCAAGAGTAGAGCCGCTGCTTCTCCATGTTGAGAGGAGCCAACACGGATATCCCAACCAATCAGGCTTCTGGGTTTAAAGGGACACTCAGTAAAAGGGAGAGAAGTTCCAAAAATGACTCTGGCTGCTGAAAAACCTCTGAGTCTTTCACTGAACAGCTTTATTTGTGATAAGATTAACACAGATGGACTATATTTACTAATTGGATAACCTCCAAAACAGGAGTTTACTGAGGAATATCAGATTAAAAGGGGTTGGATGCAAATCCGCACCAAACCCTTTGGACATTTTTTCATCCACGACACAATATTACACATCTTTTTGTCAGTTCAAGTTTGTGATGGTAAAACAACAGGTTCAGTGGGTGCTTCTGTAAAGCACATTTAGACATTAAATGACGTCATGCGGCCTTGGGAATCCATGATCTCAGCAAAAAAGTGTTGTTACGCTCTGAGGGGAATTTGGTGTTCAAAACAGCCTCATTGTGAATGGCATGTTTTTATGGCACTTCAGAAATGCTTTGCACACAGGTTGTGCTTTTGTGTTGTTGAAATTATTTTTGAAAAACCTCGCACACACCTATTCATTTTGAATGAATAGCTAGGTGTGTCCAATCTTTTGGCCGCTACCGTGTGTTTATGTCTTCGGCGGAGTCAGAACAAAAGCTTAGAAATAGAGTTGCTGGCGGTAAAAGAGTAACAATAATGGATTGAGTTGGTTTCTCACCACTGGAGAGTGAGAAAACAGGCGTGGAGAGCAGTTTGAGCCTCTGTGGTGTTTTACATTATGATGGGAGAAGCTGTTATGGGATGGCTCCTCATTTTCACGCAGTAAACAGAGACCCTGTCCTCCTCCATTTGGAGCCAAGATGGCTACCAGGTGCCTCCCTTAAGCCACATGGAAACCATTACTGCTTCAGTGGTAATTAGAGGTCATAGTTACAAGCTCTTTACGGTTTCTGTCCCCCCACCCCGCCACCCCTCGTTGGCCACAGACACTCATCAGGCTTAAATGGAGACTACTTTAAAATCCCAGCTTGTCAAAGTTACAAGTGGGAATTTCTTGTAATCCCGTTTACAGTTTACCAAGGCAGTCACATCAAAGCCGATGTGTTTATGACAGCACACATGGCAAACATTGATCAAAGAGTATTAAATCAACAGTTTGATCTGTGTGTGTCTAATTTCGGGATGATTTAAAATGTACATGCAGACAATGTACGGCGGATGGCGGGGGCTCGTTGGGGGGTGGTTTGGCTTCCTGTGTTAAAAGCCATCCCAAGCAAATTAAGTGACCCAGATTCCAGGTTAATAAACAGAGTTTATGAGTTTTTCCTGTCAAAGTGCGCTGTCATAAAAAAAGCTGCAGTGACATAAACCTGACAAAAAGGCAAACCATCACTATGAGAGCAGCTACCAGCACCAGGAAGAGCTTAAGTTTTCCGCTTAATTGGGTGGATCTTGGAAAATGAGCAGACAGCGCGGTTGCATGGGAAAGAAGCAATGAAATTCAAGAGACGTCAAATCGCTTAGACAGCACATAACATCCTGTCTTTATCTATGTGGAATTTCTCGTGTTCGTGTAAGAAATGCTCCACAGTCATCAGTAAAGAAGTGAACATGACAAACTGAGGGGAAGATGCCATAGTCTGCAGCCTGCAGTCTGTAATTATAATGTACGAGTTGAACATGGGGTTCGTGTCATCAATGAATACATCACCGAATCTAAAATAGTTTTCAAACATGGTACATGGAAATAACAAATTTCTTTCAACAACTGTATGCAAATTTAACTGAGTAGGAAGGCGACTAATCACTGACTTGTATTGACTTTAAATATTTAAAGTCCTAAATATTTAGGACTTTGAAAAGTCCTAAATATTCAATGTTAGTTAGTTAGCTGGCTTTTTTTTTTTTTAAAGGAGATTGACCTTTTCTCATACCTTGTTATATCTTCCTTATGTTTGCCGTTTTTTGCAGGGATTACCAGGACGTTCAGGAAAACAGGTGAGTTCTTCGACCAACCATTAAATGAGACATATTTGCTACAAAGCCCAGTGCCTTGCAAAAGTATTTCTACCCCTTTAGCTTCACTGTGTTCTGATAGAATTCATGCAAAATTCGCCAAAACGATAGATAATCTTTACATTTCCTATTGCAAAGCTGAAGTGTGTGCCATGCATATGCAATTAGCAACCAAATAAAGACACTTATAAGTGTCTTCCTTGTATAGCCTATAGTTTAGTCTCGTAAATCCAGATGTTTTGTGAAGGCCTCAGAGGTTTATTTGTGAATATTAGCGAATACACGGCATTGTGAAGACGAAGGAAAACAGCAGACGGGTCAAGGATGATCGTCAGAGATGGAAAAAGAACGACACAACTCTCCAAAAAGATCCTTAGCTGAAAGGCCAATTCAGTGATGCAGTCATTAAATTATTCTTGTTTTTTTTTTGTCTATCCCTAGAAAGTAAACTAGAGATAAAAAAAAAATAAGACGCAAGGAGAGCGTTCTCATATCTGAGAAACAACCAACCAATAGTTTTGAGCAGTTGACTGTTTATATCTGCGCAAAGTTGATGGAAGACCTGCCTTAAAATACTTGCAGTTGTAATTGCTGTAAAAGGCAAAACTTTTTAATTTGTGAAAGAAAAAAAATCCTGTGGGGTCTGAATAGTTTGACGTGACTGCTAGCATCAAATTAATGCTCTAGGTAACCCGGCCTTCAGGTTCTTATTTACGACTTCTCTCTGCTATTTCTTGTCAAGTTAAAGCACAACTTGTACGAGTGACGCAAAAATACTTTTCACTGTTGGCCAAGGGGCCACTTCACGAAGTACTTGTATTTTCTATTAAAAATCCGACTGTGTTAATCATTAGCCAGCCTGTCCCTTTAATGTGGCCCAGACTGTATTTCAATTAGACTTACTGGCTGGCTGAGCCTTTGTCCTCAACCAGACCAAACCAGAGCCAAACAGAGACACTCTCAAGCGCTGGTCCCAAGTTGACCCGGACTGTTTTCTTTACTCGGTGCCCTGCCAAGAGAATGGGTGAGCGACGGGACTTGCGTGGCTAGATATGGACCGAGTCCTCGGGGAAACGGAGCACACACAGGCTGGGACGCTAGAGAAAGGTAGAGAGGTGGGGAGTGAGGGGAGATGTAGAGTTGATAAGCTGCTATTGTGGAGCTGCAGGGGTTAGAAATGAACGGCTCATTGTCTCCTTTTAGTCATTCCACTTATCTGTCTGGCTCAGACCAGCTCCCCCTGTCTGAGAGAATAACTCAACGCAGTGCAGTTTCTCTATCTCCTCATCATTTTCCTTCTTGTTTTTCTTTCACTGGATGGTCAAATCAACCACTTATCAAATTCCAGTCGTTTTTAGGCTCTAAAACAAATTCACAACCACATGAAATGACCCCCCCAAGGCAGCTCTGGTTTTATTTGGATATTCTACCTATTCTCTTACTTCCACTTCCGTTCTCATTGCCCGTCTCCACCTCCACATTTGACATTGTCGGGCAAACGGATGATGGAATACAAGTGGCTTTGAAAGGCTTTTACTTGAATTGGAATGGTCATTCAGTACTTGGACGCAGATTTGCCTCGCCATTCTTTATCACAATGGAGGCTTGGTGCTTTGGAGGAGAGACACGTCAAACTCTGCTGACAGTCTGGCTGCAGGTCAAGACCCGGCTACACATGTTGTTCTTTGCTGTTGTTTTTAGCCGCCCCAGTCGGCCAGCCAGCTGCACTGCTGAAGTGGAGCTCTACAGTTCCTCTCTCTCTCTCTTTCTCTCTCGGATCAAGACTTCTCTGAATAAACCTGAACTTTTCACTTTTTGTCGCATCACAAACGTGAATTTCTAACGTAATTCTTATATTCTGTCATACACTGATGCACAGTGAGTCATCACCGAGGAGATGAAGGAAATGATTTATGTTTTTTGTTTGATCGTTTTTACAAATAAAAATCTGAAAAGTGTGGTGTGCATTTACATTCAGCCCTGATCTGTGAATAATTTCATCTCGGTATAAATCAAGCTGTTCTAAGGCCTCGAATGTGTTTTATAGAACAATGCCAAAAAATGGTAACTCTGGGGGAGCTGCAACTGCTGTTTTGTTGAGTACTTCATAAATGTGGCCTTAAAGGGCCTGTACCATGTAAAATTTAGTTTTTTTTTTTTTTTTTTTTTTTTAGCTTTTCGTCATATGACAATGTTACTCCCTCATCAAAAACAGACCTGGAGTGTTGCTTTCTTGCATGTTTGAGAAATCCTTTAATTCCCCGTGGAAACTATTCAATTGCACAAAAGCAACTAGGTGGTGGCAGCGTTATGCTGTGTGGGAATGTTTTACTTCAGCAGAAACCAAACAGTTGATCCAAACATATGATGACATTTAGGTAAATGCAGATAAATCCTGGAAGAAAACCTTTCTAGAGACTGAAAAAGACTTGAAACTGTGGCCGGAATTTACCTTGACCCTAAAATCACAGCAACAACAATTTTATTGAATTGTTTAGATCGAAGAGTATTAGTGTGTTGGACTTGTTTTTTCAACACCGCAATATAAATCCAGCTGAGAGTCTGTGAAAATAATGTGACAAAATGTGAAAAAGTCTTAAATTTGGGTGAATGCGTTTGAAAGTTTTGGGGCGTATTTTCTAATCGACTTTCCTTCCTTTATGTGTTCCTCACTTTTAGGCCCTCCTCACCACTCTTGGTCATCTTTCACTCTGAGCTGCCCTTCTTCCCCAGGTACCCTTTGTTTATCTGCCTTATTCCACTTCTCTTATTTATATTACAACTAACACCAGCTGAATTATCTCAGTTCCTTCTGATGCTTCATTTATGTTAATTGGAACGCACAAGTCGTCTTTATCCAGCAACTTGTCCACCCGGGCTATTGACGCTGTTTCAACATTTTCCTGGCTACTTTCCAACTGGTAACTTTATCTCATGTCTTTGTCCCTTACAGTAAAGGGGAGTGGCAATAAAAGTGCGTCCATAGACATCTCCCGCGCCAACAGCCTAACCGATGACCTAGATGACATGAGTGAGGATATTCCCTTGGCGGTGGTCACCAACAAGAACCAGTAAGCCTCCAAAAGTTCACCCCCAGCCTCACCCCCTTCACAAAGCGTCACCCTCTGCTGATCTCCATTATCTGATTCATTTTAGTCTGATTTCCCTCCTGGTTGTAGTGCCTGGAGTTCCTTTGTCAGAGCGGAGAGCCACTTTAGCTGCTTTCCAAATGAAGCTGTTTTGTTGAAGTCTCTTGAGGGTTAAAGAGACTCTCGAGGGGCCAAGGCCATATCAGGTACAGAGGGCTGTGAAGGGGATTATCCCTTCATTCTTGAGGGAAACGGTGAATGGGTTGTAGAACATGTTATGGTACAGATGGCTTGTCATCACATGCCCTCACTGAACTCATTGTTGTTTGCTGTGTGAATGCAGAATGAATGCTGATGCTCGCCCTCCCTCCCACTGACCTGGTCATTCAAATGGGTTTCACTGAGGTGAACCTCTGCGTAATTAGATTTGGTTTGCTTCCTGTGTTGTCGCATGCTGACTACTTTGGTGACTAAGTCTCAGTCATTCACTAAGCATCTATCTTTTCAGAGGTTTTGACACCAGTACTTTAACATTGTGAATGGATGAAAAGAAAATGTGACAGGAAATGCTCTGTTTTCCTTAAAGATCTATTGAAAAATTTGTGCCCTACACATTATTTGAGAGCCGAAAATTATGCACAGTGTTTTGTATTATATATCAGCAAAAAACATGATTAGTGTGATTAGTCTGCATGGCTAGCATGACTGACAATTGTGTGTATTCTATGTTGACCCTTACCTTGATGGAAGACACTTCTAGTCCACCAGACTTTTATTTACAACCAACCAAACACTGATAAGGTGTTGACAGACAGGAAACATTCAATGGCAGATTTGTTTTTTGGAAAAGACAGAAACTGTCGTATGAAAATAGCGAAGGGATGAATGGACCAGGTTGAACACAAATTGACAGATTTGTCACATTTGTTGTGGAGAAAAGTTGCATGCTGGTGTTTTTCATCCAAAATGTTTTTGCATGCAACTGCACGGTCACTGTTTTTTCAAGAAATAATACAACGCTGCAGACCGAGCATACAAAAATGAGCCTTTTTTCAAATATAAAGACAAATGTAAATGTAAAATTTTTATATATATATATATATATTTTAGACCAACTAAAAAAAAAATATATATATATATAGCTGTCCTAACAATTAGATAAACTATAATATAATATGTAACCATAATATAATATGTGACTTTGGAAACAAAGTCTACAAATCACACCGCCTTTGCAGTGATTTGTAGACTTTGTTTCCAAAGTCACATATTATATTATGGTTACATATTATATTATAGTTTATCTAATTGTAGGACAGCTTTTAAACTTTTCTTGAACAGGTGTGAAATTCAGTCTCATATCTTTCTTGTCCCCTGATTTGGACTCTCATGGCCCTGAAAGAAGCTTTTTTGTGAGCAGTCTTGGTTTGCACAAGCTCTTTAAGTAATTTTTTTTTTCTTTTCAAATATTTGTTGAAACTGCTGCTGTGTTGTGACAGTATGGTATAAGACAGGTAGTCTGAAAAAAATCAAGTTTTCCCAGTGCTCCCAGTTCTAACTAGCAATAACCAATCAGAGCCAGGGGGCGTATCGTAGTGTCGTCAATCACCCTCTGTGTGATCTCCCTCACTTGGTCTCTGCTGCGGTGCAGCTAATGGAGCCTGTTGTGAAATTTAAGAAATATTTAAACTTTAAATATTTCTAATTTGAAACATTTCTAATTTGTGTTTTTTCACATGTCAAATTTGCTTTATTGTTTAAATTACAATTAATACCTTTAAAAGTACTTGCCCTGTATAATTTTGAAAAAAAGCTCACTTTTATTGTCTGTTGTTGTATTTCTGATGCCATTTATTCATCCTGGAGGCCATTTGTACTGCAACATAACTACTTTGTTCAAACTACATCGGCAGAGAACCAATCAAATACAGTTTTATTTGCCTCTTGTTATTGTTTAGGAATACTGATTTCTTCCCTGGGATCTCTGCATTGATGTTTGTTGTTTCGTATTATTTGCTCTAAAGCTCCAAACCCTCTGACTGCCTTTTGAACCTACTATCAAATCTGTAACTCATTCTTTATCACTCTAACTGCTTTGTAACTCAGTTTCAACTAATCCTTCCGGACTAATAAAAACGACAGTGACATACCGAGTAACATCCTCTGCGTCAATCGTTAGTGCCCCATACATTCTAACAAAATGTCTACTTTACTTGGTAAAGAGACTAATTCCAAACCAAACTAATAAAATAACTAACAAAATCAAGCACAATGTAAAGCAGTCATGAGTCGGAAGATGCCTTTTTTCTGTCTTGCAGTCGGTTGACCTGCCCCTCCATGGCATTGGTTCAGGACTCTTTATCCACACATCAGTTAAATTCTTCAAGGTACTGTACTGGGCTTTACCAACATTGGTTGTTTCTTGTCCTTTTCTTGTTCTTGTCCTAGTAGAAAAACTTACACATTGAATCTTTGCCATCAAATGTCCATCGGTCTCTTCCCAAACGTCCATGATTCATTTACATATGTCACGGTCTGACGAAGCCCATCTTGCATTAAGTATAGGCACTGTGATGTTCAGGCAACATTCTGCAGGGACGCTTTGAGTCCTGCCATCTACATGGATGTTACGTTGATGCTTTCCACTTACTTTAGCATTGCTGGAAACCATTTAGACCCTTTTAAGGAAACTTGTCCTCCAGACTTCCCAGATCTCAACAGCCAAGTCAAGCATTTGTGGGATGTGCTGGACAAAACAGTCCTTTAACAGAACCTTCACCTCGTTAGCCTTAATGAGCAGCGGTTAACATCCTGATGTCGGATGCCACAGCACACCTTCGAGGCTCAAAATGACATAACTGAACTTTCTATATTACAAAAATTGCACTGTCACTATACTATCATAAGGCTAATCTATTCTAATGTGCTACATTTGGTGTTATTGTCAATCTCTCTTAACATGACTTCTGTGACTGCCTGCATGACTTATGGGGGTGTATTGCTCTCACTGTTTATGTGAAACAAATCATAAGCAACATGAAGAAAGATTTATGATCCGCTTGTTAAAGGTGTGGCCATTTTTAACTACCACTCCTTACCCCTTTAAATTATATCCCAGGGGTACATGTAGGGTTTGAGTTTGGGCGTTGAAAAGGTTTTTATGAACTTGTTACAGTACGAAGACTTGATTCTTCTGATGTCGTTTGGCTTTTATTAGGAAAAATGTTTAGATTCCTACGGCTAAAAAGATGGCCGATGTATATTTGTATGCTATGCAGGGCTATTGTGCCCCCAAACTCCAAAGCCTGTGATTTAGGCCTCGCTGGGCACTCCCATAACAGCTGGTTTGTTTTGCCCTCGGTGTCACGCCACTAAGGACAGCGCTGTTATTTGGCATCCTTATCTGGATCTCTGCAGACAGCTCCCGGATCCACCCATGCTGCCTGAGGCTCCTTGCATGCACACTCTCCATATCGCTTTTCTGTTATTTTCTATTCAAAGAAACATCCCAGGGTTTTATCCACACCTTCCATCTGCAATGTAAATTTGCCTTTCAGGGTTTATGTTCCTGCCTGTTCAAAACAGACTTTGGACTACAGCGCTGGCATCTCTGTCACTTTAGTTTGTCCGTGACAGCACACAAGCCGGAACATTCCACTGTTTGTTTGGCTTCGCTGAAGACGCTGCCCCCAACCCCACCCCAATCCTCCATAATAAAAAAAAAAAAAAAGGAGAAACTTTCATGTGTGTGTGTTAACCCACAAGCAAGAGAAGCATCCATACAGCTGGCTGTGATGTCTCTGGGCTTCTGAGGAAGTGGGGCTGGGCAGCTTCCACACACAAACTTTGATTTCACTCCCCCCCTGAACCTAAAACACACACATAAGTATGCTTATCTTCCCCTGAGAAAATAAGTCTCCCTTACTTGCCTCCTCGTTTATTTTGAATCATCTTCCTTAGATTAATTGAATTGTCTAAAATATGTGAATTAAAAAAAAGAAAAAAAAACACACAGAGATGCATAACAAAAACACAGAGTACATAGTTGTCAACATGGTACTTCCCTTTTTTTCCCATTATAAACACTTCCTTCGCCGTTTGTTTACCTACTCCTGCGCAAATGAGGGTTGATCTTGGTCCGGTTCAGACAAGCACTGGTTTCCCCTGATTGTGTGCATACATCAGAGTGTGTGAGAACTAAGTGGTTTGACGTTTGTTTGGTTTGATGCAGCGTGTGTATGCTTATACAGAACTTTGACGATGTCAATTTTTAAGATTTAGATGTTTATTGACATCAACATTGTTGGAGTGTGAGTAAATATTTCCAACACACATCTCTGGCCGTAAACAGAGGAAGGCCTTGTTTTTACTGATTGCAGTGTTTGTGTTCTTGGTCTTACTTTATTCCTTTTTTTTGGTCTCTTGCTGTTTTGCTCTCTTTTTCATAGATTCTCTTGTGTCTATTTAACATAAAGATATTACAGCAACTCTAACCCTACCCTAATGTATTTTTTTTTTTTGCTAATACAGTCTTTAGCAAACTTTTATTTTGAAGTATGACTGGAAGTGGCTCTTGAGTTGTTACTTTTGTTGCTAACCTAGTAAAACTTGCACAGAATGCTGGGTTATATAAACCCTGGCCCACTTATGTGGCAAAAACATCGACAGACAGGATGTGAATGATATACAGTGCTATGCTAACCGCTAATGGTTAGCATTTAATAACATGCTACTGGTTTGGAGCATTTCATAGCTAAAATTCAAATTGTCATCTGGTTTGCTGCATCTTCTTCTTGCTGAAATAAAAATGCAGTTTGCTTAATGAGTTTGGGCTGCATTTGATTTTATATAGTTCAAAGTCTACAATGGTTATTGTTATGGTTCGCCAGCTGTGGTAGCGCTGGTGTTGTTAGGGCTGCTTTTAGTGTCACTCAGGAAAAAAATGTTATTCATTTGCATATCTCAGCGTAACCTAAAACACTGTTAAAATCCTGTCTTTTGAACTGTCCAGCACCTCGTATCATTACAACCTTGCCATCCAAATCCTCCTTTCCGGCTTAATTACAATGTCTTGCTGCAGCGGGTCAGTAAAGGGTGTCGTCTTGTGACCCGAGGCGGTCGACCCTTTGTCTCCTGCTGGGTGTGGTCAACCTCTTTGGCCCTTTGCTCTTTTTCGTGTCCTCCAGGACCCATAAAAACCAACATGTTGCACCTGCAGGCTCCTCTCTTAATTAGCTCCCCCTCTCTCAAGCAAGCAGGACACAAACAAAGAAAAGCCACTGCTACACCGCGGGAGTCTTTCCAGGCGGACACACATGCATCATGGCCGCTCTCCTTTGAGAAGGAGGCTCTCCACTAAACAATCTTTTGTCAAAAGCTTCGAGCAAATTGACTTTGTGTTTGTGGCGGAATGCTTGTCTTGTACGCTGCAATCGAACACTAATGGCATGAACGGATTTCAACAACTGCATTCTGTCAAAGGAAGCAGCTGTAATTGGGGTCTTTTTTGTAAATTGTGAATGTTGTCACATTGACGAATGATTTCGAAAGAACTTACCCCAAGTCTAACCTCTTCCTCCTCCCTCCTCCCCCGTTTTCATCCCAACTTTATACTCCAGAACCTCAAGTAATAGAAGTTATGTTGTCGCTAAATATTTAGTGATCTACTCTTTGGTACTTTTATATTTATTCCCATATAAATATATTTGACAAAGACATAGATTCAAAACTAGAGGTTTTCAGGCCTGCAGCAAAAATAAAAATAAAGAAAAAGAAAAGGAAGGTCAGACATGACAAAGATGTAGAATTATTAAAGAAAATAACCTTTTCTACCCTCGCTCATGTAGCTTACCAAAGGCAGCATGAGTCCTCTGTTTTGATTCGTCAAGCAAGCCAATTTGCATACTGCTATCCCCTGCTATCTGCCATATTTCTGCACGAGATTTACGATGCAGATTGCACTAAATACATGCAGATGCAGACACGCCCTTCAGCTCCAACACATGGGAGCAATTTGCACCTACTTTTGTGACAGATTGCAGCCGTCTTCTCTTTAGCCACAAACACAGCAGGTGCAAACGTGATCAAAGACGTGAAGGAAGAAAACAAGAGAAAATCTTAACAGACAGCACAAGGTCCTGACAAGATCCAAGTCCTGACTGTGTCAAAGAAGTATCGCAGGTTTTAAATCAAGACGGTGTTAATGCCCCGCTCTAGGTCACTTTCATTTGAAGATCAAAAAGCATGGATTGAATTTCAAAATGTGTCAGATTACCAAATTGTCACAGGCTTTGAAACTACGTGCTGTAGGAATCTGGGAAATGTTCCCAGAATAAGAAGGAAAAAAGAAAATTTGCATGTGATTACATCCTGTTATATTCACTAAATGAATGCAGCTGGGCTTCTTTGTGGTTAGTCATTTAATCTTCTTCAGATGATCATATATTGAACACAAGAATGGGAAAAGTATATGTAAATCTGACAAAAATTAAGTATTCATTTAATTTTATTGGGATTTTCTGTGATAAGCCAACACAAAAACAATGATTTGTTGTGAATCGGGAGGAAAGTGATTTACAAATGTAAAAAAAAAAAAAGACCAAAAATAAAAATCTAAAAATGTATTTTAACTCAGCCCTCTAACTACACTGTCCACTGCAATTTCTGCAAATTGACACTGAGATTTTTGCTCATTCTTCTTGTTAAAATATATTTTTGAAAACCTTTCACATATTCTCAATCTAAGCTGAGTCTGGACTTTGACTAGGCTCCGCTTACACGTTTAGAGTTTTTGTGCTGCTAGACGGTAAAAATCTACACCAGTCTCAGATATTTGCTTCCCCTTTAAGGTTTTTCAGGCCTGACTAACCCATCTTCCCTATTAACACTTCCCACCTTTCCCATGCTACACACAAGCAAAAAACAAAAAGAAAAATAAATAAATCGACATAATTAACAACAATAAAATGAGATTTCAAACGCTGCATTTCTAATGTTGCACATTTTTAAAGCCGATTATTCTTTTCCTTCCCCTTAAAAATTATGCACTACTTCGTGTTGGTGTGTCAACATAAAACCCCAATAAAATCTATTAAAGTTTGTGGTTGTATTTCGGCAAAATGTGGGAAAAATTAAGGGGGTATGAATAATCCTGCGAGGCGCTGCAGCCGCCACATTTGCTGCAGAGGCTTTGGTTCGTCTCAGCAGCACTTCTGGCTCCGTCAACACTTGCAAAAACGAGCCCAGGGTGCACAGACTAATGGACTGAAGTGAACCCATCGCGCATGCATGCTGGTTTGGTAAGCATCCCAGTGTGCAGTGCTGCAGGCGCAAGTCCAAAGTCAGCATGAATAAGTACTCCTGAACGAGGCCGGCCTGACTGGCGTTC